TTCTTGAGACGAAACGATGTAACGATCTCATATGATCGGGCAACTTTCCGAACAGGGATCATCTGCCTGTCAATATCTTTCGGCCGATTCTCGTGAGCGATGCCACCAGCCGGGAAAGATGTACCCGAAGGCTCTGATTAGCCTTTCTCCTTAATTAGACGAGTCCTCCAACATGTGGATAGGAGTCAATGCGAGCTTGGAAGACTATTTGCGGAGGAGACGGGACCCCTTTTTCGGGAGCACGTGGATTTTCTTGTCCAACGGTGCACAGCTGGGCTGGATACGAGTTACCCGATTATTACCGTTTGCGCGTGAGTCAAGACGACCTGATTGCGGGTTTGGTGATCGGGAAGTTCCGATGCTGTTAACCGGAGAAATGATCCCAATAGTTCCTTTGGCGGGCTTTTGTGAGATTAGAGCGCTGACTCGGAGGCTTTTTGGCTCAAATAGTTTGTCTGACAGTGACTACATCATCGGTTTTGAGTCAGGGCCAAGACGGAAGTCCTTTGCAAGTAAACAGATGGAAACGTCAATTATTTGTCCCGGAAAAGGTGACGCAAAATGTGAGAAATTGGGAATGGAGTCAATAAGCAAGAAATACCAAGCTATTATGTATTAGACACGAAAATGAAGCAACTGGTGACATATAAGAACCATAATAAATCATCGTGGTCCCCGAGAGACTCCATAAAATGGATCCGGAGCTGAATGTCCAAGGGCCTAGGATAATCCGCCAACCGTTTCCCTCTTCCGCAACCGTCTACGCCCGTTCCCAGGCGATGGAGCGAGTCAGTCGAGGCACAAGCGACGACATTACTGAGATCTCGTTGGTAGATCGCGCTCATCCCTGTCTTGGCCTAGTCCCCCATTGAGACTTAGTCTAGAACGAATTTCATGCCAGGCCCCAGACTCAAAACTTTAGCCAAACTTTATTGACGAAGCCAAAAAGCGTGATTGTCTTTACGGAAGGAGGAGACTTGATGGGAGATGAAGGGAGGATCGTCATGGATCTTTTGTATTGTTCTTGGTTGCAGATGGATGACACAATGGGGAGAGATCATCGATTTGGGGAGGGTTGATGAGTCTCAGCCACAATGTTCCAGACGGAGATACATACCAGCTGATCATGAATCGAACATCGAAGCCTCCAGCCCTCTTCCCCGGCAATAGTCTCCTTCCCCAGTGACGGTAGTGGAACATCCTTCGCGCGTGTCAAGTCAAACCAAACCTCAGCCCACCCCAGCCAAGCCTAACCACACGCAGACTGGGCAAGGAACACACGCGGTTTAGCAGGAAACGCCATCTCCATGGTCCCCTGCCTCCAGTCCCCTTTAGACTCTGCCACGCTCTGCGCACGCACATAAGATCAGCGCAGCTGTCTCTCCCCTCCTCATGCTGTCGCAGTTTGTCTCGCAAAGTCTTTTTTCTTGGCAGGCAGGCTGACTCGAACGACCATGGATTACTTCGAGGTATGCTGGTCGATCTTCAGCACCATCTGCCTCGTCAATGTTGTTTTTGGTATTTTGGTCTGTGAGATTACCACGTTTACTGTTTTAGCTGCTGTGCCGATCTTTTCGTCTGCGGCGGGGGCTATTGCGAATGGGCTCTGCTATTATGTTTACTACCTGAAGAATCCTGTCATCAACGAAGTGGTAGCGGCCGTGTTCTCAGACTTCTTCTGGCTGGTACGATACCTTTCCTGTGAATTGAAAGTGAATGTTACTGATGATGTGAATAGTTGCAAGAAGCCAGTCTGTTGCTGTACAGTTATATCATCCTCCAACGAGTTCTCCGACCGAAGCAATGGCGCGTCTTTTCCATTCTGTTCTGGACTCTCATGGTCTTGACGGCGATCACTCGAGTCTTCATTGCAATCTATCGCGCCAAGTTCTTGATTGAGGGTGTCGCCAAGTTCGAAGTCATCATCAACTATCTTCACATTGGCTACTTCACCTTCATGGCCATCTCCGAATGTCTCAGCGCCTACTTCCTTGTCGTCATTTTCGCCTCAGCCAAGACAGCCAGTATGAGCGCTGCTCTCAAAGTCGGCCTTCTGCGATACTTGACACGCAGTACCGAAATGCGTGTCGCTTTCTTGGCTGTATTGGGAGTTGTACGAACTATCATCCATCCATTCCAAACTCCGGGTCAGAAGGCAGTCAACATCGCCAGTCAATTAGATCGCTTCCTCTACGCTCTGTTTTGTTTATACCCGATTGTCCTATAGTAAGTCACCCGCAAAATACTCTATCGCACCAGAGCTAACCAGGTGCAGCTTCGACACTCTTGCGTCCAAGCTCCGCTTCAATGAGGATCGATCGATATATACCCACAGTGACCAAGCTGCCGCCGGCAACCGCTACGGTCTGAGCACTCAGACAAGATGCTACACGACGACAAAGTCCAATTACGCCTCGAAGATGTATGGGGCCGATACTCCGGGTGATAGAAATGCTTCCCAAGAGCAAATTGTGCCAGCCAATGGATCCACTCGCTCCGGGGTTTCGGAAGTCGAGATGGAAGATATGGATGTTGAGGGTTTCGTCATTCGAAAGACGACTGAGGTTACAGTCACATAGTTATTTCATGGACTATGCTACACCGAACTATATAATAGATTTCTTAATAAATAATTGTGCAAACAATGCTGCCTTACCACTTTTTAGAAGTGACGACGAAGGATAGCATAGAAGAGGCGAGAGAACGAAGACCTCTGTTATAAGCGACTGTATGATCTAGGCAAGTTTGTTGTACTCGGGATACTTTTAACGCGACTAAGAGGGGTTCGCAAGATGACTCTATGCTACCTATGATGGGCCTGATATGACTTCAATGTCATCCAGAATCAGGTGCTCAACTTCGAGACCGACACATGCGCCCATCATTTGCAATTGACCAAGCCTCACTACCCACAGCAACTTTAGAATAGAAGAGATGTCCAGGATCGTACTTTTTCTTTATCTTCAGAAGCTTATCATAATTGACTCCATAGAAGGTCTCTTGCCAATACTTCTGTTGAAAGTCTGCTTCGTTGATATACGCACCGGCACCAGGGGTCGCCTTCTCGATAACAGGTTGAATCTCCTTCGTCATCCTCCTCTGAGTAGCCAGCATTTCCTCCCATGGAGCTTCATTATCCCAAGGAAGAGTTAGAGAAACCTGCACGATGGAATCTCGCCATTGCGGCAGTACTGAGTTGGCGTTGCTGCCCCCGAATTTGGACACGTTGAGGCCAACGCCGATATAAATGACTCCCATCTCAGCGAGCTTCCGTGCTGTTGGAGAGAAGTCCTTCAGCTTGTTGCGAGGCAGTAAGCGACCTCCGAAGAGTTGTGTTCCTACTTGGATGTTGCCTGCTGGGAGGGGACCCCAATAGTGATCATAATGCTCGTAGTAACTTGGGAAGTGCGTAAAGGTCGGTTCGAATTTGATACCAAGATCAGACAAAGAATCAGCGAGCGGCTGAAGAATCTGTTTGACCTCGGCCTCGGTCTTGTCGTACGCCGTCAGAGCTGGAATCTGGAGGAATGAGTCTGAGAAGAAGTAGATGATCATAACACCAGAGTCAACAATCTTGGGGAGAGCAGCATGAAAAGCGTCGATGGCCTTATATATGAGCTCTGGCCTTCCTTCAGGTGCAGTGACAAGAAACTTAGCTCCACTGACCTGAGCTTCTGGATGAGCCCGTACAGTAGCTGAGATAACAACGCCATAGTTGCCCGTGCCACCTCCGCTCAAAGCCCAATATAAGTCGCTGTTTTTACTTCTGCTCGCTTTGACAAGCTCTCCATCGGCAGTAACGACATCGAATTCGAGGGTGTTATCAGCGGCTAAGCCGAAACTGGTGCTTAGGGCTGAATGGCCGCCTCCTTGGGTATAACCTCCTGCCAGGCCAACCGAAGGACATTCTCCAGTAACGACGACTAGATTCTCGGCATGGGCAGCTGCAAGTGCTTCAAAACCTTGAACGCCGGCGCCGACCTTGAGAGCTTTTCCTTGATAGTGATCGTCCTTCCAATCGATGACTTCGGCGCCCTTTAGGTAGTGAGTCCAAACAGCAAGGGACCCTGCGCCGGTTGAACGGCCGAGGTAGTCATGACCTGTGTTACGGATTACAAAGCGTATGTTCTTCTCCTTGGCGAATTTTAAAGTCGCTGCGACATCATCTACAGAGGAGGCATTGACGGCATATCTGACGTAGTTGCCGAGCGTACATGGCTTGTCCCTGGGCTGGAATGGGTCACAAGACTGGTTGGCGAACAGAGGAGCCATCATGGACGAGGAGGATTCTGAACTTGCATATGTTAGCAGCTGATTTGATGCATTGAAGGAGATCGTGGCACTGCACGAGATGAGCGGAACCGGACTCACTGAACTGACGAATACAGCCATTGGGTCTGAAGGCGTTGACACTCCTCAGCATCATAATTCGGATCATGACATGGACTTCCCAAGGGAACGGTAGCTACCAGCCGGCGACCAACCGTACTGTTGAGGTGGTCCCAGTCATCATCAGAAGGCCAACAAGAGTCACCGGGGAAGCATTTGCAGCCTGGTGCTGTGGCCTTACACCCAGCTATGCAGAGCAACAGAGACGAAAGGGCAAGGCTGCGCATTGTTGCCAGAGATAACTGTTGGTAGATTAAAAATCTCTCATCGACTCAATGGGCGGTAAGGATGCATGAAGTAGCCGTCTTACTCAGATTTTCACTCTTCCCCGCAAAGGTGCTTTTGTTTCCCTTACTGCCCCTGTCAGCCAAGCATGTTGAGGTGGGGAACGATATTGGTGTTACTGGACAAGGATGACTCTGCATGAAGATCTTTAAAGCTTTATCGTAGACAGGGAAAGATCGACAGCAGCTTATTATGTGAGATTGCAGTATCTATGATCTAGGTAAATCTAGCAGGAGCAAGGATACACAGAGCTCGCCGACTTTCTAAAATCTACAGCAGAGGCAACGTATTTCAAGCCGCGTAAGCGAGTGCGCCATCTTCGAGATTTAACCCTCAACCGCAGCTATTCCTTCATCGTCTCGAACCAACTTGGCTTTATTATAGGCATCATCATCCGTTGGCAACTGAAGATTGACTGATGCAATCCGAGCTGCGCTGAGCTCCAGATCGCCATCGCCTTCCATAGCTAGCACATGACCACCAGAGTGTCTGGTCGCCGCCAAGAAGTGTAAATGGTCGCCTGCGACGCTGATACCCTGCATAAAAGCAGGCGATCTGAACCCAATGATCGTACCCCTGATGTTGTGGAACGTGTGCGAAGCCTGTCGCTTTCCAAGCTCGGCAAGACTTTCGCCTGGTGACTGTTGTCCTCCCACAGTCCGTACAGTGACTGACTTAAATGTGCCTTCAATTCTGTAGACCAGATAGTGATTGTTCGTCGCAGGAAGAAGCTGAGATAGAGTCTCCGTAAAAGAATCCTTGCTCAGTATTTGTTTCGATGCAGTAACATTCGGCTTAAAATCCGTGATCATCGCAAAAGGTGCCGTATTATCAGCGCACGCATCTTTGTCCAATGCTATGACAGAACCATCAGGCTTCATATCATAAATAATCCCATCAAGAATGATCATTTCGCCAACCATATGCCGAAAGGTGCCAAGGCCATGATCGCCATGTGTGACGAGTTCCGAAAGGGTGATTCCTGTCTCGGCGACCCCATCCATAAGGGCTGAGACAACAGAATATTGGAAGAGGTGATTGGATGGCATTTTGGTGGGTGATGTGAGATGTGAGATGGTGTTGAGTGACCGAGAGGCACAGCTTGTCCTTGATTGACAAAGTTGCACGAATGCGGGGTATGAATAGCCCAATCAAGTGACGATTTCTGAATCAAGACGTCATCAGAATCAGCTCGATCAACAAGAGATGACAGTAGCCTCAAGTCACCAAATAGAATACGACTTTTCGCTTTATCTTTTGAAACCACAGAGATATAACTGCCGGGTTAAACAGATTCTGAATAGCAAGCATTGCGAGAAAGCTTGTTGTTCCAATAGCAACTGCTGGTTTGGTCAGACCAACTCGCTCGTTCATCGCTGTCTAAAATGAGGTTTCAGCTGCTTACTGCCTGCCACGTACTAGTGCCCTCGTGTTCTCTTCTGAGTTTTGACAGCCTAATCTTCTTTCCAGCCGACCAAAAGACAACAGCAATTGCTTATCTTTCTAGGTGGACCTTAAGATCTACATATATTCCTGCCAGACGGCTTCCTGGTGAAGCATTGGCCCATAAACGTTTGATCCTCAGCATCTGCGGTACATGGGCACACCGAATGCAAGGGAGATGTAACACAGCAAAAAGCGGTATGGTGGCTGCTTAGTTGCGGGTTGCCGGGCGGGCCGACTAGCTCATGCATCTAGTGGCACGCTGAGCCGTTTCCCCAGCCAAACTGCGATGGTTCAGCTCGCCACAATATGCCCAATTCTCAATATTGTTGCGCCAAAGTGAGAGGAAACCAATGGCAGGAATGTGATATGTTCACTTTTGTAAGACTGCATATGATACTGTGTCGAGAGGGGGGGTTCTGTTGACCGACAATGGGTATAAAAAGATGGCTTGCTCAATCAATGGCACCGGCTCCTTGTCCTTGGATTTCGACAGTTTTAGAATTTCAGTTACTACCTTCTTGTTCAAAGAAACACTCCATACTCTATTTGTCACTTGGAGAAAATGGCTAAACGTGCAGAGCATCTCCCGGCGATGCCGCCCCAGGACCCTTCACTGCAAGTTCCAAGCGGTCTCCGGGTTGCTTACGCCAAGCATCTTCTTGACAAGCATCTCCGTAGCCTACGGTTCGAACTGAACGATGGTGTTGGTCGCAATGAACCCCTTCCCGCAATCGGCCATGCACCATATCACGGACATGAAGATCCCCTGGAGCATCTCTCCGAGTACAAAGGTCGTGTTGCCATCGTTGGTGCTGGCGCCACCGGCTTGTACCTTGCCATGATGCTCAAGTATCTCAAGATCTCCAATGTGGATATATACGAAGCTTCGAACAGGATTGGTGGTCGCGTGTATACGTATGACTTTGACAAGGAAAACGCATCTCCTCATAACTACTACGACATTGGCGCCATGCGCATCCCCGAGATCGATGCGATGCAATCGTTAGTTTGTCAATCCCTTTGCTTGAACAGTAAGCTAAACTATCACAGGACACTTACCCTGATTGAGGAGCTGAAGCTTCCGAAAACGAAGTATGTTCTTGATGCCGGTTGCGAGCCTCAGATGCATTGGTACTCTAACACCGAATCGCCCGAGTAAGAAGACCTCCCTTTCATTCTAAGGTGAAGAATACTGACCTTTAATAGCGGTAAGCCATACGATGAGCGAATGAACGAGATCATCAAAGGTCTCGGGACAAACTGGGACGAGAAGTTTGAGGAATGGGTCAAAACTGGCAAGGACAACCATTCAACCAGAGGCTGGCTTATGTTCACTGATCCCAAGTAAGTACCTTGCTGAACGTTTTTCGCCTCTGCTAATGTCCCTTCCAAGATGGACATATGACCAGACTGAAGAAGCCGAGTCTGCTTCTACGTAAGTCAACCACCTGTGATCTATTGACGCCATAATACTAACACCCTGTAGCTCAACTGGCCTATTCGAGCAGTCATTCGTTGAATCTCTATGCGACTTCAGCGATTTCCAGGCCACGGCTGGTAAGCCTTGGTGGCGTCTTGAGGGCGGTATGACAGTCGTCACCGAGAAGATGAACAAATGCATCGAAGATCCTAAGTGGGCTCCTCACAACCCTGTCTCTCTGAAGGTCACGAAGAACACACCTGTCGTAGCTATGTCAGAGAACCATCAGGAAAACAAGATCGAAGTGACTATCAATGGAGCTGAGGGCACCAAGACTGAAGCATACGACATGGTCTTCAACACCACCGCCATGGGTCCTCTCCAGCGCATGGATATCTCGGGCCTGGTCCCCGGTTTCGGTCTTCCTCAGACCCAGAGAAAAATTCTCACCGGTATCCGAGCTCTCAGCTATGACCGATCTTGCAAGGTCGCAGTCAAGTTCAAGAGCCGTTGGTGGAAGAATATGTACAAAGCTTCAACGAACGGTAGCACCTTCGGTGGTGTATCGGGCTCTGATCTGCCAAGCAGCAACATCGTCTACCCATCTTGGGACGATGGCGATGATACATCTGCTGTGCTCATGACGTCTTATACCTGGGCTCAAGATGCCACGCGAATGGGATCTCTGATTCCTGACTATACGAAGCAGAAGCCGCATATTGACGACGCAGTTGTTACCCAGTGCTTCCAAGATCTCGTCAAGCTTTGGGGAGAGAGCAAGGATCCCAATATCACAGTTGAGTTTCTGAGAAACGAGTATCTCGAGCACCACGCTTTCGCTTGGTCTCACGATCCCTACACCGGTGGCGCTTTCGCTCTTTTTGGCCCTGGCCAATTCAGCTATATCTACCCTGAGTTCCAGCAGCTCCTCTGCGATGGAAAGTTTGCTATCTGCGGCGAGGCACTTAGTCCTCATCACGCGTGGATCTCTGGATCCTTGGATAGCGGATACCTTACCATGCTGAGATGGTTAATCCATCTTGAGGATACCGATAGAGCTGATGCTTTGAAGAAGGCTTGGTTTGGACGCGGAAAGGGTGAGCATACTGCAGAGTATGATGGGAAGTTGATGAGATGGACGGTTGAGTTGAGCCAGCAGGCGGCTAAGAGGACTCGAAAGAAGCACTACTGAGACTGTTGTGGCCTGGCTCTATAGAAGCTTCGTGATGTGACGCGATCGTTTTCAATTGGCTATGTGCGCTCAGACGAAACACAACGAATGGGGAGAAGCTCACGTATGTTAGTTGTATCAAACTTGAGATTTCCTTACACATCTGAGTTTAGTTAGGACAGAAGCAATGAAAACCGAATTATCGTGTTCATCTGAAATCGCTTCTGTCCAAGTATTTGCCATCAGTAATGGCTAGTGACATCTTATGGCGGCTGAGTTCTGGCTGGATCCGATCTGTCTCGGCCTTTGACAGCCTTTTTCCAAAAATTCGATCATACTAAACTGTCCAAAGGCATCGTTGCAGCCCAAAACCACTTGAAGAATGACGCCTGGAATTTTTGGCCGCATTGGGATTGGATCTCAGCTTGACACATTCCTCACGCCTCATGGCCCGTCCCGGCATGACTGGGCAATGTACCACGTGTTGGTTCAAAAAAAGACATAAATGACCAGTGAAATGAAAGAAAAGTATCATGAAATAAAATGAGATAAACTAAAATATGAGATTGTCTCTAGCTTACAGATCTCTCTGTATGTTGCACCGCTATCTTTGTAAAATATGAGAAAACGACCATCACTGGCATCAGCGACGTTAGCGCGATTGCTAGTTCTTAGACTAATCGAAGCCAGCCAAAACTGGATCTCGAGTATCTAATCGGCCCAGTCTAGTCCGTTCCTCTATACTGGAATGGGCTGGAACAAATTTGAGTAACAGAACGAGTTTTGTAATAGTGCTATGAGTGGCAAGTCTGATGGTACATAAATCCACCCTGGAAGCGTAATCTAGATCATATATAAACTTGGAAGATGAAGTGAGACTTGACTAAAGTACACTATCTTTTCACCTTACCATCACCACTTCATACCCTCGGCAAGATAAGAAATGAGACTGACTTCTTTCTTCCAGTCCGCGGCACTCGTCGCAGCCTCTCTCTCCGAGCTATCACAAGCCGAAGCCTTTATCCCTCGTGGTTTCACAACCCCCAAGCGCAAGGAGCTATGGCAGCCAGAAGTCGGGACACCATGGCAGATCATCCTCTCCGAGGTCGTCAAAGTTCCCAAAGCAGGTGTTAGTTCTATGACACCAGATGTCCCTATTTGGGATATGGATCTCTTTGAAAACTCCAAGAACACGATCACCGCTATGCAGAAGGGAGGAAAGAAGATTATTTGTTACTTTAGTGCTGGTTCCTGGGAGAACTGGCGTAAAGACAAAGACAGCTTTCCAAAGAAAGACCTTGGTAAGGTTATGGATGGTTGGCCTGACGAGAGATGGGTAAATATTAGCAGTGTTGCTGTACGAGCTATCATGGCGCAGCGAATCAAGCTGGCGGCTGAGAAGGGATGCGATGCTATCGATCCTGATAACATGGATGGATATGTAAGTTACCCGTCCAAGCGGCTCGACAACCTTCTAATTACTGCCTCAGCAAAACGACAATGGCCTTGGTCTCACGGAAGAAGACACCATCTCATATGTCAAGTTCCTCTCTGCAGAAGCAGCCAAGTACAACATGGTCATGGGTATGAAGAACGGTGGAGACGTCACTGAAGAGGTTCTTCCATACGTTGCCTTCTGTATCAACGAGTCTTGCATCCAATATTCAGAATGCGACTTGTACCAGCCCTACATCGACGCAGGAAAACCAGTCTTCAACATTGAGTACCCCAAGGGTGCACCAAAGGTGAAGGCTAAGGACAAGAAGAAGATTTGTTCTACTAGTGGTGCGGCGGAAGGATCAGATGATTTCAGTAAAGTTATTAAGAAGATGAATCTGGATAAATGGGTCTTGTATTGCTAATGTGGCACGCACAGCAGAGGGTCACATAAGAGAGGGTTAAAAGAGCCTTGATTTCTATCCTAGGATGGGGGGAGAAGTGCTACTTATACTAAAGTAGAGCGCCTGATCCCTGTTGGGGAGGCTAGGCCGATCAGGGCTACCCCAGTTTTTGATAGCTAAGGTTTATGAGAGCACTCAGTACTTGGAATTTTCTTTCCGTTTTCTCTTGAATCGAGTGCATCTCTTATCTCATAAAGTATGAAAGATGTCTCTGAAAGAAGTCATTTAAAAGCCTCTTCAGTGACAGGTAGATATGGAATAGCGGTTTAACATATGGACGGCAGAAAGCAGAGTAAGTCATGTATGTATTTTAATGTCGTCAAGACAGATGGTAACTATATACGTGTAACGTATGGCTCAGAAGCCAGCATGGAAAGGCATGGCAGCTTAGCTAGTGCCGCTGCATCCAACAAAGTTGTTGCCAGAAGCGCCAGTGTGAGTAATGGCACCAGCATACTGGCAGCTGGTGTTGATAATAACACGGTCAGCACCGGGAGAGCCTGGAAATATGTCAGAAATGATTTTGATTTGTCGCTGCTCCTCAACTTACCACCAGTGTAAACGCCACTGGTCTTGACGGGGAACTCCTGGTAGGGACCGTTGACAGGGAAGTCGAAGCCCTCGCGGTTGTTGTAAGTGTGAGGGTAGGTGGAGCTGCCAGCAGTGTCGTCGTTCTGGTAGTACTGGCAAGCAGCGCTGGCAGCAGCGCGGAGTTGAGCGGCGGTGTATCTGGTGCTGCCGCAGGTAGCACTGGAAGACTGGCGGCTCTCAATGGGGCTGGCAACAGCCAGGCTGACAAGAGCAGCAAGAGAAGCGATAGACTAAGAAATGTGTCAGCATCGTTCTTGCTTGGGTGTCTTTTCGGAGGTGCTGTACCTTGAAGAAGAGCATCTTGTCAATGAGTATACAACAACCGAAGATGGATGAGAGCGTGTAGGAATAGTTACATCATGGATAGAGCTCTCTCACAGATTTTATAGTTGATCATGTCTATGTTCTGTCTATACTCGGAACACCAAACCTATCAGTCCATCGAAACCTCGGTGTCCCAAAACATGTAGATCTTCAGAGAGAGAGGCAGGTGGATGAACGCATGAGTCCGATTGGCCGCATAATTGACTTAGTTTCGAGATAGTATCACCACCTGCTTAATTCGGATGTAGGTCCGGTAGATGGGCAGATGTAGCTGGCCAGTCACATCAAAATCCCGCACCGAGAGCGGGTCGCGATCGGCATATAATTGTCTCGGCCAGCGCCCATGTGTTGCTCTTATCGCAATCATTGGAGCCCTTTTGTATTTCATCCTCGGGAATCGGATGTGATACGCCGTGTTAGCGCCAATCGTCTATCTTGTAATTCCGCTTCTTGTCGCAATCCCTTCATCCTGCATTCATTTCATGCTCTCTCTTCTTCGCTTCTCATCTCTCTCATTCATCTCCGCACGGAAAATGACCGACGTTACGAAATTGCTGAGCGACAGTTCTGTGTCGGCTCAACAAGCTGCTGAAAAGCTCGCGACCCCTTGTCTTGAGGCTATCAAGAAGAATGAAGACGCTTCAAAGATTGAGGGGGAGTTTGACAGCCTTTGGTCTTCGGTGCTCTCCGCTGCCGAGAAGACCCCCCACGACAAGCAAGGGAAGCTAGTGGAAACCTTGCATGCGATAAAGAGCATTCCGCAATCTGCAGAGACAGCCAAGAAGGTTGTCGTTTGGGGTGAGGAGAAGCGCTGGGATGAGCTACCCATGTTTGGGGGCAAGGCACGCGAGCAGCTCGACATCGGTAAGCTCCGCTCTCCGACAATCATCAACACTTGCTGACTATGATAAGCACAAGAAAAGTCGGATGAAGCCTTTGTCAATATCAACGGCTTCTTTGCGCGCGCAACTGCTGCTGGGGTCGATGACCTTAGCCTGTTCGCCATTTGGACCTTGCGCGAAGCGCTTGAAGACCCTGCTGCTGATAAGATCTCGGAGACGTCGACCAAGCTATTGAAGGCCTCTTCAGTCTGGTTCATCTACGCCGCCGATGTTCTTGCTAAGGCGAGCAAGGATGGAAAGCAGTTCGACGGCAAAGTCGCCAAACCGGGTGCTAGCCTGACGGAGTTCAAGGACGAGGCCGGATGGAGGGGCTTCAACAATGACAGATGGAAGGTCTGGCTGGATCGGTTGTCGGCTTTGAAGCAAGCAGATGTCCCGGAAGATACCAAAACTTTGGTGGTTCAAGCGCTGAATGGTGTAACAAAGGCTTAGGTGAAGATGTCCTCTAATTAAAACAATACATCGATTTACGATTGACCGTTTGCTGAGATTTGATTCCTTTTTTTGATTCGTCAATATCAGCCAATGGGAAAACCTACGCCATGTTATGATATCCGCAGCCTGATTCTGTTTCAACCTGCAGGCAATGTCAGCCGCACGTCGAAACCCCTCACTCATTTCATCATATTCACCATTGAATTGATAAGCGATTGAAAATGGCTCTAGCCATCCGAGAGGCCTCTGGGCTGAAAGCAGATATTCGTCTGGCCCAGGCGGTATCAGAGTTCGAAGCCGAGCTCACAACTGAACAAAAGCTTGCCTTCAGAGCCTCGCGCACCGCAGCGACAAGCAAAGCGCCAACAATGTCAGACGTTATGCGCCTCACAGCAGAGATGGACCTCAAAGCAACGAGCAAGCATGGTCGCATACGATGTTTCGGGCCGCGATTAACCAATATGCTTCAGGCTATTCAGCAGTTTGCAGCCCTGGACGATATCGTGGTCGGCGGATCCCAGAACCTCATCGCATGTGGAGTCTGGTCTGTGGCGAGAATGACTGTTCATGTGAGAAGAACAGTAGAGACACTCCTATCTCATTTTTAGTAATCATTTGATTAGGTGATAACTGGATACTTGACACATTTGGAAAAGCTCTCTGTTTTGTTTATGGCTGTTGGCCGAAACGCTCCTCGATACCAAGCCATGGCTGCCATTTATCCAAAGTCCAAGAACTTACAGCGATATCTTTGCGAATACTTTATCGTCGTCACCAAGATCTGCCATCAGACCATTCACTGGGCACAAAAGTCTGCCGTCAGCCGTCTTTCGTCATCCATCAGAGATCCTGATATGAAAGGCTTCCAAGCAGACCTTGACACGTGGTCCGCCTCTATCAAAGAAGAAGCTGATCTGTTGCTCAGTCAAGGCCTTCAAGAAGAAGCTAAAGAGAATGCGACATTCCGTTCAATAGTGTCGAGTCGCTCCAAATATCTCCAACATCGTCAAAAGATCAACGAAAGTATTCGCTTTCTCGATGCTTGCTCACAGCACGATTATCGAACCACATGGAAACAGACTCGCAAGCGTGGAACAACTCGCATTTTGCCCTCATATACCCAATATCAGAAATGGAAAAGTTCTCAGACTGCGAGTGATTCAATTCTTTTCCGTGGTAAATTGGGTGCGGGTAAATCTGTTCTTCTCGCTAATATTGTCGATGATCTAAACCTTCTTCAAAACTCAATTACGCTATACTTCTTTGCCCGCCATGACATCCCCGACTCTCTGAGCTCAAGAACCATATTTGGGTCTCTGGTTCGGCAGCTTTTAGAAGTTTTCGCCTACGACAGCAAATTCGAGCACATCTTTTCGGAGTCTGTATCTCGACTAGACTTAGACGACATTGTCAAAATTTTGGCAACCCTACCATCACATGATAGGTATTTGTACATCGTAATTGACGGACTCGACGAATGTTCCATGGAAGAGCAACAGACTGTCCTGCTCAGCCTATCTGCCATCAAGTCCGAGGGCTACAAGATCTGCATATCAGTCAGGACTCCTACGGAAAGCTCAGTATGGAAAGATCAAAGTTTCGAATTTCAGGAGTCTATCCCAGAAGAAAATCAAGATATATTTGACTTTGTGCAAGTTGAAGTAGACAACAGAGTACGAAATGAACGACTAGTCACCTTGGACCCTCTGCTTGTTCAAGACATCAAACAGGAGCTCATTGATGGGGCATGCGGGATGTAAGTACCTATAAAGCTGGAATCACTTTCTTGTCTGACTAGCTGTGCTTTCTGAAGGTTCCTGTGGGTTTCCCTGCAACTTGATTCCATATGCTCCGAAATATCGGATACAGCGATCCGGGAAGCAATCCGAGACCTTCCACGGGATCTCACGCAAACATACGAACGGAACCTACTGAAAGCGAGCTCAGGCGACTCCAAGGGCCACCATATCCGGATTTTCAAACTACTTGTTGGCGCTAGAGAGCCATTGACAACAGAACAGTTACGTGAAGCAGTTAGCGTCAAAGTCGGACATACCACGTGGAGTCCACAGCAGCATATCAGCAGCATCCTTGCTGCCTTGAAGTTCTGCGGTAGTCTTGTTATGGTCGACGAGGAAGATGATACAGTTGTATTCATCCACCATAGTGCTCGGAGCTTCTGTCTGAACTCACCCAGAAATGCAGCAGAATGGACCTTTACCGAGAAGGCTGCGAACCTCGCTATGGCTGAGACATTGGTTACCTATCTCAGCTATAATATCTTTGACACCAGGCTGTCCAGGAATGTCGCTCCCAAGATCAGTGCGAACAAGATGCCCGAGATGGTTGCTTTGAGCACTATGAGCAATCACCAAGCCGGAAAGAGCGTTGCAAATAAATTCTTCAGACTGAAGTCCAAAATTAAACGCGACATTGGCCCTACACTTGCTCGAGTCAGCACAGGTTACCAAGCCAATAATTCGCAACAATTCCTCTTGCTGCCATATGCCAAACAGAACTGGGTAAGGCATACATCGCAATTGGAGAGTCTTCCTTCGCTGCCAAATTGGTATCATCTTCTAGATCATCCCGAGTTTGGTATTGATTTTGACGATATCGATGAAGCTACACAGAAATTCCAAGATATCGTATTCCATCGGAGTGTATCCTTGAGGCTGAATCCTTTTCCTATTATTCCAAGTCTAATCACCATTTGGGCACTAGGCAATGGTCATATACTTTTGCTTAAGCACGAGCTTATTAAAGGTCGTGGGTTACGAAAGCTCCGGGCTTTTGTGAAGCTCTGGGCTCTTTTGATGTGGCTCTCGCAAAACGACGCTTTGAATCAGCTAGACTACCGTCTAGTTAAGTGGTTGTGTCTCCTACTCATTCGTCTGAGAACAAAATCCCCGATTAAAACTCGGCTTTTGAGTCGGCTTTCGGCCTTTGACAACTGCTTTGTTGATTATGCTAGGGAGGCTATACGTTCATCTGACGCTGAAGCATTCTCCTTTTTCCTGGGTCGTTTCACTATCGAAGATGCCCAGCACTTTAAAAGCAACACAAGGCTGATACAGTGGGCTATAGCATCTGGTAGCGTCGATATGCTGCGCCTCCTGATAAGATTCGGCCTGGCGAAAGATTCCCTCATTAATGGTCGTGCCGTGTCTCAAGCCTCGCGACTCAACTCTCCAGATGAACTCAAATCCCGCCTGGTGTATTACTTGTTTGGTGTTGGTTTTGACTTTGACGCTTTGACTGAAGATGAGCTTTACAGAGGCCTCAAACTCTTTTGCGCTTACGTCAGTCTTGAAGAAGCATCTCGAATCGTTCGAGGTCTCTTTTCTTTGCAACGGACAAAGACTGGCCCAAAAGCAGATATTCTATTGGGCATGGCTTGCGCATCGGGCGACTACGAAGTGGCTGAGGCTTTATTAAATTGCCTTGCCAATCCTAATGCAATAACTCCATCTGGAAGAAGCTGTCTGGATATGGCCCTGCACAGTCCATCTCCAGACCGAGTGAGACTCATATGGAGACTTGTCAAATCTGGGGCACAGGCAACTACTGAAACAATGGATCGAGCTTTTGAGATGCGATACTGGGGTCTTGCATTGCATTTCCTATCAAAAAAAAGACCCACTGCTTTGCATTCTAATTTCTATTCAGTCATCACTGGCGACCCGCCTTCAATCATCGATTCATTCCTCCCTGGACCTGCGACCAGAAACCAAGCATACACGCATATATCAGAGCCATGCCAATTACCTATTGTTCAAACGTCTGACTGGGCACACTGGCAGTTCTACTTTGGGCCTCCTGTTGTCGAGAATGGACTTTGGAGAAAGATTGATGTTGAAGAATCCCACCGCCTTTGCCAGTATATCCATTCCCGATTCAAATTGAACAAGGCACCCGGAGGCGTACTCTCCTTTGAACCAAGTATCCGCTACTGCGCTTTACTGCGTCCTGGCATACCTTCATTCAGAATAGATTTAAAACACCGAGAGAGTATTCAGGCTATATGTTTGAGACTCACCACTCCGAGCAGTTTCGTGGTTTTTGCAGAAATCAACAGAAGATGGCAATCAGCATCGGAAAGGCTTGCTTGGCTAGACACGGACGAAAATTACAAAATAATGAAAAACTATGAGGATTATTCTCCGACATGGTATAGCAATGGTCGGAGTGATGGATTAGGTTGCTGGTTACTCCCAGATTCATTCTGGGATACCCCGCATGTTCGGCAGCTGGTTGAACAACGTCAATTCTTAGCGCATCTTCAACTCGACGACGTTCACTGGGGCTTGAATATTTTGCGAAAAAGTCTCTCTTTGTTCCTGAACCTTCCATCTTTCTCGGCTCTAGATACCTTTGACAGACTGTTCCCTTCTCTTCACATTCCGACAAAGCCTGATCGACACCTATGCTTTCCAAAGGGTTTCTCATACGATCTTGCCTACAAGAGCCTTCGAATTCAATGGCTAAGGACTTTAGGCGTTATGTACAACAAAGGGTTACTGGCAAAAACCAATATTCCCAGAGAAGTATTTGTCGAGATGAATGGTATGGTGGAAGTTTTAGATGGGCTCGCCGGGATGCACAAAAACATTCAGGCCGATCTTCATGGCGATGGCTTCATGCCCGAGGTCCTCGAAGCAGCTTTTCTGGGTCCTGAGGGTAAGAGGGTTCTGGAAAGACTGATCAACCAGAACACTCAATGGAGACCACAAGTGTGTTCTTGGATCAAAGGAGTGGACACATCGGTATTCATGTGGTCCATGGGTGAGAATGCGCCTTTATCGTTCACAAGAGCAGTTCAATCACTTCGAGCGGTGGGTATTTCTGATGGGGACGTGGAAATGTTGGAACGAGCACTGGATTTTGCTAGGGCGAAAGTACCAGAGCTAGAGTGACTACGGATCTGCTATTTCTTGTTCACAACTTTCCCTTCAACGGGAACACTGCCCAACGCGCCTTTGCTTTTGCATATTCCTTTCCATTCCCATCTTTTATGACCGCATAAACCACGAATGAAGTTCCGTCATCTGATATCTCCCCCATACTCGCAGTGATCTGGATGACCTTGGGAACTCGTAGCGGTCGGAGATATTGAACTTCTATGCCTTGAGTGGCGATCATACTTGTTATCAAGTCGAGCATTCCAGGAATTGTCTCAGGTGAGCAAAACCCAGCAACTTTGGTAGGGATTATGCCATATTGCAGTCGAGCGTTCAAGATGCCGAGAACGCCCATGACATCGTCCAGAAGTGTTGCTTGAACACCGCCGTGGCAAATGTCCCCAAATCCGCAGACGCCATCCCCCAAGGTGCAAAAGACGCTGCAGGTCTCAATAGGCAGCCATCGCTTTTTCGAGCTGGGGTTTAGAGTTGGCGAGGATGAAGGGTCGCGGAAGACTACGATACGGTGGGAGATGGTCGACGCTGAATTGAGTGTCTCGCTGAACAGCTTTCCGGTACTGCCACGGCCGTCTTGTTTATCGTCCAACCGAGGAACGGCGACTGCATCAGGATGCATGGGCTGATCGCGGCACCACGGTATATCGATGAAGTAATCGACATCCTGCTGAGCGCCGGGTATAATCTTTAGGCCAGACATCTCCTGTGTACGGTCGATTGAGTCAATCAAGTAATAAGTAATATGATGCGAAGTAGTAAGGGTGCCTTTTCAAGAAGGGAAGCGATGCAAAATGAGGGAAATGGAGGCAAAAGCCTCCCTGAGAATTCGTGGCAATTTGATGGAGCCGAAAACAAGGCATCAATGTCGTAATTGGTCTTTAGTGAAGCTATTTAGTGTAACGAGCGCAGCTGAAGGGCTTAGCGTCCAGGGCTTGATAGCTGAATTACCAAATTTGGTAATCCAGACTACTAGCCCTGTCACCATGGAACAGATCTACATACACGACATATTCAACGCCACCGAGTCGGCAAAAGCAGAGCAAATATGGAAAACTTATGATGGAAAGATCTCGAATCATGTTCAAATGTCCATGGTTTTTCTCTCGTTGATATATCTAACATGTGACAAACAAAACCCGCGATGCTCTATATGCCCGGAGTGACCCAGGACATCATTCTACAACAGGGCGACCCGTGGCTCTCTAGAGAGCTTGTCTCATAGGTTGCTGGCGGTCTCTCAGAGCAACATCGACTTGGAAATTTGTTTCGGCAACATACCCTCGTTTACCCAAGTCCGTGCCAGTCTTCTTGAAAACTAACAAGTTACTCTGTATCAGCCAACTCTCCCAACACCGAATACTTGCCATCTATGCTTTCACACCGATAATCTTTCAGCAAGCACTCTTAAGCATAACTAGCTTTGAAACATTTAATGCTTCTTTCGCATTCCTCCTTTACTTCTATACATATCAAATCAGTGCGCGACATCAAGGATATACCTTCCAAAAGCTGGCTCTCCAGGTCGGTTACTTTGACGGTGACAAACACGAGAGAGATGACTTCAACGCTCCTGGTAAGAGCTCTGGGAAGCTTATGTGGTCGCTGGCAAGAACAGTTATAGCAAGAACTGGAATGCCAATTTTGTTGTCCTTCCAGTCAAACCAAAAGCCGGTCGGAGTGCTGGGGAATTTCAGCTGCTGACGAGGGTGTCGTGGGATCGTATTGTGCGCACAAAAGTCTTTAATTCCCTGGTATAATTGTGTGCCCAAAGGCTATCTTTTCTATTCTTTAGTACTAAATACCTAGTTAATTCAATTTTTGGAGGGAGAAAAAACGACATAGAAAGCTGAAATCTGCAATTTGTTGGATGTTCATACTCGGCCGTGCGCTGTTCTGTGAGGGGAGAAGAGCCAGAAGATTGGAGCAAGCCAAATAAGAGATCTTATCCTCCCATACTTCCCTGAAGGCCCCAGGACGCAATGATTATCATACTGAGCCAAGGAATGGCGATAGGAATGATTATATAGTGTTGTAAGAATGATAAGCTTAATGAGTTACTTGGAATATGTCTGTCGCCGATGTTAGACCCACCTGCTGCCTGAGGCATTTCCGTAGTTAGCGCCTTTGTTGTCACAGCGTACCTCCTACACATCAATTCCTAACCGCCGTGACCCTCGCTAAGTTCATCTTGTTTATACATTCACGTCATCCTCTTTGGGTGACACGCCTAGTCACAAGGCTCAGCGAAGCGCCCAGTCGCTTGGCTCTTTCTACGTTACCACACACGGGACATTTGATTGTGCGTCGGGGTTCCTTTCTGCAGGGGGCCGTTAGGCTGCACCTGGAGGCCTGAGTCGAGCCTTCGTCCGCAGTGGAACCTAGGCTGATTCTAGCCCACGCGCCACCCATCTCGATTAACTCTGTGCATTCGCTGCCCACTTCGTCAATCATTCCTTTGATATTGGATCATTAAGACTGTCTCAAGCCATGAAAGTCAAGATCTATTATTTCGCCAAATTCAACCTCCCATCGCTCCTTTCCCTCGCGGAACAGCGTCGCGGCCAGCCATGCACCTGCGACATAACCCAGATGCCAAAATGCGGAAGCTTGAACTGGGTCATCTTTCTATGCTTCCAAGATGGAGTTGAATGGGTTTTCCGCTCTCCCAAGAGTGACTCTGACAGCTGTTACTCTGTTGACACCGCCTCCAAGATTCTCGTCAGCGAAGCATCTACCTTGCTGTATCTCCAAGCAAACACCTCAATTCCGGTTCCCCAAGTTTTCTCCTACAGGTTAGCAGTGTTTCTTATCCTTATGATCTTGTTATTGATCTTTTCTAGCGGATCCAGCGACAATGACATCGGTATTCCATATATTCTCCAGAGCAAGGCTCTCGGCCGTTCTCTAGGATCTTATGCCTGGAGCCCACCACGGTATCAAGTGCCAGGGCTCCAGCATCGTAGCCCGCCGATGCCCATCTCCGATGAGAGCCGAGGGAAAGTAATGAGACAACTTGGTGCCTTCATGTCAGAACTTTCCACGCACCGATTTGATAGGATTGGCTCTTTATTCCAAGATGCAGATGCGAGCTATGTTGTTGGTGAATGTCTCTCGCCGTCTCTTACGTGGCAAGAGAGAGACTCACTTGAGCTGGATCGCGGTCCATTCAACAATGAACACGACTATCTTGTTTCCCTCATCTCAGCATTCACCTCCCACGCTAAAGAGCTTTCGCTTACGCCTCATGTCTTTTTCGCGCCGGTTCCTGACATGGTGGATTACGACAGCTTATCAAGTTATCAGAAAGCATCGAGACGGTGGAATGACTTTGTGGCAATTGGCCAAAAGATTGAGCACAATAAAAATATCCTCTTTTATTGTATTGCAGGGCAACTTCTATCTGAGATGATAAATGATCTCGCTTCAGATGGAGGAAGTAGCTTCACGATCGCCCATCCAGATCTTCATCTTGGTAACATCTACGTTGATGAAAACTTCAACATCACCTCTATCATTGACTGGAGTTCAGCGTCAACTGGCCCAGTATCTGAGATCCTCGCGGCTCCATCACTTGGTAGCTCAGCTGCCCCGCCATCAGCATACCTTGCTGCGGCCTATCGGTCAGGTTTTATCCAGGAAGCTGACAAAAAGACGCAAACCCTACCTGATGCGGTTCTCTGGAAGAGGTCAGAGATAATGTGGTATTTTACTCGTCTAACACGCTTACTTTCCAAAAATGACCATCAGCTTTTTGAAAGGCTGTTTGAACTCATATACAACAAGGACGCCTTTGCGCATGGAAGAGAGAGGATTTTGGGACTCTTCCAGGAGCGCGCTGGTCGAGATGAAAACGTGAGGCTTCTGATTAAACTTCAGGAGGATGATCTCTCGGCCGGAGAGCTACAGGAAAGGGAACGAGCATGCTTCCCCCCGAAGAGAATCGTAAACACAGACTCTATTGCTGTGGCGAGGAAGTTAACGCTGATGTCTGAAATAAATCCAACATTTCTTGCTGATCGTAGATTGTGGAAGTGGGTTGAAGAAACTCGTGAGCAGGATGGACTATAACACTTTACCGCTGTCTTCTCATATTGGCACCATATTGGCGAGGCAAAGTACTTGGCAGGATAAGAGTGCAATATCTCACAACTAATGACAGACACACCGTAAGTACACAACTTGGGTATCTACATGCTTTGGGAAGTAAGGATAGATGAGACAAGGATGTAAGCTTTTATGCGGGCAGTAATCTGACCACAATGGGAATCTGTAGTCTTTCCATGGAAGGTAAACGAATATGGAATATTCTGCTGCACTGAAACTAAGAGAATTCATCGAGACCTACCAGCCCAAAGCTGTTAAGAGATGTGTTTCTTGAGGTTCTTTTACCGTTTTGAGGGATGCCTGAGGACATAATACTATAATATGCCTCAGTTGTACGCTCTTCCTGTCATATCACTTCATGTGGTGGGCTAGAGTCAAACGATGTTTGTTTCTGTTGTATTAAAGACTAGCCTACTGTGGCCTACTTCTTCAGCGTACCTGCAATCTGGGGCTTGAGATACTTCGCGATGTAGTCATCGTTCTTCCAGCCCGACCAATCAGCCTTCTTCAAGCCCCAAGAATCATCGAACTCCTGGATGCCCTGACGAGTATAGTAGCGACCAACAATAACCCAGATGAACCAACTAGCCTTGACCTCGGGCAAATACTGCGACAAGCAGCTCACATAAGTGTTGGCGGTATTGTAATCAGCACCATTCATAGCTTGGCCAAACTCAGTCAGCATAACGGGGAAGACCTCAGCAACGTTGGGATCGCTCTCGTTCATGGCCTGGAAGCCCTTGTTGTAGAGGTTGTAGCGAAGAGAAGAGCAGCTGGTTCCACTGTTCTCGTAGTTGTGAATCTCAAGAACGAGCTTATCCTTGCCGTATCCGACAAAGTCATCTCGGTTGAAGACTTCACCTCCTGGCTGGAGCTTCTCACCGGAGTAGAGAGGAGTAACATAGGTGTCGTAGTTCATGCCGGAGATGACGATAACTGCATTTGGATCGGCCTCGTGGACTGCGTCAGCACCTTGGCGCATGTACTTGTAGAGATCACTCCAGTTGTATGACTTGTCACGGAGAGCGTTGTTGTTTGTAGGCTCACGGGGCTCGTTGCGCAGTGACTGTGTGATCTTGGCGGGCCACTTCTTGCTCTGTTTATAGTCAGTATTGAAACATCATGTACAGGAAGTGGTGGAACATACGTGAGCAGCCATGTATTTGCCACCTCGAACCCAATTGTCGACATTGAACTGGGTATCTCCCCACCAGGTGTTGCCATCTGTACCGCCGCAGCACCACTTCGCTTCGGAAATATGGTTGTCAAGGTCAATATAGATCTGTTGACGCAGACACTCAGCAGCAATGGCGTCGTAGACCTGGAGACTGATAAGTATTACGTCTAGTTGCACGGTGTTGATTAAATTTACCTCAAGACGTGTTGTCTGAGCTGTGAAAGTGGGGTTGTTCTTCAACACCTTCTGAAGAATGATGGTGCCATTCTCCTTTCCAAGACCTTCCTCGAAGGCAGTCTTGAGATCAACGTCTTTACCGTTGTTGGCGTAGATCTGATCAACAAGTTCTGTGGCGAAGGTGAGACGAATAGCGTTCATGCCAATGCTCTTGATATCGGAGAGAACACCCTTGATGGATTGGTACTGCAGACCTTCAGGTACCATGACTTCGCCGTGGCCGGGCCAGTTAGCTCCAGCAAGGCTAATCTTCTCACCATTGGCGTTGACGATCCAGCGACCCTGGGTCTTGAAAGGTCCATTGGGCCATGCTGCTATAGCGTTGCCAATGAGGCAGCTGAGTGCCAGAAGAGGGCTGACGAAAAGCTTCATGGTGGAGAAAGATGACGAAGCTGGGGATTTGATCCTGATTCGAAGGAACGAACTTGCATGAGAATCTCTGAGACCTTATACTTTTCCAATACGACACCAAATTAAACTCAAAAACACCGACGTTCCGGAGCGGACCGAGCTTCTTGGCAATTTTCATCTCGAATTAGACGCGCAGTAACACCTGACGTATGTCCTCCTGAACTAATGGCACGAGCGACAGGGGTTCCAACCACCGAAAAGCTGGGGAAGACAGATATTCCCCCAATCCGGGGAAACAAACTGTCGATCTTGACGCTATTCAGATGCTTGTCTCCCCCGCATAATAAACGTCCAGCGTCGTTGCGACTCCAGAGTGCCCTGTGCGCTTCGGCTCCGGTATCCCCGACCCCGCAAATTCCTGGTTAGAGATGCGGGGTGGCCATCACGAGTCTGGGTAGCGTGAGGGTTCCTCGGCATTGGAGGCGCTAGAATAGGAAATCTTGGGCTTCGGAGCATTTGGTAGCGAGAATTTGATGGTGAGAGGTGCGGATGAACATGCGGAGATCTTTCCTGAATGGAGCCTGTAGCCAAGGCCATTCAAGGATCAAAGCACGGTGATGATCCATTCAAGAATGTCAAGCCGATTAGCCCGCTTATCCCCCAATTTAGCAAAGATGTCTAGGTCACGGTTCTAATCTTCTGCTTTACACTTAAAAAATATCGATCTTTCCGAATATCCAAGTATAACATTCCTACAGCTGTACTAGACATGTGATGCCATGTCAAACCGACCTCTTTAGGGTAGGTAGCCATAATGCATCATAAACCGTACTGGCTCATGGAGTCGCGTTAGAACTGGGGCGTACGTGCTGGAAACCTCACATAACAACGGCAACTCAAGATTGGATATCTGTTCTGTATAGAGTCGTCATTTTAATAGTCATCATTGCCTTTCAGACATCATGAGTAGGCTCGGTATGGACGCCAGTTAAGCAGCTGTAGTTTCGGGCTTCTGTCCCCAAACAACCTTCTGAGCAAAGTATCCGTGATGCTTCCCAGAGCGAATCTCTCTTCGGAACTGGGCAACGTAAACAAGGATCTCATCTCTCGTCCATCCAAGTGTATGCGCCATAAACAGAATAAAGCCCTCGCTATCTGTCTCAAGACCATATTTGGAGTAAGCACCCATGCGCTTCTCAACGGGGTCCGTGGGCCAAGTTCCAACAGGGTTCTGTCACATCCATCAGCATTCCATCTCAAAAGCGCGGAGGCATAACTCACTCTGAAGTCGAATTCTTGGATGTTGATGAAACCGGCCTTTTCCATAGCCTTGCGTTGAGTGCCATCCTCAACGACACTGAAGCTCGTACCGATCTTTTTACCGCCCTCCTTGAAGAATTCACCCCAGTGACCCATAGCAGAATTAGGTGCAACAGTGCCATCGTCGCTGCTTACGTTGCAGGAAGCTTCATGGCTTTCAATCCAGGCGCCCGGTTTGCAGACTCTGTAGGCTTCGGAGAAGAAGGCGTCCCAGTCTCGAACACTGCCCATCAGCCATCTCACGTGAATGTAATCGGCGAAGTCGGACTTGAAGGTCCATTCGCGGGTACAATCTTCGATCTCACTGTACAAGAGTTAGCTTAGCTAGAAGACTCGGGGACATCACGTACAATTGAACATTAGGGGGAACCCAAGAGGGCTGGATGGGAGAAAGGTCCGTTCCGATAATTTCAGCGCCAGGATATTGGTCGGCGAAATCGCTAGATTTATGTTAGACTATTCAGTGGATTGAAGGACACAACTTACATAGCCCAGATACCGGTACCAGTGCCGATGTCAATAGCTTGCTATTAAACAAGTTAGTATCGCATGGAAGACACAAATGCGGAACTTACATGAAGTTTATCTTCTTTGAGAGGAGCCAAGTGTAGTTTATCTCCAAGACCAAGGGTCAGAATATGGTGGCTGATGGCATGTCAGTAATCACCCAGCAGCCTCTACAGTGAACTTACGTGAGATCCATCAAATCATTTTGCTGCTCGTCATTGGAGGCCCTTTAAAAATGTCAGAATGTGTGAATTATCAATCGAAATGATGCTGCCATACCAATATTGAGCATTGCCCTGCTCACTGTGATAGGTGCGGCCATGAATGGTTCTGTATTCCAGAATGCTAGAGGTGATGGAAGCAGTTGATGAGGCGTTATCAGGGTCAAGGGTTGAGTCAGCATCTGCGTTGTCGTCACCCGCGCCCTCAGCCTCAGCCTGTGCTTGTTCCTGCAGTATCCAATAAGCATCCCAATCACATCTAGTCTGGTTCCTTCACACACCTCATTGACCTGTGCCCAATGCTGCGGGTCAAGAATAGGACCCGACGTGGCAGCGGGTGGAGAGGCTGCTGACTCGGTAGTGGCAGCCATTGGAACAGCCTCAGCCGCAGGAGCTGGAGACCCTCCAGTAGCCGCTGGGGCCTCGGGAGCAGCCGCGGCTTGGCGGGTTGGCTCAGGCGTTTCCGACATTGTTTGCTACCACTAAGAAAAAACAAGGCAGAGCAAACAGATCTACAGTTGCAATACCTCAAAGCGAAAAAAAAGAGAATCAAAGCGTCAGCCAGGTGGAAACATGTGAGGGATTAAACACAGGGAAAAGAGTGGTCTGATTTGTTTTGCAGGGTAGTACGGACTAAATACTGCTCCGGGAGAACCCATGTGAGTGTAACTCTCACGATTGGCCTGGCAAGTCCTGAGAGCTTCCTGAATGGGGATATCCCTTGGGTCTAGACTCGTAGCACTGAAGGATGGGGCCACCAGGAAAATGGCTATAAAGGCGAGGAAGGGCAATTCTATGTATGTCTTGGTTATCACTAAGCCTTTCTACTTGGAATGTTTCAAGGACATTGCAATACCTCGCTGGAATGCGATTTGTAGCGTGTTGTTCCAGGAATCGAGAACTGGAAACTTGCGGTAGTGGGGTTCTCGGCTTCGGACAGCAGCCAGATCAGGCTAATCACCATTTAACAGGCCACGCAGCACCTGGAAAAGATATCATCCGCCACGAATAAAATGTTGAGAGCTCATACGATTATCACTAAAATCAACTGATTATGTACATAACTCCGCCGCCCTCTGATCCACCGAGTTAACATGCTCTGAATCATCAATATCACCGATATGTAACCCCATCGCCATGCCCCGCGCCATGTGTACAAGCATATGGCAATGCAACGCCCATATTCCCGGGTTATCAGCTACCAACGCCAACACGACGTGACCCCGCCGTGGTACACTAACAGTGTCCTTTCGCACCGGAAACTCAAGATTCAAGCCGTTCGGTGGCGCCTCGTCTATGTAGGGATTGTAACTGCCCCAGCTCCCGCGGCCTGGATTTCTGTATGATGATAGAACGTAGAACGAATGTCCATGAAGATGAAACGGATGCGCACCATCGTCCAGGTTGTTGATGACGATGTCGACTCTCTTTGGTTTGCCGTCCGATATTCCGATAAATGGGACTAGTTGGTTTTCATCCCATGAAATTCGGTTTTGGGCCAGTAGAGGTGGAGTTTGTGGCGTCCAGGATGTATGATTGATGAATCCGACTGGTGCATAGTCCATGTGCGCCAGCTTCTCAACTTTAGCGTAGAGAAGAATAGTCTGTTCAGCCTTTGCTGGGAGATCCGATGCCTTGGTAGCAGCTTTGAGATTCTGCGAGTCAAGGGCCTGGATCTCATTTTGTTGCAAAGGCTGAGGAACAACTTCATGAGATGAACCCTTTATGCTTGAGCTGAATATTGGGAAGCTTTGGGTTGGATTTAGTGCTGGGTTAGGATAGCCAAAGTTTCTGTCAAAATTGTTAGTCCTGATCTCGATTGGTATGTGAATAGATGATACGCACTCATCGTCCATATAAACCGTAAGCCAACGGTCGCCTACATACTTCTTCTTCCACTCAACCTCGAGGTCAACTCTTTCACCAGGATAGAGAACACCGACCGTTTCGGTAGCTTCAGCCTTGACAGAGAAGCCTCCATCCACGCGAAGTGGCCGAATGATGGCGCCATCGATCCTCAAGGAAAGGCCTGCAACGGAACCTGTATTGACTACTCTAAGTCTGACCTTCTTCTGACTCCCAGACATGATAAGGGGTTTGAGGTCGCTAAGATGGACTTGAGAGCAAACAACTGGTCGCGCAGGAACAGCCATAGAGCAGTTGAAGCGTCCCTGACCATTGACCAGCAACGAATCTGGGACCGGTTCATTCCCTCGACTACTCGCATCGGCATACCAGCCCAGGACTTCCGTTTGGTTTCGGTGAAACCAATCACCGATCATGAGCAGGTAATCTTCCGTCGGGAGGTCAACCTCATTTGGAGAATGAACAACGAGACCTCCCCATAGTCCATCAGCGCGTTGAACATCAGAATGAGAATGCCACCAGAAAGTGCCTTGTTCCTCGGCGCCGATGGTGAAGTTGTAAGTGAAACTTGTGCCGTGAGTGAGGGGACATTGTGTAAACCCAACAGCGCCGTCCATACTGTTCTGGCCTTTCATACGCAGGCCATGCCAATGAAGAGATAGGCCCTCATCTTGAAGTCCATTGTGAACATGAATCACAATTCGGTCACCAGACCGGGCCTCGATGAGAGGTCCTGGAAACTCATCTGCGCAAGTCAGTAACGGTATACATCATGTTTGACGAGGGCCTCACTGTTAACTAGGTACACCCGCTTCTCAACGCCATCTGGTGACCTGATTCCGGCTTTGATAGTCCAGTTGAAATATTGCGTTGTTGGATGACGTGTTACGTGATCCTCAGGATGGAGTCGGTACCCAAGATGGCCGATAGTATCATCACCTGGTGGGCTCCTTGACGGGCCATACAATGCGACTACGACCCCGATTGCCGATAGTAGTGCAACCACGATAAGAGATGTTATCCATCTCCAACCGCACGTGCAACATACCGAAGGCGGGGTTCGATCATCTCGCACCTTGACCTCCTCTCCCAGTGCAAACTCCTCAAGCAAAGCATCGGCTTCTTCATCGTGAGCGACCATTTTGGTATGTGCCTCAACCCAAACTCACAAAAGCGCATGATCGAAAGCTCTTTTGTGATGGAAGCGAGGCAGTTCCAAGTCCCATTTCCGTGCCGTACATCCGCATCCCGATAAGAAAAGTCCCGAGCGCTTGTGATCCTAAATCTCACAAAGATCCCCCACGAGATCAATCCCCGCGCGCTGATTGGCTCGCCACCCAACCGCACCATCGGTCAGCGAATTAGTTAGTATTAAAACAAGACCTCCCAACTTGGGAAAGATATTCAACGTTGCAATTTACATCTGATGCATGATCATCTTGTTCTTGCTAATCAGATGGATATGATTTGAAACGTGTGAGTTGAGAAAATCTTGTGATCATCGCTTTTGGAGCCAGATCTTGCAGTGCTACGCTACTCCACCGTCGACGAGGGTTATCTTTTCGATTCTGCTTTTTTCGTACGATTATTTCCGATAACAACGAGGGACCTATAAGTTGCCAAGATGTGGCAGTGTCTTGAGTCTTGGCTCCTCTGGTTTTACCAGCTGGTTAAGGATTGGCCTTGGTTATCAGACATGATTTTCTCTCCGAGACTTCGTTGGGCCCTCACAGCCCTTTTGGCGGCTTCAAAAACAGCCAGGACTGAGAGCCTGGCTGATATCGACCATGTGATCTTGTTTATGCAAGGTAACGTCCCTTAATCAGCTTATCGTATCAAATTTCTAATCAACTATAGAAAACCGTGCCTTTGATCACTACTTCGGTACTATGCCCGGAGTTCGTGGCTTTGCTGATCCAAACGTCCAGTACAACAACGGCATCCCTGTCTGGAAACAGCAAGTCACCCCTCAACAGAGCAAAGAGACTGATTACATCACACCTTGGTACATCAACTACCTCGGTGGAACATGGCCTGAAGCTACTCAGTGCATGAGTGCTGGGTCCAACGGCTGGGATGCCAACCAAGCTGCCTGGAACCACGGCGCCAACAACCAGTGGGCAGTTAAGAACACTCCCTACAGTATCGGATACTACAAGCGCGATGATCTTCCTGTTCACTTTGCTCTTGCTGAGGAGTGGACTGTCGGTGATATGTACCAAGAGTCCGTCATCGCTTCTACCAACCCCAACCGTGTCATGTGGATCAGTGGATCCATCAATGTCCCTGGCTCACCACAGACCAAGGATGAGGGTGGATACCCCTACATCGACAACAATGAGACACCTGGCTGTGATAAGAACGGTATCAACTGTTACCCTCTCAAGTGGTCTACTGCAGCCGAGAAGTATGAGGCTGCTGGTGTCTCATGGAGTGTCTTTCAAGACGCTGACAACTTTGACGATAACCCTTATGCTTGGTTCGAACAGTTCCAAGATTCCAATACAGGATCTGACTTGAACAAGAAGGGTATGAAGGGACAGTCTTTGGACGCTTTCTATGCTCAGGCCGCTGCTGGAACTCTGCCCGAGGTTTCATACATCGTTGGTCCCATGCAGCTTTCAGAACATCCTCCTTACTCCCCTCATGATGGATCTTGGCTGCAGCGGAAGGTTGCCGAAGCTGTTATCAACTCCCCCAAGTACTCCAAGTCTGTTCTGATCATCTCGTATGACGAGACAGGAGGCTGGGCTGATCACGTTAGCCCTTACACTTCTCCTGATGGTACTGCGGGTGAATGGATTGATGATCCTTATGGTGCAGCCGGCCGCACTGCCACCGGCCCAGGCTTCCGCGTTCCTTTCTACATCATTTCACCTTTTACCCGCAAGGGCGGTGTTTATACTGAACACGCCGATCACACCTCTCAGGTGTCTTTTATTGAGAAGTGGCAGGCTGCAAAGGGTCGTGATGTCACCACTGATGAGATGATTCCCTGGCGTCGCGAGAACATGGCTGATCTGGTCAACGCCTTTGACTTCAAGAACCCCGACTACAGTATCCCCAACCTCCCTGAAGCTCCCCAACCTCATACCAACAGCAAGGGGGTTTATGATGGTTCATCTTATTGTTCTTCTCAGTACGGTAATGGGCGACCTCCTATTCCCTACACTGGTGTGGGGGTCAACAACGACACCGCAAGCCTTGCTGAGGCTGGTTTCAAACCTGTTCGTGGACTTCTCACTGAAGGCCGCACACTTGTCATTGAGTCTTCTGGTCAGGCCGTGAGCACCACATCGTACAGCAGCAAGGTGTCACTGAGTAAGGCATCAAAGAATCACGACAACATCCAGCATGGATGGGTGTTTCATGCCGTGGACATCGGTGGCGACCAGTTCACAATCAGCTCTGCCAACAACGGCCAGTATATCTGTAAGAATCTTCAGCTTTGCAAAGACTCTGGCTCTGCTACGGTTTTTGTTGTGGACTTCAAGCCAAGCAAGGGTCACTCTTTCAAGGACCAGACGTCAGGGGAGTATCTAGCGAGTGGCCGAAAGGAGAAGCTGGGCTGGCAGAAGAACCATACTTTCTGGAAAGTGTTTAGTGTCACTTATTGATTAGAAAATAATCATAATACAGTGTAGTTAGTGCTGGCTTATCTTGTCGGAGAGTTTGTTATGCGGTTGCTCTAGGAAAACAGCGGGTGAGATCTTGCTATACATGTTATTAAGCAACTTGCTAGTGTTATTAAACCCATGCACTTGAGGTCTTCGATTCGATTGGATTGGTGAAACAATTCTGAGCACTTGTCGCGGATATGTCAGTGTCTGTAAACCAAGATATCATTGTCTTGTAGCGCTCCCGTGAAAGATATTATTTCTATGTGATTCCCAGGCGATGCCCGACTTCTCTTAACTGGTCAATTCAACTATTGCTTTATCTCTAGTGCCCTTTACAAGTCTCCATTGTAGGTATGTGGAACCTCAGCCTCATGGCATCTTGTTAAGCTGTTTGTCTTCTAGAGGCTCACTAGATTAAGGGATCATTTCCATCAAAATACAAGACTGGCTATCGATAGTGACCATATACCAGATGCACCCCACCCTACGGCCCATACCACTTTCTCACTTCAGCTTCTCAATAAGCTCCTTTTCCTCACGTGCAGTCCGACATCCGAAGCATTCATCAGTACCCTTGACAGAATCGAAAGAGTCTATTATGCCAATTGCACAATTTGCGAGATCTCCCGTCGAGTTGGCCTCATCGCATCTGGTCAGACTGTTTCTGACTGAACATTCCCATGTACATGTTATACATTGAACAGACGTGCGAAGCCGGTAACACATGCTTTTCTAAATATCTGTAGATTTTCCACGAGTAAATATCTGAGCTGGGGGGTCTAAATGCTCGATTTAGATGTAGGAAGATTCTTGCTGTTTGATTGTGGAGGAATATATTCATTTTCCGTGCTACGAAGTGGATTTTATATGGCCAAGTGCCCAGTGATTCAATATATCCCCATTGACAATCACAGTGTGTTTCACATAGATGAGCACTCTTCTTCACTGCCAGTGAGATTTGTGAACCAATGTGACCTTTGAACCAGACATGGTCGCTTAGTGATACCAGGGAGCTATAAAAGACATGGCATGAGTCAGAAGGGAGTCACATAATTGGATGGCCGCGATGGCAAGAAGATTATATAATCTGCTGTAGAGCTACTTGACCTCAAGTATCCAGATAGGGTCACTAGATACGAGGTAATATGTAGATGATGGTGGTAGTAGTGATAAAGGACGCGACGTCGGAATTTGCCATATACAAAAGGTGTACCGACAGCGCATCCTGATGACCATGCACTTTTATCTTATGACAAGCTTTAACTGTCTCTCCTTCTCCTCTCGTTTGATACGGCATGGATCGCATTCAGCCTTCCCCTTCTCACTGACGTTATCCTTCCATATACCAATGGAGCATCTTGCATCCTTTCCGTGCCCGTTGACCTCGCGGCACCTGTCTAGAAACTGTCGGTGTGACATTTCTGTCGTGCACGAGATGCATTGGATAGAAGTGCGAACTAGCCGACACATCGTAAGGTTTTGCTGGTTATAAGCAGAATTTCCGATTTCGGTATGATGATAAAGTTTGGAATATCAGATAGGAATGTGGCGAGTTTGTTGAAGTTGGGAAAGAATGGTGCCCGTATCTTTGGTGCTGCGAGTGGGATTTTATAGTCCTTGTGTGAGACGCGTGATGTGAGCCATTAGCTTTGGGGTCTATCAACTCAAAATGACACTTTATTAAAGTCAGTCCGGGCAGTATATCAGCTACCCAATACAATTGCCCAAGATAAGCTTTACAAGCCTATCTGATGCATCAAGAGAACTCTAAAAAAGATTTCTCGGGGATTCACTGCATTCAATAAGGTTATACAGGCAGCTAAGCAGCCTTTTTCACTTCCAGTGATGTCGTAAGTGAATGTCATTTCGTTCGAAGAGATGTTTTGGAAAGCTCTACTCAATCCATAATCCTTCGTCATCCACTAACAGCGTATCCAGTAACCTCCGCTCTTCTGCAAGATCTCTAGTCTTCCTCGAACACTTGGTGCATTCCTCTTTTCCAGTCTCCCTTTGTTCAGGCAGGACCCGAGCTGATCCACACTGTCCCCAATCAGACTCTGTCTTGATGATTCCACATAACTTTATGTCGAATTGGCCAGAGTATTTGACTCCGCAAGTTTTGCAAAGAAGTACTACCAAGGTTTGGGAACACATCTTATAAACAAAAGAAGAACCTTCCTTTCTAATGATTTGATCAGCGATGGTGCAAGATATGAGAATGTAAGTGGTCTACAGCAGATGATTCTTAGAAGGTGTTGGTAGATTTCGCCGAGTGGACTTTGACAATGACCGTCGATGGGACGAAGACAACAGTTTATATAGGTTTTCTGACATTGAATCGTGCAGTGATATGACGAACAGTCCATTGTGTTCAGTGATGAACTTATCAAAAACAGCCTCCATGCACCTTTGACTGTTCGCCTGGCTTGTTCACCATCAAGCACGATTAGAAGGTTATTATATTACTGATTCCTCTTTAGATATCGCCACGCTGCTGAATCACAACCCGGCTATGCCTGCTATTCCGTTCACTGTATTCTGGAACCCATCCTTGAAAGCTATTCCAACACTACCTACTCCTCCTGAATGGTAGCGAGTGCTGCCTTTCTCTCTTCTTCCTCACGTTTCTCTCGACACTCATTACATTCTCCTCCCTCCTCCTCCAATTCTACTTGCATGACTCCTGCGTCGCACTCCCCCACACAGCCATTTCAGGTAAGTTGTCACAAGTGGAAGTAGTGGAACTAGTCTTGCATGAATGCCGGCAGGTCGAACAAAGAGTCGACAAGGTATAGTAATAACACATCTTTCAAGTTGCCGCTTTTGGTATTCTGTTTCAGTTCCGCGGAAGCTTAATATTTTGACCAAATACTTTAGTTTAACCTTCTAGATGTTGAGAATTCTGCGGGCGACGTTTCCTGCTCCGCAAGGACACGACAATATATAGTCAGACCTGAAGCTGCGGTTCACTGCGGACTCGCTAGATTGATACAGAGGGTTGAAGGTGAAATGGGGCTAGTTCTTTCTTCGTATGACTATGAACTACGGTATTTTCACTCACTCATACACCTTATCCATTGGCAGCAAGTATGATGAGGGCATTCTTGAGATATATTATGTACTAATCCATAAGCAACATCGTAAAGCCCATGATAATAGAATTATGTAAAGTATATAATACTTGTAGAAATGAATGATACCGCCCTTGACATTGAAATTCCCCTTTACTGGGAGCCCTGGAGTGAAAAGTCATCGAATAAAAAGTCGGGGAACCCACTGGCGTCAGTGCACTCGACAGTGATGGACATGGACTCAGCCGAGTCACCGGCTGTGAAACTGTAGTCAAAAGACTGATACTGATACGCTGTGACTTGGGCGTCGATATCAAGGGTCTGGGACACTGAACCAAAGACAATCTTGAATGAGCATGTGCTGGGCACGTAGGCAGATCCAGCTGACCAGCTGAACTGGAGAGCATACGTTATGCCTGCATTCAAGGAACTAGCCAGTGGCTTAGTGAGTGTGGCTGACTTCTTGGAAGATCCAATTTGAACGTATCTGGCCGAGTTAGGATATTGTTACACACGAGTTGAAGTGTCAGATACTCACAAGAAATTGTCGCCCGAGTTAGGCGATGGACCGTCAGCTGTGCTTCCGGCTCGGATTGTCATGCCGTTGGTGCCGAACCAAGCATAAGTACTATCTTCAGTGGCTTGGATCTCAAAGCTGGGGTTCTCAATGAGCGCCCCAGTCACAGGATATGCCTCGCAGCCACCCACTCTGATCAGTGCAGTATCATCGACGTAGACTGATCCAAGGACTGTGTTACCATCGTTGTACTGGCAATAGAAGACTATCTGAAGCAAAAGATTGCCGGCAGGCATTTGAAAGCGAGCTGAATAGATCGTGTAGCCAGTCGACGAAGTTGCGCCGAAATTAATATTAGCTAGTGGAAAGCCAATTTGATCGTTGTAACCGCCATACATCCAGCACTGGCCGTTATCTGGCAGGGTCTTAGGCTTCCAGAAGAAATGGAAATCGTAGTTCTCGCCGGCTACAAGATCTGATGAGTCAATGGTTTGCTCGAGGAATACAGCATCTGAAGCAGTTCCACTGGGGAAAAGTCTGCCGATTGTCAGTTGACTCGCACAAAATATTCGAAATGGAAACTTACGCTTCCCGCTCTCCGGTTCGGGCGTTGGATGCATCTTGCACAAACTCTCCCCTGTTGTACCAGGCCCATGCTTGGTCCGCGTCATCAGCTTCGAACCCGGGGACTTGAACGACATTCACAGGGCAGTGAGGCGCCTCTGGCTGTGCAGGCACGAGGAGCGTCGATTTAGGGGGGGCATTTGGGTCGACGGGAGTAGCATCGCACGCGTTGGTAGAGTCTAGAACAGAGGTGTCGTCGATGTGGATTGTAGCTGTGTACCCATTGCCTACACCAGGACAGGAAACGCCAATCTCGATAGCTGGGTCCAAATTATCCTGGGCAATAAAACTCGCGGTATACTGGTGGTATTCAGAGTCAGAAGGAATCGGCACCTGCTTCAATGTCGTGTAGTAGTCGAAAGTAGCAAAGACGGAGCATTGGGTGTTGACTGATGGAGGGTTTGCAACAGCATACCAGAAGCTGATGGTATACTCTGTTCCTGGGGTTATGTGAATGCGCTGCTCCATACGTCGTTCTTGTCCGTCTGGAACAGGTAGAACACTTTTTTAGATTAGACAAAGGCTTGAAAAACGTGAGAGTGTCAACCTACCCAAGGTAATCGCCAGTCCGAGCTTGGTCGGGGTCGTATTCAACATCGCCACCGCCCCAGTAGAATCCCCAGACGGTTCCCTGATCTGAAGCTTCGAATCCAGGCTGTCTGAGTAGGTTGGTAGGCTCAACACAGGCCGAGGTTGTGGTTGTAGGTTCTGACGAAGTTGTCGTGGCTTCCGCGGTGGTGGTAGGACTGGCAGTTGTCGTAGTATCAGCAGATGTCGTGGACCCCTCGGACGTACTAGCTTCGGTGGAGGTCACATCAGTAGAGGCCGAGGTTTCAGCAGTAGTAGTCGGGACGCCTGATGTCGTGGAGTCGACGGGTGCCGAAGTCTCAGTAGACGTGGACAGAGCATCAGAGGTCGTGGACTGGGCAGAGGTCACAACATCGCTTGAAGTGGTAGAGCTACCAGACGTAGTGAGGTCGACAGAGATCGTATGACTGCTTGAGGTCTCGACAGTTGAGATATCTGAGGTTGTCGGGTTGCTTGACGAAACAATAGATTCACTACTGGACAGAGATTGAGAACCAGATGACGTAGGGTTGGAAGCAGTTGTTTCATCAGACGAAGATGTTTTGTCCGTTGATGTCGTGGCGATGGTACCTCCTGAAGTAGAGGTCGAGGCAATCGGTGCCGAGGTTGGTGTTCCGGAGCCGGACTGGCTTAGTGAGGTCCTGCTCGATGGGCGACAGAGACCTGCGTTGACCCCCAAGAGGTTCGCTGCTGCATAAGCAACTCCAATAGCCTTGAGCGACACCATTTTGAATGAGTGACTATTAAACGAATGACTATTTCACAATTGTGTGAAAGGAACGCTGCAATGTCAAAAGCGGACTCAACAAGGGAGCAGCCCCATAAGATATTAATTGTCATAAGGATCTCGTGGAGAACACCTCGTATCAGCCGCCAAGTTGCACTACTTTAGTTCACAGTCACGTTATTCCCAAATTACGAAAGTGAGTCTAAATCGGTCGTTAACCGCTGACTTTTGGCCAGCTGAATCGCATTTAGTGAGCTCGTGAAGGATCAATAGTTTGGTTGACCTTATCTAGCGTAGCGCAGAGATTGGTTAGAGTACTGAGTGTGGATCGGAAGTAGCTGTATCGAGCCGTTGGGGGCGTTTAGCTGCTGTGCCTTGCATATTTAAAATTATCAACCCCTGAACTTCTGGGCTAGCGCTGTTCTTTGTTGTTCGACGCTATCGATTTTGAGATAAACTATTGACTTGTTGCTAAACCTCAATGGACATCAGCCTAAACAATTCCGCTCGCAAAGTCCCTTAAGCCCGGTGATGCCGGTGGGCTTTGCGCTAAATACCATCATTTGTAAATCTGGTTGTGAGAGTGGCCTTACGGGTTTGTCAGCCATCGCGTCATTGAGGCCTGTCACTGGGCTTGAGATGCCTGTCAATCTGCGATGAGATCGTGGCTTGGTATGGATTGCGCAGGGTTGTGCAGCCATAGAATGTCACCAGCAGCCCGCATTATATTGCCGATGTTGAATTTAATAAATGGTGTCCTGTTCTCGAGTCCAGATTTTCATCCGCCATATGTTTTACTCTGCAAACTATTGTGGATATAGACCCTGCATAACATTATCTTGAGGATTCAGTGTCGCCATGAAACCCATAACTGTTCCCTATTTAACCCTTGAATATTGAAGAGGCCACTGCGCTTCCACGCCTAACTCCTTGGCAGCAGTCAGCACGAAACCCGCATCTCGCAAGAACTGCCTTCCAACCATAACCAAGTCCGCCTGAGGCTCCTGATATCTTCCCCTGTCATCCTCTCCGTTTGTTCCGTTCGTCTTCCGCACTCTGCTGGAAATGCCGTTACCTCGAACGACACTCTCAGCCATGGAAGGGTTATCGATGAACCCAACGGCGGCAATCAGCATGTCGATACCATCAGCCTTGATGGCCCGTCGGATCTGGTATGCAAGATCAACCTGATAGTATGGATGAATATCGATCTTTTGGTCATTATGGTTACCACCAGATGAGACATCAAGAATGTCAACTCCCGCCTGGGGAAGAAGCTTGGCAAGTTTGATGGATTCCTCAAGTGTCCAACAGTCTTGGCCACTCCACTCCATCCACTCAACGGCCGAGATGCGCAGTGAGAGGACAACGGTGTCTGGTATGGCATCGCGGACGGCTTTCAGGACACGGAACAAGAAGCGCGTTCTGTTCTCGAAAGACCCGCCATATTCATCCGTGCGGCAGTTCGTGAGAGGGGATAGGAAGGCGTGGATCAAGTATCCGTGAGCGCCGTGGAGTTCAATAAAGTCTTCTACAGTTAGTTACAACCCGATAACTGGGAGCATAAGAACGTACCAACGCCAGCCTCAGCAGCTCTTCTAGCGGCACTAGCAAACTGGTCAACCGCAAGATCAATTTGTTCATGCCCCATCTCTTTCGGCATAGGATACCCAGGGCCATGGCAAATCGCACTCGGCGCCCAGACGTCATTCGGCCATCCGCCAGCTTCCTCATTTGCAAGTGGGAAGTGCACCATCGGATTGCCTTTGGCAAGCCAGGGTGGGAGCATGGAGCCCTTGCGACCAGAATGGCAGAGCTGTATACCTGCTTTCTGTCCTTGGGCATGAATGTAGTCAACTACCCGTTTCAAAGGTGCAATCTGACTATCCTTCCAAAGACCCGAGTCTCTGGTTGAGACGCGACCGTTGGGAGCTACAGCGGTAGCTTCAACGATGACGAGCGCGGCACCTCTCATAGCGAAGGCACCGTGATGGACAAGATGGAAGTCAGTGAGGTGTCCATCGTTGGCACTGAACATTCCCATGGGAGAGACGGCGATGCGGTTTTGGAGGGTAAGACCTCGGACTTGGAGAGGGGAGAAGAGGGTTGAGTTGACTTCGTTTTCTCCGACTTTTGTACCGGGACCTGGCGCCATGTCAGGGTATAATGGGATCGTCTTCTGAAAGGACATCTTGAAGGGCGAGTGGTATGGTTGAGACAGCGTTTTTCTTGTTGAATCTTTGAGGTTGGCTAGTTGGGAAGCTTGATGCAGACAACCATCTCTTATGGCGCAAGGAGAGATATTTATACCCAAAAGTCACCACATAATAGTCCTCTTGGAGTCTTTCAGTCCGAATGAGTCCGAATATTCCCTCATGGTATTACCAATCACCTCTTGATCGACAATCTCGTTGTAGAACTATCCCTCCGTCCATCGAATACACAACTCTCGGCTTGACACTTTGGGACTAGTGCAGTGAAATGAACGAGCTGGCCAATGGGCCAAAAGAATGAGTCTCCACAATCCGTCAATCATCATTAGTAATACTCGTCTTGTAGTCATATCGCAATCCTTCACCTCTCGAGCTCTGGAATGACATGGTTCTCTCACTTTCTTCAGATCTTCAAGGCGTCCCGGACAATGAAGACGACCGGGTCCCGAAAGAAAAGATACGCTACGAAGGGCAAAACCGGCTGTATCACCTGTCGGTCAGTGACAACCCCTGCGACAACAGGCGGTAACTAACCATGACAGCATTCGTCGAGTCAAGTGTGATGAAGACAAGCCAAATTGCCATCGCTGTGTGTCCACTGGCCGCAATTGCGATGGCTATGACCTTACTGCCCTGGCCCAGAGCAGTAGAGTTCAACTTCAACGGATAGTTTCTGGAACCAGTGATCCCGAAAGTCAGGCCATCTACCAATTCCGAACCAGGATCGCAACCCTCATCGCGTCTTCGTTCGATGCCGACTTCTGGACATATGATGTATTACATAAGTCAGATACATACACGCCCGTTCGACACGCCCTGGCAGCACTCGCGTCAGCCTACCAGAAGTCTATCCTCCTAGGAATAAAGTCTACAGCCTGCGACATGTTTATCTTTTCTCAGTACCAAAAGGGAATGAGATCTCTCTCGATCTGCTTTCAGGATGCCAGAGCGCTATCTCCATCTGCAAAGCTCGCTGCCTTGATCGCAAACTTCCTATTCACGTACCTTTGCTCTTTGCAGGGTCTTCGCCAAGAAGCACTTATTCATTTGAGAAACGGCTTGGCGCTCATTCGTGAATGGGGCGATCTCAGAGACCAAGGTCAACATATGGTGACGGATATACTTGGGTTGTACATGAGATTAGACACGCAGACTCGCATCATCTCAACAACCGATAGTACGTCACTTTGCTGGGATGGTCACTCTCAACAAAGGACTCTGCATGGTAATGGTAATTCCGATACGCCCTCTGTGTGCTCGTTATTACGCCAGCTCGATGCAATACATGGCCAATTACTTCGAGCTTCAAAGAGTCAAGCCTTATTGATGGCGAGCAGGCACTCACTGAACCTTTGGGACTGGCGATTGCAGAGCCTAAGCGCTGTTCCTCAAGGAGAGGAGAAGGATGTAACCGCCCTCAGGATGCGACGAGTGATGGTTGAAGTGACCATGAGTCTCGCAACTAGTACAAGAGGTAGTGTGAAATGTAACGTCGATATAGGTTGCAAGGCCATTCTTGGTCTGGCGCTTCAACTGATCAACGACCTCGGTCTTCAACCTGCGCAGGCTGGGTTTTATCTGGCGAATGGTCTCGTTGAAGCGCTCTATTTTGTCGCTATCACTAGCGAGGACTGGGACTTGCGACAGCAGGCCATACAAGTTCTGCGACAATATCGATTTACTGATGGAGTTTGGGGGAGTAACGCTGCTGCAGATCTGGCGGAGGGACGATTACAGCGGGACATATACAGGTACCGGCAGCAGCTGGAGTCATAGGGTGTGTCAAAACGATTTATATACCATTCTATCAGGATATACAGTAAACTTCTCTTTCTTCTCTTGATCTTAATTTATGCTTGCTTGAAGAGTGTGATGCCTTGCTGCTCAGGATACCCCAGGAAAAGCCTCAGCTTTGGCAGAATATCCGAAAACGCAGGGAACTTTTCCAAATCCAGCCCCTTCCCATCCTCCCCATCAATTTTGAACGGCCTCATAATGAGTTTATTCTGTTCAATATCCTCCAGCGAAAATTCCAGTGGCAAAATGCAAGCAACTTGAGGCGTCCGCAAATTCTTGCCAATCGTTCCAGCGATCTGATCCAGCCAACTTGGTACTGCGGGATCAGCAAATGACATGACGATGCAGCCACCAGCCTGGACCAAAGTATCGTTCTTATCGGCATTGGGCTTTGGGAGCCATAATTCCGTCTTGATTTGGGATAATGCAGGATTGGTTGGCTGACCCAGAGAATTCCAGGTTGCGAAACCCTGGTCGTCTGTTTGGTGAGAGTCGACGGCAAACATGTAACAGTTGTTGTATTTGCGTTTCGCATCAGGATGATGATCAAATTTGACTTTGATAGAAGAGCATGAAGCGATGGGGGAAAGTGATTGGCTCTTGGTGTTCTTCTTTTCGGTATCATTTGGCTCGATATTCTCATCCGACGCCGTGTCGTTGTCGCTATCGATCCGTTGCAGGGAGATTAGCTGTCTTCTCACAGTGGCCTCATCACCGTGAAGAATGGCCACTGCCAAAAGTACTTGCACGCCAAGAAGAAAGCTCAGACCGGCGGCACTCCAGATGTAGGGTGAGGCTTTGACTGACGCCTCAACCCATCGCACTGCAGCATGAATGCGTTCATCCATGACAAAGTTTGCAAGATAAATAATAAGAGTAACATTTTTCTTTCATGGGTGAACCTCGATTAAAGCTTTTGAGCGGACGGTTTGCCAAGCAATTTAAGGAGGCGCAATCATTTCCACGTGCTGATTTTGATGGATTGATTGGCGAATATCCGACGCCAAGCGATTTCTGTTGGCAAGGTTTTATGAACCAGATTAGATGCGAAAATTATTTTATATCGACATATCAACTATGTGACTCGTGAAGACCTTTTTTTTGCAATGCAAGGTCACGAGACTTGATGATGCGTTGCGAAAATCACGGTCTTGCCTTCAAAGGAATGAGGTTAACCATAAGGCTTTCCAGGGTAGCCACAGCATATCTACGTGAGACACCAACGTCGAGTTTTTTCACCAATGAATGTGCCTAAAAGAACGAGTTTTTCACGAAGTGAGGCTTGGTTATCTACGTCTTCAATGTTGGGCGAAGGGCGAATTCCATATGGCGTAGCGGCGCGCGTCAAGGTCAAGACCGCTCGCAGCGACGTAAAGTCACATGCCCTCGCGTCCAAGTCGCATCAAGATTCACGGTCTGCTATTCAACCTTTCATAAATGACTTTCTAACTTTGCAACACTTTTTATGCTCGGTGAATGACAAAGCTAATATCTGAGTCATTCGAGGCATCTATGTAACAAAGTCAATACACAAAATTAATTCCCTTCCCATAAATAGACAAACCTCCCCCCGAATCTATAAATAATTTCTACCCCGGCATGATCCGCGTCTGTGCTTGTCTCTCCGCATTCTGAAATCTGTCTTGATCGCCCTAACCTCGCCAAGTCTCACCCATTTTCGCTTACATAACCCGGCTTACCCCATACGGTCCACATAAAATGGCTCAATCCGTTACGTCAGTAGACGCGCTAATCGCTCCAACCTCGAGAGCACAACACACCACTCTAGACATCGTATCACGTCTCTCCTCATTTTCTTTACCCGACGATTCAGACATGGTCGCCATTCCTCTTCATCATGGCGCTCACTGCGATAGCCTCGCGCGGCTGACTGATGAGATTCTCGTGTCGATACTCGAAATACTGCCTAAGCATGACCTCTGCAGCGTGTCGCGGTTGAACAAGCGCTATCATGCCCTCGCGGATGCTGTGCTGTATAATACAGTTCAGTGGCTCAAACCTGAGCTTCATCTCATTTTTAGTCAATCGCTCAACCGACGACCAAGGCGCGGATCAGCTATTGAGGGGGTCAAGCTGGCGTACCCGGCTTCAGAGTTAACACGTCTCATCTCCGACACGCTAGAGCCAACCAATTCCGTGTCGCATACAATCTCAACAATGTCGAATCTCAAAACTCTCGACATCGCTGTACCAGTTGGTCTTCTGCACAGTATAGGGAATCTCTTCAACGGGCCCTTCGATCTCGCTTGTCTGCAATCTTGTACCCTGTTCTACCAGGATGAGGCCGATCAGTACTGGGATCTCCAAGAGAACATCCACATCTTCACACATCCAACCCTCGAAACACTGGTCATCAAGCGAGCAAAGCTAGACGACAGGGGCTTTGAGTTAATCGAGCGTCCGCATAATACAGCGCTCAGCAAACTCCATCTGATAGAATGCGATATCAACGACGACGCGCTCTCAGACGTGCTCATGTTCCCCGAAGCCCTCAAAGAATTCGTCCTCACCCAAAGAGAAGAGCCCGAACCCGAACTCGAAGAAAGCTCAGCTAGTATCCGCGACTACATCCTCTCCCTCAAAGAACAATGTCACTCGTTAGAAACCATCACCATCGACTTCCCCATGCTCGCCAGCGCGCGTCCCCTCGCCCTCCGCGAGTTCACTGCGCTAAAAACACTGCGCCTAAATTGGGACTACCAGCTTTTTGGAAAATCTACAAAGAAACCACGCCTACACTCCGTTGGACTACCGCCTGAACTAGAAACATTAGAATTCTTTAACCCATTGGGTACGGATGAAGAAGTTACAGATTTGTTTGTTAGTGCTATTGAGAATTTTCATTTTACTTGTAGGAAATTGAAGGAGTTGATTGTTTTGGTTGATGAGGATCCCGTTCCGAAGGAGGTTGTGGAGGCGGTTAAGAAGCAGGAACAGTTGCATCTGAATGTCATTGGAGGAGATCTAGACGATGATGATGATGAATAGATGATGGGTGTTGTTTAGAACGATGGAGTTGGCTAAACATTACGAAACATAGAATAAATACACAGCGACTGTCCTTTGCATCAAATGATACGAGTCCGGGAGATGGAAATGAGTAGAGAATTAATGACTATTGTGAAATATGACCTTGCCACCAGCTAGTCTCAATGAAGTACACTTAACTGACCCAGGTCTCATCGTTGCTTAGGATAAACATCGTAAGCCTTCTTACCGCTACCTCAACGAGGAAGAAAATACAGGACCTTAATGCAACGTATTAAAATCAACTCGGCAAAAACATCCTAAGTTTAGTAAAGACATCCTCAAGTTAATAAAGATATCCTTAATTTATATAAGTTTACCTAAGTCCTTTTATTATTTAGGCTCAAAGTCCTGAGTTTTCTTCCCTCCCCAAGCGCAAATACAAACTAGTTGCTTCAACGTAGTATTTTCTTTTCTTGGCATACGACGTAGCAGTTATCTGCCGTTGCCCTTTTCTCCAATCAGTAAATTGCCGAGAGACGGAGCTTTCCATATCATGGCGCTTTGACTACCGTTACATGCTGGGTGGCGTCACTGCTTCGTGGATGTTCCCGTGCACTAAGAATAACTCAGTACTTAAAAGTCGAACCGGTCAGCTTCAATTGGATTCCAAGGTCTCCAATCTCATCAAATATTTCGCCAACATGGGCAGTCTTGATAACATCATTCCTCCATTCCCAGATGATGTGCCTACCGTGCCGATTGCCCGGATCTCATATTCTAAGCTGAAATGCTCGGATGAAAATGAGATGATCAAAGTTCTCAACGCTTCTCAATCAGACGGATTCTTCTATCTTGATCTCATCGATGAGCCCGTGGGACAATCTCTTCTGAATGACACTGAAGATGTCCTTACTATCTCAAAACGCGCTCTCAACATCCCTCTCGATCAAAAGATGGAGTGCGTCGCAGAGCGGGGCAAAGAAATGTTCGGCTACAAACCCGCTGGGGCAGTGAAGCAGACCGATAAAGATGCACGACTCGATACAACAGAGTTCTTTAACGTGAGCAAAGATCACTTGTTAGGAAAGTCTGAGTCACGAAATTATCCTGCAGAGATCACCAATCAGTGGAAGGATTTGGGGAGGTTTGCTCAGAATTGTCACTCTTTGGGACTTATGATCCTTCGTGTCTTAGCAGAACAACTCGACCTACCGTCTGATGAGTTTGCGAAAAGGAACAAGATTTCCTCGATTTCGGGAGACCACATCAGAATGACCAAGATGCCGGGTTGCGACTTTGTGGATAGTGAAAGAATTGGTCTTGCCTCCCATACCGACTTTGGCAGCATTACCGTGTTGTTCAATTGGGTTGGCGGCCTACAGATACAATCTCACGATCCCTCCGAATAGGTTGAGTGGACATTTGTCAAACCTATACCTGGACACGCTATAATCAATCTCGGTGACGCAATGGTCAAATTTAGCAATGGGCGGCTCAAGTCTGGAAAGCATCGTGTTGTTCCGTTGCACGGCCCGCAAGGTAGAGTAGATCGTTATAGCCTGGTGTATTTCGTCAGACCTGCTGACGATGCTTTGATGAAGCCGGTTGAGCAGTATAAGAATGAACCTGCAGTTGCCGTCGGCGGTAAGGTTGTCGAGGAAAAGGTATATACGGCTGGGGAATGGTTGGCACATAGATTAAAATAGATATTAAAGTAGAAGCAGCTCAGTCTCAAATGTTTATTCTCCCATCGGTCTCAGTAACTACTTGGAAGCAGCCATCTTCCTTACTGCTAAGGCAGATCTTGCGATGTCCAGAGTTTCTTGGCGAATACCCGGACACCTTGATAGCATCACAGTGTGCTGGACATCGGCTACATTGCTCTTCAATCAGACGGGCCACGAGATGAGCTGTATGATACGTGACATCCCCGGTTCCTCCACCGTACGGACCGACCCTTAAATGACACGACATGTAGGTATATCCCCTTCTCGTATCTCCGATATAACTCTTTGCCTGGGACATAAGCTCGAGAAGACGATAGCAGCTCGATCTGTAGGCGAGGTGATCCGCGCTGCATTTGATACCGTACGTCACGCGCTTTTCCATTTCTGAGACTGTTTCAGCTTTGGCATTTGATATGAGGTTCAGAATGTCGGTGCGCGTATCGGCATTACTTGTGTTGGCGTAAATGGCTAAAGCGTTCGAGTATTGTTCAGGGTAGTATGTTCTGTAACCGATGGCATCTTGTTCGATTGCTTGAGAGATAGTCTGGTTCACTTCAGGGAACGTGCCATTCTGGATATCGCCGATAAGGTGGTGACGAGCCCAAATGGCATCGCCATATCTTTTCTCACGGATAGCGGTCACGTATTCACTAGCCCATGGCTCGTTGACTATCAAGCCGTTGGATCGGTTGACGACCTCGTCGATGGTCAAATCAAGGAAGAGCTGTTCAAGTAATTTTGTTTCATCTGGGTTTGCGGCTACCTTCGTAAAGCCTTTGAAGATCAACAAAGTTGAGAACAAGAAGATAGAAGTGATGGTCATGTTGGGGTTCTTTGGTGAATCTGAATCTTGAAGTTGTTCCCGGAAGACTCTTATGTTTGCCAGGAGCTAGCATTCGGTCTTTATAGAAAACATCATGTTTGATTCCAGGACTCCTTTCGCGACCTCTTTCAGGCATTTCAGCTGTTGGTGAGTTTCTTTTCCGACTTTGCCGTGTTATGTATGTTGGTTGTGTTATGTATGTTGGTTGTGTTATGTATGTTGGTTGTGTTGGTTCGATATGTACTAGCCCAACATAGTGATCCCCGACCGCTATTTATCTACCCTTTCTCTCCAGTGGAGGTCAGCACATCTCCCATTGACGAGGATTGGATATTCTGAAATGCGCTCGGGCCTCGCTATGCATCGACCAACACTCAGTGCGGGCATGTCTAGGCCTGGAACCATCGCCCAACCGGGATATAAGCAGGCCACTAGGCATAAGGGATCTCGCTGTTTATCGTGTCTTCATACCATGCCATTATGGAAGTGAAGATCATTTAGTCTCGATCTCTCTTATGATTCCGATACGAAGGCTGCAAAGCCCGCACTCTTTTTAGAAATACTTTTGTAAGATGCTTGACCTCATGGGAGAGTGAGACATCATAAATAAAGTGATACGATAAAAAGTTAGGATTAAAGTTCCGAAAGTGTCCAGGGGTCTACCGCCGAGGGTTCCGAGCAAGCCGTCTTAGCCGAACACAACATGAAAACCCACAGATAACGCATCATGAAGATATGATTCAGAGCCAGGCAAAGAACCAACAGTCAAGTTCCTCGGAGCGACCGAGTAAATGAGATTTCAGCCGTCCTCAGGGATATGCTTCCCAGTAAGGTCTTCGGTGTCGACCCGCAAGATAATGTCAATTACCTCGGGATGGCCGTCAGAGCTGTTGTTGTTAGCCCTGTAAAAAGCGACGGCCTCGGTGTAAAATTCGGATGAGTATTTTTTGTAGCCCATCGCATCTTCAGTGATCCTCTCAACAATGGTCTTCCCTCTGCACAACCCATTAACTACCTGCCCAAGCATTTGATACCGGGCCCAGATTGCGTCGCCGAATCTTGATTCGCGAATTGATTTAACATATGAGCTTGCCCAGGGCTCGAAGACAGGAGTTCCCTCCGTAGGATGGAGGACTTCGCTTATAGGGATATCCAGGAATAGCTGCTCTACCAACTTCGTGTCTTGGACGCTCATGTTGATCTGGAATGTCAGTCAATCAGAGGTTTGAGACAATGACCAGGGATAAACAGATACCTTGAAGAAGCAATGCTTTCAAGTGATAAAAGCGATGGTTAAAGGATATTAATAAATGGAGTCTCATTCAGAGATGAGGATTGGAAGTCTAGTAGGGGATTTCATTAGCACGTATTTATATCGTTAGTGAAATCTGTGGGGTCCTAGTCAATTATACAGACAGTATTACTTATGTGGAATATGCAGCAAACCAGCTAGATCCAATTCACCGGAATTCCCAATGCAGCAAGCAGGTTAGTCAAAACAATAGATACACTTTAGCAATCAAATATGCACATAAGTTGTATACACTGTTGCAAAGATTCCTATTTCCTAAACTCACTCTCAGACCTGTCTGTAATTAGATTCTTGGCGTTTTACACCTCGCCAATTATGTCGTGACTATTCGCACGTGGAGATGACTTTTCCCCTCTAGTTACTTGGTAAATCGTTAGATAAAGATGTATTTTCGGTTGAGATTTAACTTTCTATCCCTTTTAATATTTATAGCAGTATATAATAGATAAATATATCTATACTATTATATAATAGATATAGGTTTTATTTAAGTCCTTACCCTATATCTAAAGTAGAGTTAGCCTTATCTTTTTACTTAATATATAAATACTTTTAGTAATAGCTATTTTTTATAAAAATAAGGCTATAATAAAAAAGTAACTTATTTCTTTATAATAAATTAATAATAATATAATATTAAATAAAAATATAAAAGTAAATAATATAATAGTTAGGTTTAATTATACTAAATTAAGTTATATTTAAGTTTATTATTAATAAATTATATAAAGTATAATATTAAATAGTTATTAAAGTATTATATCTTTTAATAATAAATTTAATATATATTAAGCTTAATTAATATAAAGAAGTTTTATTAATAATTAATAGGCTAAGTTTATAAAGATATAATTAAATATAAACTATATATTACTATTTATAAGGTACTTATTAGTATTTTTATTAAAAATTAAAATATTAATTTCTTAATCTTAAATTAATATTATAAGGTTTTAATTCTATTTTAATTAATTAAATTAAAAAAATTAAAAAAAAGCTATTTAATTTATTTATAATTAATAGAGGTTATAAAGAATTTTATAAGGTATATAATATAATTATAAGGGTTATAATAAATAATATTTAAAAGAAAAATACTAATAATTAATTAAAAGATTAAATTATATAACTTTCTTTTATATCTTTATATATATCTATTAAAGTTAATTTTAATTATTATCTTAAATATAAAATGTAAATATAATAACTATTATATATTTAGTATTAATTCTCACCAAGCAGACAACTAAATCCTTATAGTCACTGCCTGCTATAAATACGCCGGTTCTACCTATCGGCTCTATGTTAATACGCCTGTCTACTAAGACTTTAATGTAACGCCCGCTTAGCGTTTTATGTGAACATAGTCCGATAGAACCTTGATCCCGATGCAGGATGGCCAAGTGTTGCGTGCGGAAGGAAAGCACATTTCAGGATGCATCACGCTGCAGTCGACACAATACAACCAGCGGGAGGAATCGAGGGCCTGAAACTTGCAAGTAATGTGAATTGCGCTGCGCTCCCTTTCGTCTCGGTGCTTTTGGCAACGCTCGCACGTGATGTCCATTCTGATGAGCTTCCCAAGTCCTTCGGATTGGGTAGCCCCGACTTTGTGTTGAAAACAATGTCGTTCCTTTGATGCAACCTCTGCCAGGGTATGTCGATCTTTATGGCTACCAAAGCACCATTGACAACAATCCTTATGTGAAAAGGGGTGGTGAAGAAACTTGTTATCTTGCATAAGTCGCCTGAGTCGACCAGACACTTGTCGCAGGTGAAAAGAGGCAATGAGGCATTCGCGCTCTGTTGTTGACGAGAGCATGGAGACAGTAATCAACAGTATCTCATCCGGAAGCCTCTGCAGTTTGGACGCCTCCGTGGTCCCAAATGAGACTTCAGTATGTCGCGTGCAACTAGGGAGCCCCCTCCGAGGTGTTGAAAGCTGGAGAGGTGGTCGTTTCCAAAGGCTTCGTTCAATCGCTAGTTCTCTCTTGCTTGTGTAGCATTCGGCCCCTATTTCGGAAAGTTCACGGTCTCGGACCGCTTGAGCGATCTCTGCTCTAGATGTCAGTCGCAGTAGTTCGTATTCCTCTATAACCAATTGCTCAAATTCCATGGCAAGGGTTAGTAAAACCCAGAGTATTATTATTATAAAAGCAGGCATGGCATTATAAATAAATTCGAAAGTAACTAGCATACTGAAGAGAAGGCATAGATTAAATAAGCTTTAAAGGAGAAGGAAAAGGATAGGGGGCATGGTGGGATTAAATACTTACCTTATATAAAATTATTTATTATAAATTCAGTTTAAAAGCTTAAATCGTAAAAGAAAAGAATTATATTAGTGTAATATAACTGCTTCCTTACACAATAACTAGCAAGTCAATAATGGGCTTAGAGTATATTTCCTTTACCTACTTTAAAGTTAGGTCCAAGAGCTTAAAGGCAGACAGAGTGAGTTAAGGCGCGTAATGTCATCATGACCTGCTAAGCCTGCTAATATAAGATAGAGATCTTAATAATTACACTATGTGCTGCTGTAAATGATAATTTAATATAACTTTCTTAGCTTATATCTAATTAGGTCTGACTTTAGATATAGAGGAGGTGTACTCTTTCTCTTGCTAACTGTAGGGTGCAAGTGTCCCTAGTCCGTAAAGAAAGTCAGAATATCATTAGTCAGCGGGTTTAGCTCAGTTGGGAGAGCGTCAGACTGAAGTCAAACTTCATTCCATTGATATCTGAAGGTCGTGTGTTCGATCCACACAAACCGCAAGCCCTTTGTTTTTGTTAAATTCGTACATGCAGTATATGAACATTTTGTTTTGCCACATCATACACATTTTGCACCCATACTGTTTCTCTGCCTCGCCTTTCAGTGCATGAGCGATATCTTGAAAGTCGCTTGGCCATCCCACAATCAGACAGGCAGACAAGGTTCTATTGGTCTATCTTACCAAGACTTGCAGCAAACTATCAATTGCCTTTACCATTCCGGGCCTGTCAGCCCACTTGATACGGCGCACTATTGATGGAACTGCGCACACAGAGTAAAAAAACTGCCGACAGCGAATCGTGGTGCCAGAAATACTAGTCCAAAGTACCGCTGAGTTTACACCAGACCTATATCCATGCTTTTGTCACTTGGGACTGCTTTTCTTTGTCTCCATGCAAGGCCTGCAATCGGGTAAATTGTGGCTTGCTGAAGTCTGTCAGGTGGTGACAACAAGCAGCCCGGAGCTGACGACTGCGTGAAAATTACGATCTTGCTCCCTCTGGAATCGGATCAACTTCCAGGTCTTCTCTAGACTAAGTTCTGTCTGCTGATTTAAGCTCTCAACCACTTGAACTTCTACCTGTCTATGAAAACTATGATTACTACTATTGACAAACTCCCTAGAGAGACTCTCACCTCCATTGCAAGCGTGAGTGCAAAAGTCAGAGATGCCATTTCCGAATCGCTCCCCATCGGTCCTGAGCAATACCTCACCATCACCGTCCCTGGTACTAAGATTGATCTGACGGACTCGGACCACAACGGGTCATTTCTATATGATGATTCAAAGCATGGTCTTCCCCCAGCAAATGTTAGACAAGCTGAGGCCAGCCTAGTTGACGGAATGATGCCGATAGCCAAATGCGCGGTATGCCAAGTCCCGTGTTACCAAAATTCCAATGCTAACACATCCCAGGTCGGCAATGAGAGGAAGAGCGTTGCACGTAGTTATGCTCGCGCCATTGACAATTTAATTCCCGCAAGCCCGACATTCACTCCCAGCCCAGGCATCCCCAGCCAGGGAAAGATGGACTACGCAAAGTCGATGGAGTTTCTCAAGCAGAAAGTCCACGGAACCTCAAAGACTATCATGGAGGTTTATCAAGATAAGGAGATGAAGTGGAACAAACAGCGACAAATTTGGGAAACGGAGAGGCTCAAGGCTATTCGTGAAGCTGAAGAGGCCTTTGAGGACAGGACCAAGGACTACGCCGAGAAGCGACAGAAATATGTCGAGAATTGGTTCAAACGCGATGGCAAGAGCTACAAGGACGCTATTCAAGCTGCATGGATGGATTGGGTCGATACTGGAAAGAAATATTCAGTCGAATTGGCGTTTGGCATGTTCCAGCTGGATTCTATGGAGCGCGTCGAAGGTAGTAAGGAGGCGATGAGGAACTCTGCGATGCACGATCCCAGTGGCGATGGAGAGATTTATGGAGTCAGTCTCACCCCCAAAGCTTGGGCCACATTCTGTAAGGTCAAGGCCGAGGAGTGGCGTCAGCAAAATGCACCGAGGTCACTGAACAGCAGTGATAGGTCTGCGTGGAGCAGAATCACAGTGTCCTACTCTGCACCAGATATCCAGCCTCACGAAAGTGGAACCACTAGCTTTGGTCTCTGGACCTTGGGCGGTGCAGACTTGCATCAGGAGCTACACCGAGATATGAGATCTTGCGATGTTAGCATTTCATTTTCTGCCCTCGTCGTAGATATTAGCCGCCCATGGTTACACAGCGAGCTCTTCAGCGACATTGATCTCGGCGTTCAAAGAGGTGTCGAAATCAGCCCTGGCCCATGCCGCATCCACGAGATGATCGAAGACGGAGAAGACGAGAAGAGCGGCGAATGGGCATTTCCGGCTTATCCGACCGCTTTTGTCATTGCTGCTGATACAGCGATTGAATTTAAGGGTGAAGCAAAGGCTATAGAGGAGTTTTGGAAAAGCGGTAGTGAACTGGTTGGGTATGGGCCTTGGTCAGTGTCAGGCAGTGCTGCGGCTGAGCAGACCAGATTTGAGGCGACTTCAACAGGTTGCAAGATCGGTTTTGGGGCACCGCAGATTATTGGCTGGGTTAACCAAACTGTGCCATCTCTGCCGCGATCCTCATATTTACTTGAGTTTACGGAAGTGACGTCGTCTAATAATAAACTATTCTTTTTGCCCTCCTCCTTGGTCAGGAAACTCAGGGGAGTTGATGAGTCGATGCACCTGCTGCGAGGTTAGGTACAGCCTTCAGCGATTCTCTCTATGCAACCACTTCCTCGCTCTTCGAGCGTCTTCTCTGTCGCCCCGCTTTTCTGTATTTTTGTTTGTTACACCGGATGGGGCAGTAGCCTAAGGTACAACCTACCTAAAGCTTGCAGCCTTGACCTTCTCATGGCCATCTTCATCAATTCATTTCAATCCGACTTCTCTTCTGGCAACATGAAGAGAATCACGAGGGCCGCTCGAGCCGCAGAGATGAACTCTCAGTCGCCAGATGATCAGCCAACCCGTCGTCCGCGACGGCAGCTCGTCACATCCATCGTTCAGCCTGCAGTTGCACCCACGGAACAAACGCCTCCTCAGCAAGTACCTGCCCGACGAGGCGCACCGTCCACCCCCGATATCGTCAGTCCCCTATGACTGCCATCAATACCAGTCATTCCTCTAAGAAACTAACAAATCGCAGAAGATTCGGTTCCTGGACTTTTACCTCCAAGGTTGCAACACACCACAACAAACCTCGGACAAGTTCACTCGCGGGCTTCAGATGGTATCAAATAGCGCGGCGGACATCACATCTATTCTTTCCGACATCATCAACCACTGCCAAGACCGAGGGAGGCTTCATCAACAGGCTACGAGGGAAGCAGGAAGATTTCATAGCGACTACTGGGATGACTATTTCATGATGGTTGCGACTCAAACTCTGTGGCTGACCAACAACTGGGGTGGTCCGGGTTGGCTTCCTGCCGATGTCCGGGCTGGGCTTGAAAAGTCGTTTGGTACTCCAGTGCCCTCATGTTACGTGAGAAGCTTGGCTTCAATCACGCAGGCAGCACAGACCTGCGGAATCGACCTTGACTCGCTCTGGGCTGACAACGGCGCCCTCAGAACAGCAGTGGGCGATGGTAGTGAACAATGTCTCTCCCCCTCACTGGAGCAGAACATCATCCTCCAGATCAAGAGCGAGGAAGCCCGCACAGTCTCGGAGATTTCTCATCAAGGACGGCAAAGCTCGACTGCCCTTCAGCTCGAGAGTGGAAACGAAAACGTCATCAAAGTCGAGATGAGCGAACCAACACCCATGCATACAGAGCCTAGTCATGAGAATCCTACTGCGAATAACAACGAAAACCCTCCAGCGACTGTGGAAATGCCTACAGCTCACGAGCGAGTTGCACAAACGCAGGCCCAGCCCACTAACGATGGAGCGCAATCCACTCCTCCAGTGGCCCGAAAGCGGACTTTCGAGCAGATGAACAGCACAGCGAACTCGATGTATGACAAGTACAAGACACTCATGACGAGCTTCAAAGCAGAAGGGATTGCTCAGCTTCGAGCGGAAGCAATTGAGAAGCTGGAACGAGCGGAGTCTGAAAAATCGGCCACAGACTACGCTTTGGTAAGCCTTAGAGCCAGACAAGACCAAATCCAACAAATCCGCGAACACAGCAAGCGAACGATCGACACCACAAGCAATGGACTGAGAGAACAAGCCAATCACAATATGCTGGCGGGAGCGCTGGCGAACATGGGAGAAGTGTACTTTAACGGCGTGAACAGCTTACTCGACTCTTTCCTCCAGAAGTCTTCTGGCTCTTTGGATGGACGTACGATCGAAGAGCTACAGGCACGACAGACCGAAGCGGTCGACGAGGTCGACAAAGCAAAGAAGCGCATCCGGGCGCTGGACCACATAGAAAAGGCACGAGCGGTACACGAGAACTACACCGAGATGATGGAGTTGCGGCAAACCATGCGAACTTTCTGGATGCAGACAGGTGACCGCGTTAAGGGTTTGGAGACGGCGTGCGTCGCTGCGTTCAGTCATGCCGAGGAGGAAGATTAGGATTCTATCCTCGCATCTCAGAACGAGTAATGGAGGAGACGCTTCAAGTTGAGCAAGCATATTTGAGGGTTTTGAAGTTTGTAAAAGGGATGTGTTTCTGTGTCCTTATGTGTAAAATAGCTTCAGAGTCTGCGTGCTGATGGATGGTCAGACCCATCGTGTTGAGATTTGGCGCCGGGGAATGAGTCACCCCGCATTCCCACAGTGAGGTGCAGCGATCTTCAATTTTACTTCTATGGCTATAAAAATAAACGTTCTGTTCTTTAATGTAACTCTCGGTATCTCTAAGCAAACAAAATGTCATCTGAATCACGACCAACAACACCGCCGCATCATCCAAACTTTGGTGTGAGCATGTCTAGCGAGAGCATCAACCGTTTGGTGCGCCACGTGCTCCCCGACACTTCGCGCATAGAAGTGGAGGCTCTTCCATCGTTGAAGTCTTTTAACAACCGAATTTATTATCTTGAATGCTACAGCGAATCCCATAGTGGTAGCGACGCAATCCATGTCGATGAGCTTGTTCTAAAGATCAATGGTCGAGGGTTTGGGTCAGAGAAGGTTCAAAATGAGGTTTCTTGTCTCCGCCTGCTGGAGCACTTTTGCCCCGAGATCCCGGCGCCTCGTGCGATAGCTTGGTCGCAGGATGGGTTTACTATCGACACCAATGACGCGCGGCATGGGGAGATGAAGCTCAGTGCTGTGGATGAGACCTCGAGCGGTTGTATATTGATAACAAAGGTTCCCGGGAAGCCCATCGACTTATCTGCACTCAACAATGATGACAGATTTCATCTAGCGACACAGTTGGCAGATTATGTTACCAATTGGCGGCGTAATGTCCCTCCTCAGAACTTTTCCGGGAACATTTCTTTCCATCAAATGGGCTGCCAGCCTGATATCAAGATCCCAGGCTCGAATAGCGATAACGAAATGCAGTTTTTTATCAGAGGCATGCTTGGAGAAGAACTCCATTGCCAAGATGGTATCGCTTCCCTTGCAGAGTATTACAAATTGAGAATACAGAACAAGATAGAGACTCTGGTGAAGAAAGAGACATTTTCATCAAATAGAGATCTCATACAGCCTCTAGATGCATTCCTACAGCAAGACTTGCCCACCATCAAAGCGTTGAATACCAAAGACGACTCATTTGTATTCACCCACTACGATCTGTCCCCACGAAACATTCTTGTATCTGGCCAGCCTCCCCATATTACCGGTATCGTGGACTTTGAGTTCTCGGGCTTCTTTCCACCACTCGATGAGTTCCTGAATGACTGTATCGCCAACGATGGCGACTGGCCCAAAGATATGTACGATGTCTACCTGAAGCGACTTGAATGCAACGGTATACCAACACCTTTGGAGGGAATAAAGAAAGAAGATTGGGAACAAATGGCATTGCTGGAAGACCTGGTTGAAAAGACCGCTCCTTGGTGGTTGCCTGGTGAATTTCAAGGTGAACAGCTTGAACAAGAGTTGAAAAAGGTCAAGTCACGAGTAGGTGAGATATTGGGGGAATTGGGAAAGTGAGAATAGGCTAGGCCGAGAAGTGATATCGGTAAATAAGACCACGGTCAAGAAAGTCTACGTGGTGTGATAGACATATTGTGTAAGCAGAAGCTTCGTGTTGAGAGGTTGGAGATCAATTCACAATAACAGATTTTTCAGCTCTGCCCGGTTCAACTTCTTAGCATCTTGCCGTAGGTCTTGCCTTTTGAAGGACCAAAGAAACGTTAACTATATCTTATTTACTAGAGATCATTTTCACCAATCTCTTTGCCAGGTATCCATCTCGCTCATTTCGAATAGGCCTTCAATCCGTACGCCTTCGATTCGCAGAGGGCCCTCACTTTGCCATGAAGAGCTCACTCCTCATGCTCGCCGCCCTTGTGGCCTCTTATGTCTGCCTTTTAGGGGTGGAGAGACTGGAGACAGTGTCTCCTCCGCCAAGCCGCCGGGTCGGGACTCAAAGTTCGCCATTGCCAACTGTATTATGTCTCAGTATATGCTTGGCCCGTTGGAAGACCTGCCCGCCTACGGTAGCATGACGTCCCCAGATTCCGCAACCATCGAAACCACTACTCGCGAAGATCTCTATCTCACGGATGATAGCGACGTCGAACTCGAACGCAACAGCCCCGAGCAGTCATTGAAGGACCAAATTGACGAGCTGCTTGCGATTTTGCGAGATTTCCAGTCGTTCATCAGGCCTGCATTCCCCGGCGCTGGGCGAGTCGTTATCACCATTTCACTCTTCTCCCTCTTGCAGGAACGCACCGGCGCTGCCTTCACTCTTGCTGGAGGCCTTGCCGCCCGGTTCCGCCATGAAATCGATGTGGGAAGCCCAGCCCGCACTTTCTAGCAGAGATACGGATTTCAGCCTAGCCCCATTTGCTGCAACCCCCGGGTTGTTGTTTTTGCACTTCTTGCTCTGGCTCGTGGATTGCTTCTTGGGTATGGTTGTCAATTCAAAGGCGGGTTTTGTGGTCTTCTCTTTCGGAATCGTCAACCTGGTTGTGTCTCCCATTCGAATGCTCTATCAATCCGTCATATGCCTCGTCTCTCTCGTTATGTGCTTTATCTACTTCCCCTTGAAGCTTATAGCTTTGCTGTGTGCCTACCTGGTTGGCCTAGTCGGATTCATCCTTTCACCCTTCCGCACTGAGGACGAGAAGACATTGCAGGAGGACAGGGCTTCACTGCATCGTCTATAAGATCGACTTGCTATTCGTGTGAGGCGCGCGATGGTCTATCCACTCAAAATAACGCTCTTGTTAAATATTCAATAAAATCTTAGGTAACTTTAGAGTGATTTAAAATAGTTTAGTATACTTTAGTATAGGATTAGTGGATTTTAGACTAGGCGCCCGCTTTGTCTCGGATTGCAGTCAATACCAGGTATGCTCGCGCGACCTCATGATCTCCTCTACTCATGAGGCATCTCGGTGAGATTTATGCCGAGGTACCCAGTTGATCTTCAGAGTGTTTGTGGGGTGGATGCCCTCAAGAGTAAGCAGCAAGATGATCCTCCGCATGTGTATGCATGGTTTAGGCGTGAGATAATCCTCCTATCAGGCGTGGGTATTCCAGAACAGTGATTTGCCACGAAATTCCGATTACGAGTAGAATAAGAACGCTATGCCCACCAGTTCCTCAGAAAGGTCAACTTGTGGTATTGAGGCTTTGAGACGCTGATACTCAGACATGACGCATACCTTGTGTCTCTTCTACCTACTGGCCTTCCTTTCTATTAGCTTTTCGAATGCTTGTAAAAATGACGAAGACTGCAGTCTGAACGGAATATGTTCGAGATGGAAAAAGATCTGCCGTTGCGATCCAGGCTGGATTGGGAGCGATTGTGGCCGTCTTGATCTTGCTCCGGCAACACGATACACTGGCTACAACCATACGTACGAGCCTCCAAATCACGACGATTTCGGTATCTGGCCAAACGCCTCTTGGGGAGGTCGAATTGTTCAAGACCGTGACAACAAGCGACTATTCCATCTTTTCACGGTGCAGTTCAGTCATGGATGCGGTCTGAAGGGCTGGCGTCCTCACTCTTACATCATCCGGGCTGAATCGCATAATGGGCCTCAAGGACCATACAAGTATGCTCAAGATGTATCGAAGAACTTCGCGCATAATCCAGACATCGTTTGGAGCCCCGACGACAAGAAGTACCTCTTATACAGCATTGGTGTGGAATATGATAAGAAGTTTACAAAGTGCGAAAGCATCAGCTACACCAAATGGCCAAACAACATTTCTGTTTCGGCTGCTGACGACATTCATGGTCCATGGTCGCCATTTAAGATGATCCTCGATAGTGACCGTCCAGCAGGCATTCACGCTACCAACCCCTCTGCATTCCCTCTCTGGACGCGCCGCAACCCAACCAGCCAAATAGTGCTTGGTATCAAAGACTACTCTATCTTCACAGCCAAGTCCTGGAACAGTGATTATAAGCTCAAATACCAAGCAACATGGAACGTCACGGAGCAAGAAAACCCCGAATGGACCGAGGACCCATTCGTATGGCGCGACAAGCGAGGCAACTGGCACTCCATAAACCACTGGATGATAGACTATGTTGAGAACGATAAACAACAATGGCCCCGCGTTGGATCCCATCTATTCTCGAGAAAGCTCACGGGACCGTGGCATTTCAGGCTTCAAGAGGCTTTTAGCTCCAATGTCACTTTTACAGATGGATCGTGGCAGGTGTTCAAGAGACGAGAAAGGCCGAAGTTGTTCTTTAGTGATGATGGGCAGATGACGCCATTGTACTTGACTAATGGGGTACAGGAGATGAATCAGACTGGTGCAGCTTTTACTCTTATTCAGCCGATTGGTACGAAGTGGCAGAAATTCGAGAAGGATCTTGGTTTCTGATATCTATGGCGTTTCCTTGTGCCAGACCATGGCCCCATCTTTATTCTTTATGTTACATACATAACTTGAAACTCATATTCCTCTGTTATCTTTTTCTTTCTGTATCGTCTTCTCGTTTGTCCACGCTTGGATACCCTGCCACGTATTCGTGGCTTGTCTCCCCTCCAATGTTGCGAGCTTCTCTTTGGGTAACATTCGCCTTAGCCATATGCTCTGCTCATTACGCCAGGCCCAACTTTTATACGGCATCTCCCAAGCAATCATCGACTGGCGCACTCTTCCAATACGCAGCTTGAATAGACCAGGTTAGACTCACTGGAGAGGCTTCCCTTGGCGGATCGCGGCGAGCTTTAGAAGTCTGCCTATCTCAAATTTTAGGGCATGGTTATGATGGGACTGTTTAAAGAGTTCTCTGTTTGTGAACGCAGCTGATACTTTGACAGTTTTTTGCCTGGACTATTGCCTCTGCTCTTCGATTGAGAAGTTGCGCTCCGTTGCGAGGTACTCGGACCATTCCTCTGGAGCCCTTGAGGTTAACCCCGTGGGTCCGCGCTTGACAGAGGGAATGAATCATTGTAGGCTACTGGTAGGCTGTGCCCCTCCAGTTTTTTGTTTCGTGAGCTCTACTGGTAATGGTATGTGGCGAATCCTTCAGACAACAAGTCAAGGCCGCCCGGCTACAATGCAGCTATTCCTTGAACTCATCACCAGCGCGGTTTGATCTTCTAGAAGGCTCTACTTCAAATTCTTGTTTCATTTAATAGTGAATGCAGATCAGTCAGCCCTAATACAAGCTACGTTGCTTTACCTTCGGTTTTGGTCATGCAAATCTCATGTTCAAGGACGGCCCCCAATCCTCCGCGGGCTTCCCCAGTCTCTGAGTGGTCCAGTTTGAAATGCCGCAAACCCATGTCCCTTGCTGTTGACATCATTGGCACGATCCTAAAGCAGATCATTACTGGACTTGTGTAAGAGTGTACTTTATGAATCTTATAACTCGATATTTTGTTTGCGACTTTGGTCGCTGATCTGAAGCAGCTGTATTTAGGTTGATCTGATCGACCATTTCCACTTCTCGCCGAGATGGTATTCGTAGGTTCAAATGCTGTGTCAACAGTCCTGTAGTCAGTCATATGTAGAGATATCACTGCAGTTCAATTCCTGAATAGCACCATTTCTATCTCGCACTGCATACTTTTCAGGTTCAAGATAGTAAAATGACCTACGCAAAAGCTGAGTGCGAATTCTTTTCGTGTGAAGGAGGATGAACTTGATTTCGCCCTGGACTGCTTCGACCATCGCCCCATCTAACAGCATCGCCACTTTCTAGTGCCCGCTTACTGCCAGTGTATGCAGAACAGTCATGCCATGTCTTGCATATCAGGATCGCAAAGGATTTTAGTAGCCATGCAACATATGCTGAAATTCGTACTAGCCCAGCCTTCCTATTCAGGTAGTTCGTAAACTGCACTGCGCTAGTTCATCCAATAATCTTGAACATAATGCGAGCGCCTAGAGTCCGAAAGTTTAAAAATCCTTCTAGGCTGACATATGCAATTATGCATATCGGCAGTTGTGCAAGCGCTGTTGATCACCTGAGGGAATGAGATCACTTCCGTTTAGAGTCGAGATGGATCGTGTTGGTCTGGTCACTGATGTAATTGATGATAGCTTCAATGTGATGATTGTAGAAATTGCTGGAATGGGGTAAATCCTTCTATTTAACAGGTTTTCGAAATGAATTGTCAAGATGTGACCTATCCTGGAAAACTATAGTGCTTCTTCAAGTATAAATTGTCGGCGGTTCCTCGTTGCTCTCGATATCGCCATCATAACATCTCATCGCTTCAACTCGCATACTTCACTTACCATTGTCAACATGCTTCCCAGCCTTCTTCTCTTTGCCCTCGCTGGCTTCTCCAGAGCCTCTCCCACTGGCCTTCTTACCACTTCCCATGATCTACAGGCCAGGGAGATCCACGCTGATGAACTTCATGCTCGCGCCCTCGCTAATCACCCCAAAGACCTCATCATTGACTCAGGGGATCTCAATGACTACATCAAGAAGCACCCCAACTCTGATAGCGTAGTCTATCTGAAGGACAAACAGTCCTTCGTACCATTGTCAAGCGTCTCGGAAGTCGAAGACAAAGAAGCTAAGGACGACAAGTCCAAGCGTCAGTACACTGGCCCTTGCTATGTCTATGACCAGTGGCAGGCCCGCGACTCCCAATCCTACTGGGGCCCGTGGGAGACAGCTTCAGGTTGCCTTTACACTGGCTTGAGTGAGGGTTCAGGTACCCGTACTATAAGCTGGTCCAAATCGGTCTCAGTTGAAGTCTCAGGTGGCTTAGATTGGAACCCCATTAAGGATGTCTTGGGAGTCTCTCTTGGCCTTGCTGTCACAAACACCTGGACTGATGGTGGTAAGATTGACTGTAACATCCCTGCTGGATCAGTCGGTCAGATCTGGGCCCAGAAATATCTAGGAGAAGGTATTTATACTCTTTTGTTTCTCTTGAGAAATGACTAACTGGAATAGCACACATGTGGAAGAGAATGTGCCAGTCATGCGGCGCCTCTGGCCAAAAGTGTCTCGGTGACTGGGAAGAAGCTGGATTTGTCAAAGCTCCAACTGATGGGTATGTTAAATTTAGAGTCATATGAAGCAAAGGACTAACAAGTTCCAGTTCGGATCCTGGCAAGAACCTTAACACTGGCTGCAGCACTGGCAATGAGAACGTCAAATGCTAGATCTGGGTGTGTGTACTGTATTTCTTAGGAGTCTTGGCTGGGAAATGCCCGCTTTCAAGACCCAGCAGAAGTTTGGGGTCAAGATATATCGGATGGAAATGACACTCTTTAGGTTTATTTCTTGTCTTTCTCTAGTATTACACAGTCTTTCAGTCAAGTCATGAGCAACTATTTACCAAAATCACACTGGTAGTTGAAGATCATCAATTGACACCGTACCGTAACCCCCCAGACTATACAGCAGTAATGCTTCAGAGGCCAAGGCACTGTGATAAGGCTGAGAGGTCAAAAATTGGCTCAGCCACAGTGCGCAAGGTAATAGCACAGATGGGCAATATACTCATTGCCTAGAGAGACTACGGTACAACCTCCTTCCCTTGTAACATGTCCCAAGTTGGCTTCGGCAACGGCATGACCGCCGGGTCCAAGTATCTTCCAGTCGCTATCTTATTCGCCACGTAATCGCGAGCCACCCTCTCAATCTTCGCCCAGTCTAGCTCCGATGTGCCAACAGCCCTACCGCCATCTGATGCTATCCTCGAAAGGACGTCGGCGACCCATGTTCGGCAACGCCAATTTGGGTCGTTCTGAATGACCGGCGCGCTACGCATTATTTCGACAAGCCGCTTCTCGTCTTCGACTTTGGCGATGATGATGCGGGCTAGCAGACTGTTCGTGCTCCGGACGTTAGGAAGATCGATCTCTTCGTAGATCCAGCCGCGCATCGGATGGTTCTTGACATGGTAGCGCATGCCGGGTACTTCGGTGCCTGACTCGTTTTTCGGACCGATGAGAAAACCCCAGTGATAACTAGTAGGTACTGTATCAGACTCGAGTCGAGACTTTGGACTGATGAACAGTAAGGTACTTACCGACGCTCTTCGTTGTTTACGACCCCACTGGGATACAATGCGATATAGAGTCGGTTCTTATTGAAACCCATTTGATGATATCTAAGGATAAAATGGGGTGCTGAATATAGGCAACAATAAGAAGTGGTATGGGCTTGGAATTGTAAGTTCCCATAAGATGTTCAGTCAGCTCGATGCTGCATATCAGGCTCTATTTTATATTTGTAACGAACGGCCCTACATAAGTAAAAATAGTACTGATCTAGAAATAATCAGGCGCTTCAGTCATCAAAATACTCACTCTTGGGGTCAAATGTTCCATTTATCGAAGCGCGCGCCTACAACCTATTGATGTTGGTTGCTTGTAGGTATTTTTAGAACCAACCTCCAGACGTGCAGACCCAGAACCGGCACTGTGAATAGTGACAGTTTTTGCCTTATGTCCAAGGCCGCGACTTCTTTCGTATAGAAACGAAAGTGACTTTATATACTTAGTCTTAGAAGAAATAGCTTCAAGAATTACTCAAAATTTATAATTACCTTAATAAACCTATACTAAGTTTATTATCAAGAAGGAAAAATATTCTATAAAAACTTCGAGATTTCTCGACCTTAAAAATCGCCCCACCATCTTTGCCTTGTCTTCTCCATCTCCAGCTCCGCAGGATATGAATCCATGAACTTGGTAAGCGACTCTTGCCAGCCCTGTCGAATGCGATTTCCATACCATGCAGAAGTATACTCCCAGTAATATGGATACCACCCGGCAAACTCCCAATCGATGATACCAACAACTTGATCACCCCTCACTAATATGTTGAATGGGTTCAGATCTCCATGAGTAAACACCGGTGGTGGCCACGGACCGTTCTGTTTGGTGGCCATTTCTTTTATGTCCTTCCAATCCTGGTTGTCAATATGATCTGGCTGACTGTCCGGTTCGAGGTCTTCCCGTAACCATCGATGGAAATGCTGGATCGACTTGAAGGGCCCAAATCGGGGTCTTGAACGTGGTATCCGGGAGTCGCGTAAGGAGCCCCCTGTACAGCTCTCAACTCCTACGCCATTTGGTGGCACAAGAGCCCGTATTTCCTCTAGCATGCGCCGAAGTTGAGCGAAGATACTCGCCAGATCAGCCTCAGAAAGAGTTTTCCAGGCTTCTGCAAGAGAAGTTCCGCAAATCCGCTGCATGACTATATGTGCTCGTTTCTTGTGCACGAACGAGCAGTGAACAGTTGGGACAGGAATAGATGTATTGGCTGCAACGAACTGCATGGTAGCTGCTTCGGTGAGATGAACGAATGGCCCCTTCTTAACGATGAGAGATTTAGAAATGGGTATGCATGGTCCGTCATGTTTATAGAAGCGCGCGGATGTTTTCAGGCCAACGAGTGTCATGAAGCGACGAGGGAATGTATTATTGATAGCCAAGGAAGATGTTCCTTCATGTTGACTGGCCGTTTGGTCGGGCGGAGGGACGTAACCTGTTGTTGACATGCTGAAGACGAGTGAAGCGGAATCGCTGGCATTGGTCACTGAGCTCACAAAGCCTTGGTGATTGACTAGCGTCCAAGACTTGGAGCAATAAACGCGGGTCGTAACAGGATGTACATTATCGGACTTAACATTCGAGGTGGAGATGAAGATTGGTTGATTGGCGAATGGTCTGTTGACGGAAATTAGATCACGGCACGGCTGCTGACTAAGATAATTGCCTTGTTCTACGCGTCTTCCGCGTCGCGACAAACGCAGTGGGCAAACTTCATAAATATTGCAACGAATGATTATAACCGCCTCCCTAGTCTAAATACCCACTAAAGGACAATAAACCGGCCTAAGCCTTAGCCTTAGCCTCTTCATTGTTTAGGATAAAGATCCTAAAACAAATGAATTGTGTCAAATGAGTGGGAAGCTGAAACACGGTCACATAGGCAAGATAATTTGCAGTTTTAATGGATATCAAGCATTGCGATAAATTGCTATAGAATACTAATTGAAACTCGTTTCAGCGTCTTGGCGCGCTTTTTACATACAAGTCTTTTTACTCCTCCTGAACCTTCTCTGTTGATCCAGAAGTAGGGAACTGATCAACCTTGGTGCTGGCAAACTTGCGCGCAGGAACCTTGTGCTCGAAGAGGAGATCGAGCTCGCCATATGTTCGACCCTTGGGCTCAGGAAGGCGGAAGAAAGCCCAGATAAAGATCAACAGACACCATCCGGCCCAGAAAAGACCAGTCTTAGCGCCCCAGTTCCACGAGTTGCGACCGAGCATGCGGGGCATGAGGGTGTTGGTGACGAGACCGGCGATGTTGCTGAAGTTACGGGCCAGCACGATGGTCTTGGCCTTGAGACGAGTGGAGGAGATCTCGGCGACGATGGTATAAGCGATAGGACCGATGGTCATGTCGTAGACAAAGGTGTATACAACGAGCAAGCTACCGATGGCCCAGCCGGTTTGCTCAGTCTTCTTGGCAAATCCGAGGGCTCCAACGGCAATGAGGATGAAGAAGAGAGCGGCCATACCACAGATGTAGATATGTCGACGACCGAAGCGAGCCATAAGGAACCAGGATAGAACAACACCGACAGCACCGACGCAATATTGAATGACGTTGAAGTCAAGAGCTCGCTCGGAGGAAAGACCAGCTTCGAGATAGAACTGAACAGCGTAACCCATGAGAGAGCTACCGCAGAGAGCCTGGGCAGTGTAGCTGATGGAAGCGACTTCGGTTCGTCGCAGATCGCTGCGCATGAAGCAGTGCCAGTAGTTGGTTCCAGCGGAGTTCTCAATCTCCATCTGGTTGGTAGCCTTGAGAAGCTCAACCTGGGCATCAGCATCGAAAGGAACGTCGCACTGAGTGACGAGCGAGAGGATAGATCGCTTAGCGTCCTCGTATCGCTCCTTTCGCACGAGCCACCAAGGAGACTCGGGGGCGAAGAGGGTACCGAGCATGATGAACGGAGGCCAAGCCCACTGAAGAGCAAAAGGGATTCTGTAGGACCAATCACCGCCCATGGTGCTGAAACCGCGAAGAACGCCTGCACCGATGAGTTGACCGATGACCCAGCAAAGGTTGACGTAGGCAGTAAGATACGGTCGCAGCACAACGGGCGCAACATCAGAAGCATATGCGAGAGTGAGGGTCTGGAAAATACCCCAGGGCAGACCGAGAAGGATGTTTCCAGCCAAGAGAACCTCAAGGTTTGGTGCAAAGAAGGGGAAGAAGATGAGTCCAATCATGAGAACCTGACTCGCCAACATGGTCTTCTTGTAACCAAAAGCATCAGAGACCCAACCGTTGATGTAAAGACCGATGATCTGACCGCACATGCCACCAACTTGAATATAAGTCTGCCAATCGGCCGAAACAATAGGGTTGCCGTTCGAGTCGACTTCGTTACCGAATTTCTGCTTGAATCTGTGTAGTATGGCTGTCAGTTTCATGGTCGACGACGTCGATACCAGGCTAACTGCAACTTACGCATCATAACCGTAAAAACTACCCAACAAACTCAAATCATAACCTTCCATGATAATAGCAGTTGAGAAAAGGAGGGAGAAGGCAATGGCCTTGGGATACAGGCGGAGTGCATCGCGGAGAGTGAGGGTGTGTTCGCGATCATTGGCCTCGCGCGCAGCAGGGCGCTCAACTTCGTCAAAGGTCATCTTGTCGGGATCAACGTGCTCAACCTGAGCGAGATCCTTTGGTGAAGACATGACTGTCAGTGTCAAGAGATGTTATGTAGAAGGATCCCTTGTATGGAGAGAATGAAGAAGTGATGCTGATGCTGGGAAAGAAACAGGAGAGAAGCTGGGGAAGCTGGGGATTCTTATGCTAAATCTCCACAAACAACCCGTCTCTCCAGGTTCTGGCGTAGGGTTCACCCCAGGGCCCCCCAGACCAGTCTAGCCAAGAACATGTCGGCCCGACACTGTTCAACGCGAGACTCAGCTCATCTTCGCCAAGACCTGAGCCTCGTGATGGCTTCAAATCTCTTGAGATTCGCTATGTCGGACCGACATGATCTTCGATTTCTCGTCAGACCATGAATCTGAACGGAATTTTGTATGGGGAAACGGGGTCATGAGATCGTGGAGTTTTGTGTCCTGTCGGTCCGATAAGACAAACTCACCCCGGATTTTCTACTCCAGACCTGGGGGGGCACGAGCTTGAAAGGAGGGAGGATGATCTTTGCTTGTATTAGTTAGAGTGGTCGGACAAGACCGAGAATTCTGCATTCCCCTGAGTTGCGACAAGACATCATTGACTGGTGAAGGGGAACTTCTCTCGCCATTGATGTGAGAGCTTAGCTTGGCGGAGGTTTTTAAGTTTATTTTCATGGCGTATTATGCTTATGTTTATTGAGCGAAGAGGGTGTCGAGGCGAGGGTCATTTCATCATCGATTGGGCAACGTGACTTGGTTTATGGTGCGGCGTCTTGATTGGTGCATGGCGAGGTTGTGTCAGGAAGCGAGCGATCGAGGCTACGGAACCAATTGATCCACCCTTTCACCCGATCGTGTGGTATGGTGAAAGGTAATATTCGCTTAGAACAGTGACAACACGGTAACGGGAACGGAGACAGAGTCATACAGGGGTTTTCTGTTTGGTAATTGGCGTTGGTGGTCACTGGAAGAAATGTCCGTTTTAGGTAATTAGTCTCCCGAGGATCGGAGCGTGGAGCGTGGTCTCGCGACATATGAGCCGTTTTTATCCACGGGACCATGCGAAAATATCTTCAATTGGAGTCAAGGGTCATAAAACTGGGTTTTTTGGAACACGGGAAGTTCCGAAACGTAAGTGAAGGCTGCTGGGATTGGTACCATTGAACCTCCTTGGAAAATGAAGGTGACTACCCTGTAGTGTCAGAACGATAGAGACAGATAACACTGAAGATTCCAGCAGAACGCAAAACTGATCATTGTGCGTTCTGGACGACTCTTTTTGTGAAGAGTGTTTTATAAATTAATTTTTAGTCATTGGTAGTTTTCACACTCCCCAGGAAGGCCCCACTGTGATACTATCTCACTCCCCAATTTCCACCACTAACTTTGTACAACTAACACCCTCAGACATTTTATCCAAAGCGCCGTTGAGGAACTCCAGACCTTTACCTACAACCTTTGGTTCGGGGCTTGGTTTAATGCCACCATTAGACAAGTTCTTGCTCAAATAAGCTCCAATCCAATACTTGAACTGCTCGAGTCTTTCTTCTTCAACCGCCGATGGCATCACGAAAGTAACTTCAACTCCATCAACGTTCTCAGCGTCTGCCGGAATCCAAGGTGCCGACCCGATCTTAGCTATCGCAGCTCCTTCAGCTGAGTTTGAATCAACAAACTCTTTGAGCACAGATTGACACAAGGACAGGTTTCCAGTCGCGAGGAAACAATGTCGAATGATCAACCCGTCTTCTTTTGCGGCGGAGACGATTGATTCAACAACCTTTGGATCTTTGTAGTCAAACACACGATGGGCACCGAGCGAGCGTATATAATTGTGGTTTGCCAACCCAGCAGTGGCATAGACCGCGGCGAAGGGAGACTTGGGATCCTGACACTTCAAGCGAGCTGTCTGTACGCCCATGGTGCCGATGCTGGATGATGCGCCCCAGATCAAGAGCACCTCTTTCTTCTCCAACTGGCCAAGATCTTGGGAAGGAAGTTCATCGTATGATCTAGGAATTCCCATCATGTCCCATGCGCTAAGAGGTACCTGCACAGAAACAGGCAACGTCGCAGCATGATTCCACGACATGTTCTGATCTGGGAGTCGAACAGCATGTTGCCACGGAACTAGGCATTTCTCTTGGAAAGGACCATAATCTGGAGCGCAACCTCTCCATGCCGAAGCTGAATATGCAGCAACTCGAGTACCAGGTTGGAAGCCATCATCGCCAGCTGGAACATTTTCGCCGACTTGTAGCACCAAACCGGACATGTCGAAGCCAACAACAGTAGGATACTCTGTTATAAAAAGACCTTGGTCTCGCATGATGACATCCGCTGGGTTGAGAGCGACGGACTTGACGGCGATGAGAAGTTCATCTGGCCCTGGTTTTGGAGTGGATCGGGCTTGTACTTGGAAGGGTTGGCCTTTGCCTGGGCAGATAGCAGCGAGATGAGTAGACATTTCGATTTAAGATGGAGGATTTCTGGTGTATTAATGGTAGAGACAAAAGATGTTAACATAACAGAAGGACGTGTCTTCTTTATACCTCCAACACAGCATTTCCATGAGGTTTTCCTCAAATCATATTGATCTCTTCGCGATAATACCCAGAGTTCTTGAATCGTCAATCCGCCAATTAAATCGCCGTGCATCCGCAAAACAGCTAGCGTGTGAAAGCCCCCCAACCAATTGAGGTTAGTGCATCGCGAAAATAGATCGTACCTCCATATCCTGTCAGCTCAGGGTCAAATTCTCTCAACGATGACAATATCCCGCGGTTTCTGGCAATTAGTAAAGCTTTGTGGAAATGTCTGCGAATTGTGTGGACCATATGCGCCCGAAGAAACCAGCGCGGCGGTCAAGATATGGCTGTCGTAATTGCAAGCTGAGAAAACTCAAGGTGAATCTACCCTGACCATTCATTGCGACTCAACTAAACTTTGTCAGTGCGATGAGAGCAAACCTCGGTGTAAAAAATGCTGCTCATTTGGGGTGTTGTGTAACTTTGGACTGAACGTACCCGATCTACACCCTATTACTCCCAACACCGTGAGGGCCGTGGTTCGATGCAAGCCGTCGCCTCAAAGACCTGTCGCGAGCGCTGTGTGGACCTCTGATGAGTATACCATCTATCAGCTCAATGCGAAATGTCAAGACTTTGTGACGAGATATTATACGAGGAGTCTCCTGACGCCTGATGATGGGAACATGGTCGACGTCAATCGGAGGCTGTTCAAACTCGCCTTCACTGTAAGCGCGACACGCGGAATGTGTCCGACTGGGCTAATTGGCACAGAACCCTTGCTTGATGCACGCTTCTCTAGCCGTGGCACTTACATACGATCGCTATCTAAACACTTCATCAAGCTCTCCCCGGAGTCTAGAAGAATGTTATCACTGGTCACAAAGCACAGCGCTCTTTAATAAGAAGTTACGCGAACCCATTAAGACACAGGACAAGGACCCGATCTGGGGCACAGCAGCCGCGTTGGCCGTCCTGACGTTCTCATCACCAGATGCGTACAGGCCCGAGGACTCTTGGCCTCTGCAGACTGGCGACGACGACCTGGATTGGGTGTCCATGATCAGTGGGAAGATGTCCCTGTGGAATATGGTAGATCCTCTACGAAATGACAGTCTGTTTCGCGTCATGGCTGTTACGATTGCGCAGATGCAAGCGCCCTTACCAGAAATCGGGATACACGGTATACCAGAGGAACTAGTCGCTGTCTGTCGGCTGAAAGAGACATCTACCCCGGAGAATCCTTATTTCTACGCTGCGCATGCGGTGTCGGGCATTCTTTATCTACCGGATAGCCAAGTCACAACGGGACAAACACAGCTCTTCACGCACAGGATCGAAGGCGCCTTCAAGGAGTTGCTCCTTGCTAGAGACCCTGTCGCGTTGTTGCTCCTGTATATATGGTATCGCAAGGCAGGACGGAGTATATGGTGGGTCGAGCTTCGAGCGAGGGTGGAATGCCCGGCGATCTGTCTGTATCTCCAGCGCTATCATGCGGATGAGGTTGCAGTACATGCGCTGCTTCAGAGCGAAATCATATTTGGATGAGGTATTGGCGGGCTGGCTTGGGAGGKGCTCGGGAGGTCATGCGATTGACGGGCTCGTACATGACCTGAATGGAAGGCTCGTGTCGCCTCAAGAGTACGCCTAATTGCACGATACTAGGAGGCGGAAAAGCGCTGGTAGGTACGACACGCGATGGACTGTGAACGACTCATCCCCAATTCTGACAATGGTGCTTGGATGCAGAGCATCGACGAAAGGCATCATGACAATGCGAAAGGCAGTGGTGCTGGCTGAGTACACAGATCAGGTCTCGTCCATGACGGCTGCGACAGTCTCCAACTACTCCTCGCTCAATGTTCTCTCGATCGGTTATAGCATTCGGAATGTTATAGTCTCGCTCGGAATTGTCAGGCAACGGGGGGATCAGAGTTGACACGGCATCGATCTGGCGGGTTCGGGAGGGACACATCTGGTTAAAGACTTCTTTCAAGGTGAGTGGAGATGCGAGGCGGCGTATAGTATGGAGGCCGAGCTCGCAATTGCAGCGGCAGCGCTGTGTTCATTGTGTCAGTCGCATCGAGTAGAGGCGCGCTTAGTACCACCAAGGGCACAGTGAGCGCGTCCTCAGTTTCACGGCTGGGCTTTGTCGCTGGAATTCAATAGCCCTGGCTTGTTGCGCAAACCGAGCCGGAAAAGATAGCGAAAGAAATGGCCATAGCTAACTGTCCTCTGGCTGTGTGCCTGTCAACTCAACAGAGCGCCAAACGGTGAAACCTCCACCTCCAAAAACCGCGGACTGACATCACGTGCTTAGTCATGTGAGATCATCGAATGGGTTACCTTTACAATTGGATACCTCAATAATTCGCATGGCTTGGATCAAGGACGAAAGAAAATGAGGAATCGTATTTAGAAGCCGGTTAATCATTCCTCAACTGATCCATGGCCATTCAATCCATCTTGGAGCAAGATAAAGCGCCGCGATCTACAAATTGATTCCTTCGATTTTCAAAGACCCATCCTTCGAGATCTGCTCCACAAACTCCCCAAAGTCCTTCAACAAATCTTCAGGCCTCTCCAGCGCAGCAAAGTGACCTCCTCGCTTATGGTCCCTCCAGAACACAAGATTTCCCGTCGTCTTCACCCAGCTCACAGGAATAGGAGCGAGCTCAAACGGGAACCAGCTGTAACCCAATGGCTTGCTGATCTTCCACTTCGGGTGATCATGTGCACCGGGATAATCTGGGTCGAAGCGCTGGCGATACGGGAAGATTGACGTAGGAAAGCTATCTGTCAGCCAATACAGAGACACAGAGGTAAGAATCTCTTCGAGGGGAGGATCTTCGTCACTCCAGCTCAGGAACTTCTCGCCGACCCAGGCTAGAAGCGCGAGAGGCGATGACGAGAGGATGAGGCCGATGGTGCTTGGTCTTGTGGCGTGCATCAAAGCGTAGGCGGTACCCAGCTTGTCAAAGTCCTTTGCACGTTCGAGGCCTCTCTTTTCTGCCTCCGAGACTTCGCCCTGCGCTATCGCAGGCTCCGCCATCAGGCAGAAGTTGAGATGAGCAGCTATAGAAAATCGAGTCAGTGGAATCCTTCAATCTCGTGGACGATTCGCATCTTGATTTCATACCTTTGCACTCATCATAAGTTGCTGCGAGCACGCGAGAAATCCTGCTTCCGATATCGCCGCCCTGAGCGATATAGCCACCTCCAAAACCGAGCTGAACCATAAGACTGTTCACAATGCGGGAAACATCTCTGATGCCAAAGTCCTTATCCAGCGGCGGCTTATCCGAGAAAGCATAGCCGGGGAGAGATGGTACAATGACGTGGTAAGGGAGCGTCTCGGGGGTATAGCGCTCCTTGAGAATGGAGAGGATCTTTAGAAACTCTAGAAAGCTACCCGGCCAGCCATGCAGCATTACCACGGGGACAGCATCGGGCTTGGAGGAGAAGAGACCCGTGAAGTGGATCGTAAAATCACCCTTTTCGTCCTTGATGGGTACAGTCCAGTGATTGAAGGAATTAATGTGCTTTTCCGCAGCGCGCCTGTTCCAAAGGTTAGACCTCGGCAATGCAAGTTGGGGACAGGCGGTAGCACATACCAGTCAAAGTCAATCCAAGCAGCTTTCGCATCAGTTAGCCACTGATGGCTGACTCCATAATTATGTTCGTTTTGCGTAGATTCGTAAGTCGGCGGTCCGACTCTTCCAAGTTTCACAAGCTGCTTAAGCTCATCGACCTTGTCGTCTGCAATGGAGACTTGGTAAGGCGTTGGCTGAAGCTGAGCGCCTGAAGGAAGCTTTGCAAAACCGTCTGACATTTTTAAATGGTGATTTGTGCTGTGCTGAGATGTTCTGCATTTTCCCTCATTCTTCAAATTACTGCGATCGGAGGGGTTTAAGAAGCCACTGATTGATATGTAGTTGGTAGGGCGTAGCTGTCTTGCTGATAAATATGACCTCATTTTTGTAACCTAGGCTAAACACGGGGCCTCGGGCGGAGAAACATGCCGCAGACATGCCGCAACCAGCCACTCATCATCGATCACGTTGAGCTTGGCAATGTATGGTGTGAAGCTTGAGTAACTCGTTGGAATATTATGAGATCCGAATTCCGCCCTTTTGTGACCCAACAAAAATTGCATTTAAACCAAGTAACCTACACCAGACAGCTCAATGATGCTGCATCCCCCCCACTGCCTGGCATCAAGTTGTTGCTGGTTTCTATGTTTCCTGTATTATGATAGCCCTTTGGATTGGCTCTGTCTGGGGATTGTTTCAAAACTTAGCTGCACTTACAGCCCGTTTGATCCCCATTGCCAACGAAAACCACCAAGACTGCTGCATAACTGGTTCCATACACGTTAGCATACCCAGTCACTTCCCTTAACTCTTGAAATACAGATAGAGTACTACTTACGCTGCGCTTCCTGCAATTATCTCTGCTCGCTTCGCGTTTGTGATCAAGCCAACGCTCAACGCAAATAGTATCGTAAAACCGCATATGGTACCAAGAATTGCTGGCGGTGACTTCACATAGTATAGACTGCTTATCGAACCGACCAGTAAGATCATGGCGAGTAAAATGTTGACGAGAGCAACAGCTATCGTGATTGATCGTTCGTCAAAATGGCTGATCCGACGCCGTCCGTCCCTGGATAATTCTTCCTGATTTCAAGATCTTTGCGTTAGTGAATGGCTTTCAGTCAACTACGACAGTACTCATGAGGATAATAAAACGCCCTCGACCTGGCCAGTAAGCCCGTAGCAATTTTGATAATGGGTCGACCGCTGCTGAAGCTTTAAGGGAGATCAGATCCTCTGCCTCGTCCAGGTAATCCTTTCCTCTCCCTCCTAATATGGGATTCGGTTTTTGACCATCTCTTCGCAGAGGCCCTCCATGGAGTTCGTTTCGAGCCACTATAAGGGCGCGTTGGTCAGGGCTGTTGAGCAGAGAAATCCTGCTCTGTAGATCTAGCGCTTCATCTATACAAGAGTAAGCAGAAGCTTATAGTCGGGTCTATTTCACATACGATATTCTTCAATTTTGATGCGCAGCTGTTTCACAAGCTCCAACATGTCCCTTGCTTCTGTTTTCCCGGCCTCGGCCTGTTCAATCATCATTTCCCATGTTTCTGCAACCTGTTCCAACGCGGTATCGTTGCTACCTTCAACCTGCTTATCCCAGGCTTTCAACTTGCTTTCCATGCTTAACAATTCGCATTGTAGATAAAGGAGATTTCGAGCACTGATTTCTCCGAATCTTCGGAAAACCAGCAGTTCTTGATCCTTGTCTGACACGATCCATGACGAGAGTGCTGAGAATCCTAGTGAGGGTCGAACTGCAGCCTGACCTGCATTCATCTCAATATCAAAAAGGTTTCGCATCCGCATAAAGGTCATAGACACGGGATGGTGAGCAACGAACAACCCTCAATTCCGTAAGAAATCACATACAGGAATCACGAGATGGGCTGTTCTGTAATTCTTTGGAGTTAGGCCTGCAGCCTGGTGCTGACCACCCTCCAATGACGTGTTCAAATTGTAATTTCAATCACAAAACATCAGGCAGCATCTCCTCAAAGAGTTTGATTGGTGTAAGCCGAATCAGCCCGACAAGAAGCCTGACAACAGTGCAGCTTATATACAGCCACCGTCGCCTTGACACATAGCACTAGAATACCAAAAAGGCGCTCCCGTCCCGGTTACAAAGTCTTCTTGCTTTCTTACCCTCTCATCAAACAGATCGACGTATCGACACTCCTACAAGGAGACTACTTGCTATTCCTTAAATTAATCCTACTGTACCACTCAGAATAAATTTGCCATTTTAAGATGCATCATTCACTCCTCTAGTCAGCGCACCCGGCATGGAGCTTAATACCAGACCTGAGCGAAATCCTCAGGCGCAGGGTGGAAGTCTTCGATCTAGGATGCCAGTGACAGATCTCACGCCAATATTTTCCTACGAAGCGCCTCTTCTATTACCAAGTATTAAACTCAGCGAGTGGCATCGGCAAGATAACGAATTCATACAAGCTACTAGTGATACCCTGGTTACACCATCAGAACTACTTCGGTACGTAGCTGAAAGTTCATCGCACCTTAACAGCTGCTGACTTTTATGGAAGTCGCGAGCTTCAGAAATCGTTAGAGTTAGTGAGTCAGCTGAAAAAATATACGACCGATCCATATTATTCTATTCGTCACGACTTCACTTCTGGACACCAGACCTATTCCAGTGGCGCAACAGATTACACCGTGAAGGCTCTGGTAGGCCCAAACCAAGTTCAGATCGACGCGCTGCCTGATACTGGCGCGAAACGCAACTTCGTTTCTCAGCAACTTGTCGAGTCGCTTGGACTAGTGCCCAAGGACCGTACGAAAGCGATATTCCGACTGCCCTCTGGGGCAACAATTAGATCGTGTGGTACGGTAGATGTTCCTTTTACTTTCTTGGGGGAATCAGAGCATCATTTGCTTGACTGTTGCATCCTCCCAAAGTGCACTCAGGACCTCATCCTGAGTCAGACCTTTCTCAAAGCTACAGGTACTCTGACCAAGTTCGCCCATCGAATCACAAAGTCGCTGAGGGAGTTTGCCCCTCGATTCAGATTTAATCTTATCGAAGATGATACCTGTTGTCTACAGGGAAGCTTTGATGATATACCCTCAATTGCTCTTGCGGACACAGGCTGCGACGCAATGCTCATATCAGCAGACTTTGCTAGGCGGCACTCCCTGGAGATTGATAAGGGGGTTGAGCACAGGCACCTCGTCGAGTATGCCGATGGGTCTCTGGATACCACTACTGGTATTATTCGTGACTCTAATTGGCAGTTCCGAAGTTCGAGGATTAAGATTCCTTGTGACTTTTATGTGCTCGATGACCTCAAAGCAGATATCGTATTGAGCAGTCATTTCATTTTCCAGCACGAAATATTTTCGCAATTTGAGAGGGACATCATTGATATGAGTCTTATTCCTGAACGAGACTTCGGAGACCTCTACAATATTCGATTGATCAGTCACTATAGCCCCGCGCTACGGTCGCTTGAGGCGTCTTCCATCGCTGACAGTAAGACTATCACACTTGCAGCCGATATATACCATGGGAATGGATACTAACATCGGTGTAGTGAATTCACCCGGTTCGTTTAGCCCGGGGGCAATCAAAGCTGAGAGGGTTCGACGCGACCAGATTCGGGATGCGATCAACGCTCTTCCTCTGGACCAGCAGGATCAGGCTCACATTGATGAAAGGAACAGGCAAGAGATCTGGGACGGCTACCGGAAGAGACACGTAGAAACACAAGAGGAGGATACAGATTCAACTAAGCAGGTCCTAGTGGCTCAAAAAGAACGCTGGTGGGAGAAAGGACTGGTGTGGAGACGGTTTGGAAGGAAAGCAACCTAGGAAACTCGAGCCTTTTGGTGAGAAAAGAGCATGGAGACTAGGAGTACGTGGTAAGGGCGAGAGTATATAATGGTAATTAGAAGTCAATGGTGGGATGTGAAGAGGTTGAAGAGGCTAATACAGAACGAAATTATAGACCCATGATGTTTCTTGTCTACTCCATTATCCAAAGTATCCGATGCTTCGCATAACCAGTACGGAGAAAAGAAGTTTCTATGAGAGCTTAAGTGTTAGGCAAAATCAAGATGACAGCGCCGTACCCGGCACTGAGAGACAGCAAAATAATGTTAAGCTGCCTGGAGCTATGGTCAAGTGGTGCCTGTTATATCATCAGATATAGGTCGAATCATTTGAAGCGATGATATCTACATTGGGCAATATATATATGAAGATATACGAGGTCAGGAATAATATCTGTCAGCAAGTTGGCACGGTATAACAATGCCAAAGCTCTGGCACGCGGAATAGATCATATTGCGAAGAAAATCCATGTCATCATGCTTACCCCTTCTTGGTGCATCTCATCAACAGGTTCGAGATAACTGTGCCGCATTCCCCGCCAAGTTTTCAAATGACATGTTGGTTCTCAACCAACTGCGCCGCAGGATATGTCCCACTATTGGGTCGCATGGAGACATCCCCACTCCATCTGGAGATCTCACTCGGAAGCCGGGGGTAATTGACAGCGAGGCATGTGGCACGAATCTCCGGGGAAGTCTGTGTCCCATCAAACGTTGCAGTGCAGAAGAAATGATCAACCTTTTCGGTCCTACTAGGCGCCAAGAGATCGTGAAAGGACAGTCACTGGCGCGAAGGATCAACTCCGCAGATTTTGGCACAATTGTTAAAGATCTGCTTGGTGATCTCTCGGGTATGGGGTGCCGAACGTTGGGAAAGTGGGCAAGCTGGAGGGCCTACCCGGAATCACGGGAGCGAGCCCGCCTACTAGCTACCCAACTATTCAAGGAATATATCAGATATGATTGTCAACTCGAATGGCAGTTAGACTTGAACGGGCATTATGTCTGAGGTAGGCATATTGCCTACCCTGCACATGAAGATTTCGTGAGGCTCAAGCTTGCATGAATCTCAACTTAACAGCTCAGATAGTTAAAACCGCCATGGTCGCCAGCTTGGACATATTTTCTCTTGATTCCTCGCACGATAGGACTAGAACTCTACTAGTTTAACCTTAAAGAGCTTAAAATTAGTTTGTCGCCTACGAGCATCGGCTTTTGGCGACAGAACCCAACGTCCCGTCGCTTGGCAGTTTAGCATTTCTGTCCACTTCAAAAGTCAAGAGGCCAATATCCAATTACCCCTTAGATAAATGTCCCTTAAGCCGAAGTCTCTAATTTCATGTCTCTCGGTCCTTTATGAAGCGAGCAACTTCTGGCGATTCCCAAATCTCAAGATCTCAATCTGCCACGTGCGGGGGCAAGATCCAGGAACCCCAAAGCCAATCTTGGCTTCCATCACAGCAACACCATCCAAAAGCATCACGTACGCGTACTGATAGAGATAAGCATCAACATCAACGCACAGGCGCGGCCCAAACCCTCGGATTCAGCATAGAGTTTCGGTTTGACGCCTTGGCGATGCAAGATGCAACGACGGAAAGGTTAGGCGAGAGACACTTTGGGGGCTCCAACCCCAACATGTCATCAAAAGGCGGCGCGGACTTGGCCCAAACGGTTGGAGAGCGCATGGAACTCGACCGAAATGCCGAGGATCAGCCAGGGTTGCATTCAAGACAGTTTCAGGGCGCAATTACCTGGGCAACATCAGGCGAGTTTTGGTATTATCCTTGGGCAAGTGTTTATCCTCACGAGGCTCAATGTCACGATAACTAGACCTGCAACGTCACCGATAACGGCAGTCGTATCGGCATTGAAAAAACTTGCTGAGGAACTGTGAGGAGACAGCGTACGATGCTGCTCGTGGCTTGCATAAAGCAAGCTAGCTCAGCAATTTTATGCGCTTGGGCCTCCCTTAAAATAAGCTTGTGCAGGAAAAATCGGGGGCAAACTTTGGGGTTGGCCGCTGTGGGGAAGCAAATCAATCTTCAGTGATACAACCTTGACGACAGAAAAGGCAACGTCGAATGGGGGCCTCAAGGCTCTGCTATTGGTTCACAGCTCATCCTTGCCCTACTGTTCTCTGAGCCTTTGATCTGTGTGTAGCTGAGGCGCTCTTCGCCGAACCTTTCTCTCGGTTCGTCGCATTAAGTCATGCGGAGAGAAAATAAAAAAGCATCGACCGTTTTTCGGCTTTAACAGTGAACCACTCCATTATTTTAGTCGAGACGGTGTCTCATGACTCAGTCGAGGGAGCTGAGAGCTCAACCTGGTCTAGACTCGTGGGCCAAGAGAGTCAGACACGGAGAACCGGCCAATGGGATATGACACGGCGTTTGCCGCGCCGTCGCATGGAGGAGTTTAGCCGAGGCCATTTTGTCAGCAACCAGAGGAGGAGTCATTGCCAGGGAATGGGGGGTTATTGAGATGCAGCATGCAAGGCATCATCAGTGAGGATACAGCAGAGTTCCTCTATCGCCTATAGAGTATTAAGAATTAATATGATTGACATGAAATAGAGATGGAATAGACTGTTCGCAGATCAAATACCCATCTCACCTGTCAAAACCTCTCATTTCGTACCCCAGAAATGGACCCCGAGTCCCTGTGGGAACCCCCATGGGGACACCATAACGTTAATAACAACTTAACCTTAATCGACCCCATAAAACCTCCCATTTCAGTGCTCTCACTCGGATTTCTCTCCGCCGAATAGCCAAGAAAACAGGACATTCGATCCTGGATCAGGAATGGCGCCTCGCCTCGGGGTATCGACACCGAAGTCATTGACCTTTCGCTGCCATGCGGGGAAGACACGACTGATTGACCAGTGCCCCGTGGGGAAGTACCACCGAGATATCCCTGCCTGATCATCGGACCTGGTGTCCACAGACAGAATGCGGAGTCTTTATATTTATCCTGCTATCCCTCCCCTCCCCATTATTTTCTTTCCCCAGATCTGCATTCGAGCATCTCTCCTCCTCCTCCTTTTTCATTCTTCCCTCTGACAAACTCGAAGCAATGGCGCCTCCGAATGAAACAGCCCACGTGGAAGACGGGCAGAAAGCTCCCGTGCACCACACTGAGTTCTCCGGCTACAACTCACAGGTCGAGCTCATCGAGGCCGCCGTGGCTGCCAGTGATGCAGAGTGTCTCCTGCCCAAGAAGGAGCTGTTCTCGCGATACTGGCCTGCTGTGACGTTCAGTATGCTTCTGAGTGTTGCTTTGGTCATGGAGGGTATGGATGTTGGTCTTATCAACAACTTCTTCGCCCATCCTGCTTATCTCAAGCGTTTCGGTTGGCCTGACGCCAATGGCGATCAGCATATTTCTACAAAGTGGCAAGGTGCCATTGGTGCTGGAAACAACTGTGGTTCTATCATCGGTCTTTTGATTAACGGTTACTTGCAATCACGATTCGGTTCTCGACGTGTTTACATGGTACGCTATTTCTCATCGCGTCTGATTCGACCCCCTTGCTAATCTCACTAGTTCGCCATGGCTCTCATGGCCTGCACCATCTTCGTCCTCTTCTTCGCCGTCAACGTCGAAATGCTCCTCGTCGGTAACCTCCTTTGCGGTATCCCTTGGGGTATCTTCCAGACCCTCACCACCGCCTACGCCGCCGAGATCTGCCCCGCCGCCCTTCGTGGCTACCTCACCGCCTGGGTCTCCATGTGCTGGGGAGCCGGAAGTTTCCTCGCTACTGGTGTCCTCCGTGGCTCTCTCGACCTCAAGGGCGACGCTGGATGGCGAGTCCCCTACGGTCTTCAGTGGATGTGGATTCCTCCTCTGATCACCGTCGCTTTCTTCGCCCCCGAGTCTCCCTGGTACCTCGTCCGTCGCGGTAAGCTCGAGGCTGCTGAGCATGCTCTCCGCCGCCTTGCTCGCAAGGGTCACTACACTGATGAGTCCATGGCTCAGACTCTCGCTCTGATGAAGCACACCAACGAGATGGAGAAGGTTGAGGCTGAGGCTGCTAGCTTCAAGGACTGCTTCAGAGGAACTAACCTTCGCCGAACTGGTATTGTTTGCATGGCTTGGGTCATTCAGATTCTCAACGGTCAATCTATCACCAGTTATGCCGCCATCATGCTCAAGTCTATTGGTATGAGCAACACTATGGCTTTCAACTACAACATGATCATTCAGTCGGTCAACATCATCGCCACTGCTGTTGCCATCTCCCTCATGGGTAGAATCGGACGTCGAACCTTTTACTTCTATGGTTCTTCCGGTATCGGTGCCTGCATGTTGATCATTGGTATTCTCGGCTTCGTCCCCAAGGTCGACAGTGTCGCTATCGTCACAGCTGCCTTCCTTGTTGTCGTCCAGTGTATCTTCAAGGTCTCTCTCGGCCCTACCACTTACGTCGTCGTCGCTGAGACCGCCTCCAACCGTGTTCGTGCTCAGACCATCGTCCTCGGTCGTGCTGTCTACGTCTGTGGTCAGATCATTGTTCAGCAGCTCAACCCCCGTATGCTCAACTCCAGCAGTGATGCTTGGAACTGGGGAGCCAAGACTGGAATGTTCTACTTCGGTCTCTGCTTCATCTGGGCTGTTTGGATCTTCTTCTTCCTGCCCGAGACCATGAACCGTAGCTTTGCCGATCTTGACTACCTCTTCCAGAAGAAGGTCAACGCTCGCAAGTTCACATCCACTCCTGTTGACTGTAAGTTATCTCCAAACTCTATTGATCAATCGTTACTAACTATAGAACAGTGTTCGAGATTGTCGGACCTGACAGGACTACCGATAAGCTTCAGGGTATTGAGGCTGTCACTCCCGTCAACACCAACACTGCTGGCCCCGAGATCGAGGGAACTAAGAAGCCTTAATTGTTCGATGATACTCTGAGTTGATGTAATGGATATTTGGTGATGATTGGCATGACTAGCAAGCGATGTTGATGCATGGGTCCAGCCTATAGCGCAATTTTATTACCTGAGAGACTTTGAATACCCAAACATGACACGACTAGCCCTTGTAAACTGTGACACTCTTGTATAGCGATGAGCTGTTCGCCTTAAATTTAAAGCTTAGGCAGCCGACGCACATGGCGGGCATAAAATCATCCTTTATAAATAGCAAATTCTACTTAGAAGCTTCCATTATCGTCATCTGCTCGTAGGGCTTTGCAAAGAGAGAGAGGGAACTTTCGCCAAAGCTGATGAAGCATTCGAAGGCATACGCACAAGATTAAATTAGGTATTGATGATGCTTGTGTGAACCTTACAAATTCTTAGGAAGATAGGTTGTAGAGTCTTATGTTAAACTTTGAGGAGAAGCCCTGAGACCTTTGGGGATGACTGCCGCTTACAAGGTTAAGCTTTATATATATCCGTGTTCTAGAGATCAAAGCTCAATATTGATAGGTATAAGGATGCTGACGTCTTGTTCTTTTCCTTCGACTTTTCTTCCTCATTCCCGTCGACTCCCTGATATTGTCACCCGAGCTTTATACTTGGAGGCACAGCCCAAGATGATACCTGTCACACACTATCCTATTGCCGTTGGCCTTCCTGTCACCGCGCAAGATCCTTTCGCCCCGCAGCGTGCTTCGGGCGCTTCTGTAGATGCATATCTAAAGGCACGACGCGCGGCGGACTTGATCTGTGCATGGGACACAACACCGGCAGACGTCGTGATGCAGCAGATTCGCCATGATTCACAAATCGAGAGACAAATTGGAAGGGAGCCACTGATCCCCACTCGAGAAAAATGTCATTCTTTGCTTACAAGACCTCGAAAGGACCAAATATCTCACTGTCCTTCCGAGCCTTCGATGTCACAAAGACTGCCTGATGAGGTTCTCTTGATGATTGTCTCCTGCCTATCGGATCCAGATGACAAACCGTCGCTTTTCGCTTTTTTCGCCCTCCGTCAGGTCTCTCGCCGATTTAGATGTCTATTGCAAGCAGAAGACTTTATCACACATCCTTTCTCTCGTGAAGGGTGCTGTCAACAGTGTTCAGATGGTTGTCAAGACAAATACACATCACCAATCTGTCCACCGGGTGGCCGCCATTGCTTTGACTACAAGTCCGTGGGAGAGATAGACAAAAGGGGACCTATCTTCGAAGGGAAATGGGGCGTTGGAGGATTTGGGGACTTCATAAGAAGTTACACCACGTGCAAAGACTGCCAGGAAAGTCGAGAGGGTAGGGTAAAGGCAGGTTACTCGACGACTTGCAAGTTTGCGCCTTGCGACTCCCAAGAATACCTTCATTGCCACTCCTGCGATGCGGATCACCCTTCCTCGTGCTTTTCCAAAGACCAAGCAAAGCTGCCGGAGGGGCGAGTCTGCATTGCAAATGAGGGCCATATCCGAATTTGCGAACACAAAACACTGACCCGAGCCGACATAAAACTTCTATTGCCAGATGAGGTGCCTGAATATAGGCCGGTGTTCCTAACGAGCTGTGAACATCCCGAGCACAAGGTAACATGTAACGACAACTTCGATTATACCGATCAGACCCCGAGGGTATTTGCTACAAACCCTGACGGCCTTGGTATTATGATACATATTCTATGGCAAGGGCATTCGGGTAGCGATCGATCTACCCTTCACAAAAGCGGCTATATACATAGACATAAGCTCAACGACTCACTGGGAAGGATCAGGCAGAATGGAGGGAGTCTGTTGCTGCCACAGCGTGGCCCTAATACGCTACCTGAATGGAACGTAATCTCCGAAATAGACTGCTCAGAGGTAGTATCATCAGAAGAAGACCTTATCAAGCTCCGTGGTGGCTGGGGCTACACGAATCGCCAAAGACGACACAACACGGCTGTTCTAGGCCCTGAAAGGATAGCATGTGGTCACTGCAGGTACGACAAGAGCTGTATCGTTGTTAACTACCATCGAAAGATACCCTTCTGGAATCAGTACTCGAGTTGGGCGTCTCACGCGTGGTTTCATGCCATTGACAGGAAGTCATACGTGTACAATGGACCTGCTGGCGTGCCCGAGACCTGCGATGTGGGCACCTGTCGCAATAGCTATATGGGTAAAGAAGATCAGGTTTATATCATGTCAGAAGTCGTCAATTTCCCCTGCGCGGCAAAGAGCAATTTTATGTATGGGGACAATAGGTGTGAATTGGTGGTCCAAGAGAAGCAGTCCTGCGAGAATTACGGACGAATACTTGAATCATTCGAGGATCATGATGTTGAGGAGCTTGAAGAAGCTCTCGCCCCAAGAGAACAAGCGGCCCGCTTTAGCTTGTTTCAGCATTTGCAATATGGACGAGCTGGGTTCTCGAGCGATTGAGACCCAACTCTCTGGAGATTATGGAACTCATCACAAGCACAGCTGTTAGTATAGTCGCATGTCATGTTGAGGCACCAAAAGTGTAACTAGATATAGTCTGGATAAAATTGATAATGCCCCGTAGTTGAAAATATCATCAACCTCTCGAGATCGCTCCACTTATTCCTCGGGCTTTTGACCGTATACGGTGGTTCTGTATAGATATATATTAGCCTCAAGAGAAAAGTTTTCAAGATTGCTGAGGACGTACACCAACACGTATGAGTGAAGCTTTGGGTTCAACAGCTCTTTACGCATCTCCACGAGGAAGACCTGCGCTTTTTCATACTCCCACTAGAGTTCAACTTGTTAGCGTATTCATAACATACCAGGCAATAAAGACATACTCCTAAAAGCTCTGTCAAGCTGCGGATGGAGAAGCCTTCCAGTCCCTGTAGCAAGAACTGTCGGTTCCATGCACCCCACTGCTTGAGATCTTTGTCTTTCGCCCAAGTACCAATGGGTACCTTGACCTTCTTCTCGGTGATGTTCTCCAAACCTGCCTTCTCGAATACGTCGGCGGGGTTCCAGAAGAAGGGGTTGCCGACTTTCTCTGCTACTTGATTAAAGATATTGACCCAAGTTTTGAGCGGAGATTCAGGGCTCATGGTGTCATCGTCAGCCCTGGCGTCTCCCCAAAGTTCAACATGCTCGATCCAGCCACCTGGCTTGAGATGTCTGTTCAGTGTTAGAGATGGACTTGTATAGATGAAATGGAGTGTACGATCTACCTCTGGGCCTTCTTCAGGAGCTCTGTCCAATCTGGGACGGTCCCTGTCATATAGCGAATGTGAATGAAGTCGAATTTGTTCTCGGGAAATGTCCATTCTTTGTTAATATCGTCAACTTCGAATCTGCAGTTGGGCGGGATAAAGTTTGGTTGAATGGGCGAGAGATCAACACCAATGACTTCAGCTGATGGGTGCAGGTCTGCCATATCACTGATTTCATCAGTACATTTGAGGTACTCTGCCAGTGCCATAGTAACTCACATGGCCCAAATACCAGTGCCGCAGCCAACATCAAGTATGTTCTGCAATAATCAGTACAGAAGGATATGGCCAGATAGGTGGCGACAAACCTGCGGGTTCTTGCCGATCGGAGCTTCATACAGCTTACCGTCGAGGACTGCACGAAACAACTCGTGACTGAGGTTTGTTAGAAAGAATAAGATTGGAACCGTTTAGAAGTGAGACTTGCATTAAATCTTCGGCCTCTTGCTGACGATCGTCATTCGCTCCCCTAATTGTGTGAGAAATAATTAATACCTACGAATTCTGAGGGCTCACCAGTAGGTTCCATCGCCATATGCATGGAACCGTCTACCATGAACCCACTTGTAGTTCAAAATAGACGAACGCAGCGACTCAGTATCACTGAGATCCGTTCTGGGCCATATTAGCGAAGCCTACCCCAGTGTCAGTGCATGCCATCTTACGATAAAGAATACGTAGAGTCAGAATCAGTATCCTGAAAGAGTACATCAGCAGGGGAGCAGAAACTACACAAAAGGTTGTGACTGACAGGCTGAATGAATCCATCTCGTGCCTGCTGCGCGGGGGTCTCAGCCTCCACAGCCTCGGGCGGAGACCGAGGAGACTGAGGAGACTTGTCAGGAGATTTTGGCGAAGACATCGCGAGGATAAGCGAAAAAGGCCAAGAGATCTGGGATCTGACAGGTGAATGTGTTGGCCTCAGTCTGACTGCAGCTTGCAGAAAGGTAAAACGGTTGGTTTGTGACAGAAGAAAACTCAGATGGCGGTCAAATTATTTATCTCGCATTGCCTGACTCCCCCACCTATTTCATGCATGGGTGAAGTGTTCTGTGGGGAGGAGGTGCACTGTGAATGGGCCGTGAGAGTTGCGATACTACCCTGCCATTGCGATGATCTTATCCGTTTTAATCAACAACCCCATACTTGCATCTTTACCTGGATTGCCTGAGAGTACAACGATAGAGATTCAGAGACGAGGGCTCAAAGCAAATTGGTATTGGATTGATAGATGCGAGTGCCATGATATACAGTAACGTAAAAAGATTTAAAACTAATGCCTATTATTCCAGACGGTCAAACTTAAGACTGTCAGCGCATCTTGTCGCGGCAATATCAAGCTTGCGGATATTCACTGGCTTGCACCGCATTGAAGGTGGATGCCGAAATAAGAGGGAAAGTTGTAAAATCATCCAAAGAGTAAGTATTTATCGCCAACTATTGTTTTATGTCTCGTCTATACGCGATTGTCAGCATTTAAAATGGAACAAAGACTCCCAAGCTTACCTGCATTGCGATTGCTAGAAAGTCTTTCTATGTTTAAGAAGGTTTATTTCGCATGTCCTCATTTCAGCAGAATAGCCTCCGTCATCTTTTGGAATTTGGTCAGTTTACAAAGTTTCAGATGAGTGAGAGTATGTACCCGATTCATCGTCATCACTTCCGTCAGACTCATCATCCTCGCCAGAGTCGTCGTCCTCGTCGTCCTCGTCATCTGTTTCATAATAAGGATTCCAATGCTCTTCTCTTGGTCAGTACTTGTCTTCAATTGGATTGGTTTGCGTACCTAAGCTGTGCACTTCCTGTAGCAAGGCAGGGAAGATGCTGTTATAGTAGCTGCCGAGGATAGCGAGTATGAAGACGCCGATATAGCAGATAATGTATTCTACAGTCATGGTGAAGTCGTGTGGCTCTTTAGAGACGAGTGTTATCTTATTGCTGAGATGTAGAGAGAAGGTGAGAAGGATGAGAAGAGCTGAGTGATCTTATTGCTGAGATATTGGCGTACTGCAAAGGCAAGGGGAGAGAGATAAGAAAGAATAAAATGGCAAATCATAGAGGGGAAAGGCTTTTTATGTAAGTGACTACGTGGAGTTCCATGTTCGAAAGGATAATGAGTGTCTGATGAGGACAGAGATTCCAGCAAATGAGTGTCCTCGGACGGTATCATTGTCAGAGTTAGAATTCAAGTATAAGGTCTTCCAACAAGCTACATTTCATCAGCGAATCGATGGAGCCATTTGGAATGAAATACCTGGGCATAAGCTTCAATTTGAATGCATCCGATAAACCTTGCCAGTCATCAGCCACCCATCTCGATGGTAATCAGAAGTTTCTTCCTTAGGCTGCTCGAATCACTGGTGAACAAATTTTAATTTGAATCATGACTCGCCCATGTGACCCCGCCAGTTTATGTGGGAAGTTAGAATGCTGCCTGAACTGTGTGTATGAGAGTGGCATTCAACTTACTCGCCTCCACCAAATGTTGGCCAATGTGCGCTTATCGTGTGAGGCGCGTGATGTGAGCCATCAGCTGTGGGGTCTATCAACTCAAAATAACACCCTTATCAATGTCAGTCCGGGCAGTATACCAGCTGCCCAGCACAATTTCCCAAGAGAGTGCTATGGTACACTTCGACCACTTTGAGAAATATGGCTTATGGCGGGGKGCATACAGAGCACCAAACGACATTCGCACGAGAGATAGACTCAATAATATCTGCACTACTATCGTAGGAGATAAAGCTGAATGCAAGTATAAACTACAACAAGCACGTGTTCCAGTACTCGTTACCAACGATACTGGCATGCAGAATCAGTTCAATACATTCAAAACTTTCATATTCGTGTTTTGCCTCACGTTTCGAACCTGAACGGCTTGGCCTTATCCCATTCCCCCAATTCATAATGAATAAATTTGACACTCACTGCAAGACTCGAAGAATCAGAGAAGTACAAACCGTGGTCTTTGTAGTTGACCCTTTTAGCCTAAGACAAGGGAGATTACAAGAGTTTAAGAATGACAGGTCTCAGAAAACCATCGCTTATCGGGGAAGGCGCCTTTCAGCCCTGAAAGTGGCTCATTTTCATGATGAAATGTGCTATGAAAAATATGTCGGCACAAGCCACTTCCTTGATGTATCTCGTTGAGATATCATAAGCCTTAACTATCAATCACAAGCCACTTCCTTAAGCTGTCTAAATGCAGCACTCGTGACAAGAACCATTCTCGCATTTATTTCCAAACATGACTCAACTCAATATGAAGAGTCTACCTCGTTGTTAATGATAGATTCATCCCTGCATACAGTAATCTCGAGCGGCGGTCATATCTTGCCCGAAGGATTGGTACAGGCTGTCCCTATAGTGATGCTGAGACACATAGCAGTGGACGCCATGTCCATGTCGACGTAATATGAGGAAAGGAGGCGGGGAATTGGCAACTTCGGAAGTCGCACCGATTGTGCCCGTAATAAGCAGCCAAAAGAAAGGTCCTAGCCAGCAAATGCGCCCATGTGTTGTTTGAGTGTTCATGACGTTTGTGGCCTCGGGGCTGAAACCGCTTTGAACCCCTCACCCTGATCACTGTGCCGATCATAAATATGGCCTAGCTCGCCCGTATTTACGGATAGCAAATGTTTAGCAATGAATGATATCGCTGCCATCCTGGGAGTAAACACCACTATCGAAGCCGTGGACACCGAGAATGCGGCTTTGGCAGTGCACTATCACATCTTGACCCGCCTCGTGGGGACGTGTTTGGTTATATATATAGCTTGGCAATATTTATTGAGAATTGGAGCGCTATGGAACTCTCAATTGGAGCCTCCGATGCTGCCATATTGGATCCCTGGTAAGAGCTCGTCTACTTTCAGCCAAAAGTCTAACACAAACTTGCAGGCATTAGCCACAATATTTCATTCTTTAGAGATGTCGAGAAACTATTGGTTGCTGCAAGGTCAGTACTCACGGGGTTGTTAAACCACTAGTGCTCATCACCACCAAGATCATATTTTAGGATCCCTGCACAGCCCTTCAGTGTCTTAATCGGTGGTCGTCGGATGTACGTGATTCTTGACCGTCGCGATATTTCCGAGACCCATCAGAAAACGAAAGAGCTGCACTTTGATGCCTACATCGACCAGTTCATGCAATATGTCTCAGTCTCCAAGGAAGCCAGAGATGTCCTATGGGGGGCTACCGTTACCGAGACCTCATTGTCAGTTCCTAATTCTCTTCGATCGTGGATACGTACAGATATGACCCGAGCTTCATCTCAAAGATTCTTCGACGAGTGCTTATCAGAGCTCAACAGCGTCATGCAACAAGGTAGCCCCCTCACAACAGGGAATAGTAACGAACACGACATGTTCACGTGGGCTAGCGACATCATGGTCAGAGCTTATACCAAGAACTTCTTCGGTGCTGCTCTTATTGAGAATTCGCCCGGACTTGTCGACGACTTTCGCGGATTTAATCGTCAGACATGGAAGCTACTCTACAAGTACCCAAGGTTTCTATCGAGGTCAGCTTGCGACTCGAGAGACGCGGCTATCGACGCTCTAGAGCGATATTTCGAAATGCCGCAGGGCCAAAGACTAGATGCAGCTCCGTTTATGATATAGGCTGAGAATGAGATGCGAAAGCATGGAATAAGCAACAGGGATATTGCTGCCGTTCTGTTCCAACTATACTGGGCGTGAGTAAATAAAGCTGTGTCTGAACTAAAACTGACATCGTGCAGCATGAACGGAAACCCATCGGTCTTTGCGTTCTGGCTTCTTGCCAGAACTCTATACACACCTCATCTCAAAGAGGACATTAAGAGGGAGGTCGCGCCAGCTTTCAAGAATGGTATGCACCAGGAGCCTGATGTTGAATATCTAAAAGGTTGTGCCAAGCTCAACGCGACATACCACGAAACAATGCGACTCCACAGCAGCTCATCCAGCTTTCGACGCGTCGTCCAAGACACGACAGTCGCCGGTTTCCAGATCAAAACTGGTAACGATGTAATGATGCCGTATCGGCAACTCCATCTCAACAAGGAATACTGTGGCGAAAGTGCGGAGCAATTCGACATCGACAGATTCGTCCAGGACCCGAAGTTACGTTCCGCCAGAGAGTACAATCCATTTGGTGGCGGTACGACATTATGTCCAGGAAGGCTTTTGGCGCGACAGATGGATTTGGTTTATCTTGCGATCCTTGTCACGCGTTATGATATTGGGATTGTTGGGGGATGTGAGAGCCAGCCTTTTCCGGAGGGGAATGATAAGCTACCGTCGCTGGGTATCATCTCTCCGAAACCGGGGCATGATGTTAAGATCTCGGTGAAAGATGTTAGGGTAGACTAACAGCCAGGTACTTGTATGTATTGAGTTCTTGTATGTATTAGAAGTTCTTATCAAAGTTGCCACCTCAGACCACTATTAAATCACTCATCTCTTCAATGTAACGCTGAGCAGCATCCAGACCGAGCAGAACTCGACAACCTACCACTTCTCACAAGGCCCCTGCTCAAAGTCTCCAATAAACAAGCTTAATCAGTTTAAGAAGCGGCTGGATGCAACATCTCCAACCCTTAATTTTCAGCTCTGACTACCCCTGTAACCATGGCGCGTCTTGGCACCACGACTATCAATCCCCGACGAATCATCATCGGCGACAGACGAACTGGCGTCAATATTGGCTGCGTCCAGACCTTGCGCTTGGGGAGAAATGATCATATGCCGTGATATGCACTGGCGTTTTGTTCGCAGGGCTGAATGGGAGCATGTTGGGCTGAATACTGGTAGGTAGTCCTGCGACTTATAAACAGATTTAAATCCAAGGACTTGTTCAACAAAGCCGCATTCTGTGAGACGTTACTCAAGTCCAATTTCTTTCTGCCAAAATGGTTTATGGTGATAAAAATGCACCGAATTGCCAAGTCCCAACGGGACTCAGCTCGCTCCCCCGCAAAGACTGCAATGCCACTATTCTCATACTCCTACCTTTTATCGTCAATCATCTCTCGGCGATAGTCACGCATCTCACGCTCGGTAATCGCAAAGCAAGAAATAAGTTAAAGTTCTGGGACTACAACCATCTTAACGGGTCCCCAAAAGAAGCCTTATCATGGACGCCCTATAACACTCTGGCGACCATTGCCATGACGGTGGTACAATGCGTCGTGAGCGCCGTGGCTGTCAAAGCTTCCGGGCTGAATGTCAGCATCGGGCCGCTCATCATGTTTTACCTGACCAAGCCTCGTGTTGGGTGGGTGGTTGTCATGCTATCAGCTTGCTTCTATGAACCTCTCACCGATACAGCCACCGATGTACTCTTCCAAGAATGTGTGCTGGGCGTCTTGGCACTTCCTGGTGCGCTCATGTTCTTGAGAGTCAGTGGCTTTGGGGAGATGCCCGACGGTTGCGATACATATGACATGTACGATAATTATGCGATGGGCACAAACGGTGATGCCAACCTTTTCCTGCGCAGCGGGTCAAGCAGCCTTGTCGCATGCGGTGCGATCCTTTTGTTTGTTGGCATTTCCATGCTTTGGAAACGTCGCTTTCTCAAGAGGCGTCTTGGCCTATTGGCCATGATCCCTTGCACAGGCGCATTCGTCTCTGCTTGGGTTCTCTGGATCGGTAAGACCACCAATGATATTGCAGTGATTGAATGCTAACAGAACTAATAGGCTTTGACTATGCTGTCATGAATGGAGACTTCTGTATTTCGGGGTCGGCTATCGGAACTGTATCTGCCATATCTATCATTTTCCCCATTCTAAACGGTCTTTTGCGTGGCTGGATTGGATATCCTGGTGGAGGGTACTACCCGTATTAAGTTGCCGTCTGTGTTACGAGTTCCATATTGCCCAATCGACCTTGTTTATTGATGTAATATTTTATGTTTGAAAAGCTAAATCATTTTCGCTGAACACAGATCTTTTTGGAAGGCAAATGAATAGCTACGTCACACGAGCTGAGAATCATGCTTATGAAAACTTTTCTGAAGCTGCACATCAGCATAATTTCTAATCTCTTATCTCTCTGCACAACTCGGCGTCTCTCAAGACTCTCATTGGGCGTCGCCCGGACATCTTGTGCAACTCAAGTGAGACATTGCCTCGTGATCGACAGCGCATCAGAATGAGGGGGTTCAGATCTCCCAGTAATCATTTTCTTTTCCCCGATCCTCCATTTCTTCATCAAGCGTAGTGTTACAGTTTGACTTGTCGTGCACACTTTGTCGATAGCAGCTTTCTCGACGTAGCGACCACCACCGAGTTTTCACCCGACGGCTTGTCCCTCGTATCACAAACACGCCAAAATGTCGCGTGCCTCCTCAAGCACAGCCAGCAATGACGATGCTCTCGAGCTTGAAGCCGCTGGCTACGTCCAAGCCATGCCGCGCCGCTTCTCGCTCTGGTCCTTGGGCGCATTGTCATTCACCCTGACCTGTACATGGCTCGGGACCGGATCTTCAATCGGAATCAGTTTAACCGAGGCGTCTTCAGCTGGGACTTTATGGTCGTTACCTATCGCTGGGGTAATGACTACCATCGTCTCGCTGGGTATGGCTGAGCTTGCATCTGCGTATCCTGTTGCTGGAGCGCAGTACTATTGGTCTTTTATGGTTGCGCGAGATGACTACAAACCCTTCGCATCATATCTGTTAGTACCAGAATTTAGTTATACGTTGATGTACTGACGTGGATGACAGAAATGGCTGGATGAGTGTCATCGGATGGTGGCTTGCTTCAAGCTCAGTCTCCAACTTCGTCTCGTCCATGATCCTCGACATCGTCGGCGCATGGTATCCAGACTGGGATCAAAAGCGATGGCACCAGTATCTGATATACGTCGCTCTCATTTGGATCGCCACAGCCGCCAATATCTTCACAGCGCAGTGGATTCCTCTTTTCAACAAGATGGTCTTCATCCTATCTGTCCTGACTCTCAGCGCCACGACGATAACACTATTTGTCGTGACGAAAGACCATGCGTCACCGGATTTCATCTTTACCGATACTACTAACCGAACTGGCTGGTCCAGCGACGGATTCGCATTCATGTTAGCGGTAGGTAATGCCGTTTATGCATTTCTAGGCAGCGATTGCGGAGCTCATCTTTGTGAAGAGATACCCAATCCAGCCAAGAACGTGCCCAAGGTCATGATATATCCGTTGCTCATGGGCTTACTAACCGCGTTCCCTTTTGCAACGTCTCTCATGTATGCGATCTCTGATTTGCCAGCCGTACTCAACACGACGACTGGGTTGCCGCTGTTCGAGATCTATTATCAGGGCACAGGGTCTCGACCAGCTGCTTCAGTGCTGATGTCGCTGTTTGCCTTCTGTTTCTTCGCCAATCTTGTGGCTAATGGTAAGTCTCCTTCTTGTGACAAAATCTGCGCTAACTCTATAGCGACAACTTCGTCACGCACGCTCTGGGCCGTTTCGCGTGACGGCGCTTTGCCATACTCACAATTCTGGGGTCGCGTTCATTCAAAGTTCCAAGTTCCTGTCAACGCACTCCTTCTTTCTGCTGTCTTCATTACTGTTAGTAGATATCTCCGAATTATGCGGTTTTGGTCTCACTCACAATTCCTTCTAGCTGTACGGTCTTATCTTCCTCGGTTCTTCAACCGCTTTTTCTGCCATGGTTAGCGCCGCCATCATCTTTCTACAAACTTCCTGCGTCATTCCCCAAGCCGTCCTCCTTTATCGAGGACGTGATCGTGTCTTGCCAATTCGATACTTCAGTCTCGGCAGATACGGCGCTGCCATCAATGGAATCTCAGTCGCATGGGTAGTATTTCTCGATATTCTGTATTGCTTCCCGACTACCATGCCCGTCACGCCTGAGAACATGAGCTATGTGTCAGTCGTCTTCACTGGACTGGTAGCGTTTGTCATAGCCCTCTGGTTCGCCACCAAAAAGGGCTCCTTTACGGGGCCTCAGATCAATCTGGATCTTCTGAATGCCAGACGCATGGCTGCTGTTCAGACTTTGGAGGGCACTCGCCCGACGGCTGAATACCATGCACTTCGAAGTTCGGAGGTCGTCAAGGAGGATTAGGCTGCACAGTAACATTTACTCGTATCGTGAGTTTCCACGAACAACGGGTGATAGAATGTTGAACGTTACGATCTTACTCTGGCGACACAGGTGTATCATCCTATTGGCTTAGGTTCCATAAGTGCCGTTATATATCTATTCAATACGAGGTTAACTGCAGCTCTAAGGATCATTCTTGATCAACTAGTCTGCGGCTGAATAGAAGCTTACTTCCAATACAACGTAGCATACCAAAAGAACTCGCACTGCCTTCCCAACCAGGTAATACCCGACCCTAGTGGGGTTATAACTGTAGCATTATTCTTTTTCACACCGCAAAAAACTCATCAACTCCACATCGTGAAAGAATTCTCCGGACCCTCGGGTGTCAGCCTTAGGCCTCATAGGGCGCTAATGATACGACTTTTCGAGTCATTCGGGAAGCGGAAATATTTGGCTGATCCACCTGTGCCGCTCCGTGCCTCATGCCAAGACGTTCGGTTATTTCTACAAACGAACCAACCTTACCTTGGCGATGGTCGTTATTGGTGAGAATGTGATTTTCAGGGGACTTTTTGTTGGCGAGGGCGGCAGCAGCCTAATTTGCCCTGCATTAGTCCTGCGAGAATGGGATGGGTATGGTCATTGAGAGATATTTCATGCTCGGCGAGGTTGAATCGGAGGACCATACTCATGATGAAAATCTATATAAAGAGAAATCTCCATGATCAGTAGACAATTTCTCAAGCTCGTTCAGCCATTCATACAACAAGTTCAATTTCAATAACTTGACCATCAAAATGAAGTTCTCTATAATCGCTACCCTTCTGTCCACCAGCGCAGGTGCCCTCGCCGACGGCCCCAGCGCTACAGCCAAGAAGGCCACTGCCATTGAGTCCGTCAAGGGCGACAATGGCATCACCACTCCCCTCCCCATCCAGCCCGGCATGGTTGACAACTGCGACGTCTTCTACTACGTCAAGCCGGGCGATAACTGCCTCAAGATTTCTGCCCAATTCGGTATCTCCTTTGACCAGTTCAAGGAATGGAACCCTACCGTTGGCGAGGACTGTCTCAGCCTCTGGGCCGACGCCAACGTCTGCGTTCGCACCATTGGCTTTGAGTACCCCGAAATTGCTGCTTGTTACGGCAGTTCGAGTATTATTCCTTGGGGTAATAACAAAGTTGCTGCTGCAAAGGCTGCTAAGGAATGGTGCAGCAACGGCGCTCAAGGTGTTTACAACGTTGGTGAGAAGAGGACCAAGTGTGTTGACGCCCCCTCTGGTGATGGCAAGTTCGTCTTTGAGATCTACAACGAGTGGGGAATTCGGCAAGGAAATCCTACCTGGGATTGTGAGAAAAGGATCCTTCTTCCCATTTCCAAATGCCCCGCTGGAGGTCAGGGACGTATTCAGAGCTGGCACACAGAGTAAGTCTTCCCACTGACATCTACCAATATGAGTTAAGCTAATATCCCATAGGACCTCTCTTCAGAAGGGCAAGTGTTAAATCTTAGACGACCATTCTTGACGAACGATGGCTCGAGAGCACCCTATCTCCCCCATGTTCTACATCAGGAGCTGCTCTGAGCAGTCCCAGTCTATTGAGACAAATCAGTGATGATCTGTCGACTGTATCCCTTAGATTGTGGTTTTCCATTTTCATAGTACATAATATGATGTTTTCTATTACCTGCCAAACCTAGTGCCGCTACTTCCTTCTGTCATACTATTTGCATAATCACAGCCTTACCCATGAGCTGAACATTCCACATTTCGTTCATTGGAGCTGAATTCACCAAGTTTAGCTGCTGGCCTTCAACAGACGCAATATTTGGAATGAATCAGCATCTGCATATAATCGTTAAGTCCCTTCTTTCCCTGAGGCTTTCCCAACGTCGTCATTGTAGGCATCTCCGTCAAGCTTGCATTGTCTTTCATTAATCAATAAACCCAGGCGGCGTTTATCTATGCTTTTGGGGCAACTGCCGGTATCGTCTCTTTCAATACTATCTCTGAGATTCTGACGGAAGCTCCTTACAACTTTAGCACCACCAATACCGGCCTTGTCTTCTTCGCTGCTCTAGTAGAAGATACCATTGGTTGGTCTATTGGTGTGCTAATCGATCGAGTCGTCATTGCTTTGGCTCGACGAAATGGTGGTGTCAAAGAACCTGAGATGCGACTCTACACGCTTGTTCCTTGCTTAGTCTTCGCTTGCCGTTGGCTACATGCTCTATGGCTGGGGTGCTCCGACAGAAGCTCAATGGATTACCATCGCCATCGGTATCGGCGCCATGATCTCACATCAGGTTGGAGCTTGCACGATTGCCACTGCATATGCGATGGACTGTTTCCCTGGAGCAAGTCGTTCAACCGATTCCATATCAAGAAGAAGACTGACAATCCCAGATATCTGGAGAGCTAGTCGTTGTACTAGCTATATGCTCCTCAATAGTCAATTCCGCCATCTCGTACTCTGTCCAGCCGTTTATCGAAGCAGCCGGCTATGGTTGGACTATGACTTGCTTTGGTATCATGATCTTGCTATCGGTTCTCGCCGCTCTTCCTCTCTTCGTTTTTGGAAAAAGATGGAGGGCCGCCAAAGGGCCGAGATACTACAAGTTCTGAGATGAGGTTGGGGGTTATACCGACTAGCACAAGTATAAGTCTTGGCTTACAGCCAGCTTGATCCCCAGTTACAAAGGGTGTTAGCCAATTTCATCGCCACATTTAGAACCGATGATTGATTATCTGAAGAGCTAAGCACGTGTCTAAGAAATATAGCTGAATCTTTCAATATACAGAAACTAAAAGCTATAGTTTTCTTTTATTCTCTAAGAGAAAAGAGAAGGGGTCAATCTCAACCACCACCACCCCTTTATCAGGTGGATTAACATAAGAATCTGAACTGATAGGTCTTCGCCGCGATGGCCATAGATTGGCGATCTTGAGGAAGTCCTGCATGTGCAAGAAGACATCTTGTCGTCGGCAGAGGCCCATGATCTGCCTACCAGTAATATCGTCGCCTGCCATACTGATCAAAGAGGAACCAAGGTGGGACTTGGGTAGGTAGGAGTTTAAATGCGTTTGCGACTAAGTAGTTAGTAACCTGGGCAAGTGTATTTTTGGGACCTCGGATGCTCTTAGACTCAGCCTCTTGCTCAGCATCAGCCAGGATATTCATAATGGGCTCGTTTGTCTCGTTCGTGACTTCATTAACCCGCTGACCGACACGTCTGGTATTGAGCGTTCTAGGCTAATTGCTTTGTATCCGAAAGACGAGAAGCTTATCCATATTGTAATCGACACGAATTCTTTGAAGACTCGCATGTCTTTGGGCTTATCCAACAACTGCAAAGGCTCCCTATCCACACCGCCGTCTGCGGTCTGTAAGCCACAGACGGTCATGGTGACGCTAATATTTCCGTTCACGGTCCTCTAAGTCTCGAGAGCTAAGATTTTTGTTGTCACTCCATATTGAGAAGCATCATGCCGGAAGCTGTAGTGCCAGTTGTGGTGGGACGGTTGCCTAACATCACGCTCCTCGGCAGGCCCATCAATCCACAGGAAAAGTTGATAAAGACAAAATTACTTGGCGTAGCGGCAATAAAGCGTGTGGTTGTAACCACATCTATCCTTTGTAAGATTAACCATTATTTCAGTGTCTAAACCCCGACATTAGCAACGAGAGCGGATAGAATTCCAGTATGTTCAGGCGACACCCGTGCTACGGTCAGTTTCGTTGAAGAGCTGGTCGTGATCAGGAGGTTTGGATGGGTCTAGAGGCACAACCGCGCTACTTCCTTGCTTAACAAGCATGGCACCGACCACGCAGATACTCTTTGTGAAGACGAGTAGCACCGTCATTTGGGGTTTAATACCGAGGCCCCCAAGGTAGACAGAAGGCCAGGCAGAGTGTCGATCAATATCAGCATTAAAGCGATCACCTTTCCAAGTTGAGACAATGGCGGAGAGATTTGGCGACTCCAGAACGTGGGTCTCAGTAATTTATCGTGGGCTTTGGTCATACTGTTAAGATCCAGCTGTCCCGGTGTCTCGACTTCTATTGTTAGTCTTGTGGCGGCGTGGTGGTTTGAAAAGAGTGTTATTGCCAATCCACTACGCTCACCATATGTCAATTCACACGTACTGCTGATGGGATAGGATGCCAGTATTGGTAATAATATGGTCTACAGCAATTCAAAGGCAGAGGCGCTCACCCATACTGAATTTAGCGCTTGAGATGATCTCGTTGATTTGATCGATAGAGATATGGCGGCCTGGAGTAAGTTGATAAAAGGAGACATCTTTAAGATGCATATGGATACTCAACTTCTTACTGTAGTAATTATTTGGGCATTTTGGTATAATTTCTAAGTTGTAAGTCAGATGTGTTTTGTGTAGTTGAGACTTGTAGCTGAGAGCTCTTTTCGGCATATTGAAGTCGGTTGAGGCACTCAGGACGTGTTCCCAGGCTACCAGGAATGGACTGATTCCTTCTAACAGTTCATTATACGTCGAAGCATACCCTGCATCAGTTTCCCTTCAACTGTTGCGCGACTAGTCTTAAATGAAAGATACAAGATACCCGTTCATACTTGCATCACAAACGAGTGGCGCATATAAGGGTTGTCGGATGGTACCGCTAAGGTTGACGATTGGGACCGGGACTCTGTATGTAACCTAGATAGGTCTGTTCTATGGAATCCTTTGAAGAATATCTCCATGCTGGCAGGCTGTGTCCATGCAAGTTTGTGCTTCGCAGTCAATGTCAGGGAGAGACCATGATTCTCAAGGGCTAGAGATGGGCAACGTTGATGCTGAAGGGTATACGTTGGATGGGTGTGAAGGGAGACGGTCAGTCAGCAACTGCCGGCAAAAAATGGGGAGGCTCTTTTTGCCGTGAGCATTGTGAATAAACGGCCTGATAAGATGGTTTGGATAGTTGTAGCAATGCCAAGTTCTCACGCCCTCGAGAGGATTCCAATGGTAGTGACAGGGTCTCCGCCAAGTCTAATCAAGAATCAGCCTCAAGGGAGTGTCAAGAGTGCTGAACTCGGGGTTTCGACAGGAGCCTTTTATGAATCATGTTGTGGTTTTTCTTGCCTTTCTGCCCTCGACGGCAGTTAGTCCTCGGCGGCGCCTCCATTGGCACCTCACAGCAGTGACCGGGCCGTGTGAAATGTTCTGGCTATGGTGATCTCATATGTGATGCTAAGAGCTCCCGGAGACTTGTAATGAGGCCGTTTACGAAGCATTGGCATGACGCCTTCACCATTATGGCATAATTGCCGAATTCAAGAGATATCGCTCATCAACATTATTCAACCCAATGCGAGACTTCTCTCTCTCTCTTTTTTTTTTTTTTTTTTTTTTCTTCCAAAAACAGTGCTTTCTCGTCCCCTGTGGCAACATTTAGGTCTGAGTGTCGAATCAACGGTGTGGGTTCTCGTAGTACGGCTTGGTCGGATAATCTGTTACCGTGGAGTTTGATAGAAAGACAATTTGTATCATAGGCTAATGTCAAGTAACTCTTCTTAAGTCCTCTCTCAGGTATTTGGCTGGTACCAAACCATCGCCCGAGCTCTCTCGAGAGTCAGCGTGGTTCTTGTCGCCGGAAACAGCGAGAGTGGAGCCAGGGAAGTCATTTCTAGAGACACAGCCAAGGAGCTTGAGTCCAGCAGGGATCCCCAAACATCTGGTGATGGTGTTAGTAGCAAAAGGAGTACAGTTGATAAAGCGAGTAGGGGCTAACTGAACATCGACCATGCTGCTCGTGGCGAGGGCGAGGGTCTGGGCAGGGCGAATCTGGAGATTTCTTTGTACAGAGAAAACTGTTGTCTGTTCATGTGAACATCAAGTTACCCGAGAAAGGTTTATTTTACGTTTGCAAAACACTACGGCTGAACAACATTGCATATCATGCTTTGTTCGGATATTTGATGAATCTGAAAATGATGTCCTGATTGATCCCTCACGAGCCTTTGTCTCTAACAGTCTTTGAGAGCTCACGTGCCAAATAACATCGTCGTATCCTGGACGAACGGTGAGTCTTCTATGTTGTCAGCCGTGAGCAAATTCACCTGACGCTACTGCGTAGGGACCCATATTGCTATCTGCTATCTTCATTGCCGCTTGAAGACTTCTTGAACTGGATAGTGACAGAGATCGGGTCAGAAGCGTGTGGTGGAAGTCGGTGTGGTTGATAGAGCTGTCCCTTAGTTCGTCGACCTATTGGGTAGCGCTGGGTAGCTGACTTTTGTGGTCAGGATTTAGTAGATACAGAATGTTGCAGAGCATAAATCCGTGATGGATTAGGCAACTTCATCTAGGTACGATGTCTGAGTCGGGGTGTGAACGGGCAAGCGAATTAGAGCGATCGCATACGTCTATTGGTTTTTGGACAAGACGCTGCCGCTGTGCAGTTTGTTTTATACCGCTGTAGAATACCGCTGAGAGTCTTCAGGGAGTAAGGGGCTACTGTGCTAGGCCACCGAAGTTTCTGATGCTCGAGGCCCTTCTGTGGATCGAAAATGCCGATGTTCATATCGAAAGTCGCTCCTCTTCCTTTCGGGTGGCGGCACTGGCAGCATCTGTTAGCCATCTTTGAATAGCATTCATTGTCTCCTCTGGCAGTGGCAGTTTTAATCCTCATCTCAGAATGACAGTGGAAGCTTGGGATTGCTCCTTTTTATTGATTTCGAGCTCCCAGACTTCTCAAGATTCTTTTCTTTCTTATCATCCAACACTTTACTTTCCCGTCTATCAATAATAACTTACCACCTCTCCATACGTCATACTCTCTAGTCAACCCTTGATCTACCCTCATCCGATACGGCTTGCTGTACGAACCGCAATCATGTGTACCAATTTCCATGTCTCATTGTACTGCCGCCGATGCGGTGCGTATATTCGAAGTCATGATGAGTTCAAGGAATGCGCGGCCCGTCGTTTGGGTGGCGACAGACGCCATCCACGCCCTGCTGAAGAGTACCGCACTATGCACATCCGCTGGGACAGCTGCCGGGCATGCATGACTGAATACGAAATGTATCAGCATTGTCTGCGACAGGGTATCCCGTATCCCACTCCCAATCCCCCCTTCAACTAAGGGATTCGACGCCCAGTGAGATGAAGACCGGACACCTGGTATCTTATGGCACCACAAGTTGACGGTGTATCAAGATATTCATTGTTGATCCGTAAGTGGCTAAAATAAACATTTTCATTTGAGTGGCTGGTAACAATCACACAGATGGTCGAATGCAGCCGAGAACAAATCTTTGATGTGAAATGGGCAGACCCGACTGCGTTGAAGATACCAACGGCGACTTGATACGATAAAAGAAAAAACAACAAAAAAAGACGAAAATATAAAACCCGAAAAAAAAAGAGACAACCCAATACTGATGCGAAATCAGCAAAGACCTGGCTGACAGGCTCACACGAACGACGAGGAATTGTGATGGATGATAAGACTGGAAACACAAAAAAAGGAGAAAAATACAAAACCTACCAAAAAAAAGACTGCAAAAAAAAGGTACTGGAAGTGGAGGGAATATCCTTTAGACCATAAAATAACAAAATACAAAAAAAGTTAAAAACAAAACATAATGTGTCTTGCTTGAAGGGTTAAAGTGCTGCTCGTAAATGATTTTGAATGTTGCTCCTGCTATTAGTTTAACTAGATATCTGACCTTATTCCACTCCCTTAGCTTCCTAAGATTAAGGAGTGCTCTCACACTACTACAGAATCCGCTGGATCACGAAGGGTGAATCGTCTTGATCTATAATAAGTGAATGATGCTGCAACGAGTATGAGAGGTCCTTCTGAAACAATCATAATGCCGGAGATATGAGGCGCAGGGGCGCAAAGTGTTCAAGGTCGAGTGTCTCAGCTCCGCCTTTAATTCAAGGCCTTCAAGATATCTTCCCTTGCAGCTCTACAACTCATAGACTTAACCCACTACCTGGATGACCATTCATCTTAAGTTGCGCATCAAGCAGCACAATATCCTGTTAACCAGTGCCTCCACAATATCCGTTGTACGCCAGGGACTAAAAACGAGGGCGACCCTGGTAACTGAACAACTTAGGCACTACCCTGGAAACCAGCTGTTTCGGTGAACGCCCATATCAACAACACGGGTGTTCAAATGTTCGATTGAACACCTTCATCCCTCAAAATCTCGGTTAGTTCCCCCTGTTGATTTTATCTCGATTGACTCATCACAGCAGTTCACAGACTGGAGCATTATACGAATATGTCTCCAACCCCAACCCACCCCCACCACCCCTCGTATACGAAAGCACGCGCAAGTAACTGAAACTACCGACATTTCTGTACAGACCAAAAGAAGTGCTAGCTATCATGAATCACAGAGAAACACAAAAACACAACTCACACGGCCCGAACGACTGCTTCCTCTTGCCAAAATAAACACCAATAGATCGACGGACGAGAAATAATACCACGATACGTTCTAGAACCGCCGCCAATTCTGCGGGCTTCTGCTTTACGGACCATGACTTCATCTCGTGTGTCATCAGCTTCCCTAGTAGATGTCGCTACTAGAAATGCTTTGCCAACGAGTGAACGCTTCATCTTCCTGATTCACAGAGAGTCACCACAGAACCAAGGTTGTTGAGATTTCGCCCAAAATTGATGAGTTCTGTGAGTACCTCCCAACAAACCTTGACCAGCCTCTATCCGAAACACCTTAATCTTTTCGAGGGTCCTCTCACGCGCCTCTTCCGCCAAGAATTTATGTTTCCATCCAAAGTGGGAGCTCCAGATCATCCAACCACTAATGTGGGCTGGCAGTTAGCAGCTCGAACACCTGGACTATTCCAAAAGTCGATACGCAGATACAAAGATGAGACGGGAAAAGACTCCGTCAAACGAGCTACAATACCCATGCCCTGGGAAAGCCATAATGCAATTCGATCATGACTCTGGCGGAAAAAAAGAAGCCACCTTTGCATAATGGTAAAGGAATATTGGCTTGTGCCACCACGGCGACCATACGCGCTGGGCCCTGCATTATGTTCAAGCGGAAGCTGACCAGTGTCAATATCATCCCATAAGACACGACCTCGAAAGAGAAGCCATCGTGTGGCAGCGACTTAACGCCTGAGGCTATGTAACACACCTCAACTAGGAAACCTTTGGTTCAACGAGAGACGAGGCGCAACAGTTTAACCCCCCTACACAACTGGAGCAGACAGAAGTTCTGAAGTATACAGCTCTCCTAGAAGAGTAAGATACGGAAATAGAGTCAATATAGCCTATTTCATGGAGAATGTTTATGTACGGAAATTGACCCGCTGCCAAAAGTCATATTCATTGAATGCTGAGGTCAGAGGATCAACAATCACGATCAGAATAAACAGGTCGAGTAGGATGCTCAATATGTCTCCAAGTATCATATCTTAAACCCATCTAAGTAATTGGATTAAGGTAGGGTCTAATTCCTGGTTGTTTGAATTTCCTCCGAGGCTAACGTCTATTCCATCACCTCACATCAGCAGACAAGCAATTAAACAGAAATAGAACGCGGAGTGCGGGATTTGTATCCCGTATTGGACTTTAATTGAACCATAAAGTTTGTGGATCCTGATTGGCACAGACAAAGTGCCCTCGTGCATTTTGGCGCTAATCAGCACACCAGGAGGTCCAAAAAACGTGGATCAATCCCGGTATATACTGGGGCTACGCACCAACAACACAACCAACAGTATTTCAAGACAACCAACAACAGCACATTATCCCATCTTTAAGAGAACTTAATATAATTTTAACTGTATTTATTTATACTATATATAACTTTATTAATAGCTATATCTAAGAGATTAAGCTTCTATATTAAAGTCTATTTACTTATCCTAAAAGCTAAATTAAATAATTTTTTTCTTTACTTAATTCTTATTTCTCTATATTATTATATATTTAATAAGTAAGCTTTATAGCTAATACTTACTGCTTTTTAAGCTATAGCTATTAATTAAATTATTATAAAAGTATATTATTTTAATTTTAATTAGAAGATTTATCTTTATAAAGGCTATATATATATTACCTTTAGAAGCCTAAAGTTAATTAGTATTTTTTAGTATATTAGCTTAATATATCTTATTAAGATATTATAAGCTTTAACTATTAATTAACAGCATGTCGTCAAACGAGCGTTGAGCCTTTTGCGCAGATAAGAAAGGCAGTGCGTCTCCTGTTTGATGGCCTGTCAACCCATCTCTCTCCAGAGTTCTTCCTCTTTCTACCACGTAGTGAAAACGACCAAAATATTCGTCTTCCGCCCCAACTCAGCCATAATGGTTCACTTTATCAAGACAGCTTTCTTGTTTATTTCAATCCTCGGTCTTAATGAATGCTTCATGAATGACCCACCCAACAGGCCACCACGCGCAGGCAAACGTACCCATCGCGGCTGCTACCAAGGCCTGTCAGACACGGCCGACCCAGTCGTCAAGGTCAAAGGCGACAAAACCAAGAACACATGGACTGCCTGCGGCCAATACTGCCTCGCCAAAGGAAAACCCATGGCTCTGGTCCAAGGCGAAGACTGCTACTGTTCAGAAACCATACCGAATCGACGCAAAAGTGTCGGGGGCTTCGGCCATTATTGTATGGACCCTTGCCCAGGCAAACCAACTGACCTTGTCGCCTGTGGTAGCGAAAGGTTTGGAAGTTTCAGTGCTATCAATACCGGTCTCAAGCGCGAGCTTTTCCCTGATCAGGATCCGTTGCCTGATGATCAGATACCAGATTGTCTAGGCTGTACCTTCAAGCTACCCAGCGATGCCGTGGTTCTGGGCGAGGCCAGTGGTGTTCAGAGCTGCCGGCGCGCTTGCAGATATCTGAAGTCGAAGACGTTGATGTTGTACGACAAGCAGTGCGTTTGTACGAACGCTACTGTGTCAGAACATGGACTTGATCGCGTCCCAGAGGAAATTTGTTCTTTACGATGGGCTAGAAAGCCTTGTGGTGGATATTCGTATTCCCTCCGCTCTGCACTTTTCAGCGTGTATGACGCGAGTGAGCCCGAGAAGCCTGCACCAGATGCAACTACGCCACAAGACGCAGCGTCACCCACCCATACCCAGCCTGCCAAGGCCGCTACGCCAACTTCCTGGCGCTCAGTTGGGGAGCTTATAGAGGATGCGGATATGCAAGTTCAGCTGCAGTTACTGATCCTTGAGGGAGAAGTTTGGGAGATGTTTGCGTGGATGGGTCGCTTCATGACAAAGCTGGTTACGCCGAGGGAAGGACATGAAGATGATGATAGAGAGCTTGACTTACAATGATACTCTGCAAGGAGATTCATGGACTGTAAAACTCCATGCTTGGAGGGTGCACAGCTAGTACTGGCTACCTACGCAAAGCCAGAGCTTGGACGAAATATGCCATGCATTCGAATGACTCCATCTGATAAAGCCTGCTTGTTTATTATTTTAAATTAATAACTACCTTACACTTGCTTAAACACGGCCTCAACTCTGGAATCTGTTCCTACTTATGTATTTTATCTCGGTAAAAAAAAAAGAATTTGGCAATTAAGGAAATTAACAAAACAATGGTTCCGCCCGGGATCGAACCGGGGACCTTCTCGGTGTGAGCGAGATGCCATAACCAACTAGACCACGCAACCATCGTATGATTAGTCACTGAGAGAAGACAACAGCTACTGCGCAACATGATCGTGCCGGAATCTTGGGCAAATCACCAATACAGTACCAATCGACAGGCTACGGAAATGACAAGCACCCTGTGTGTCAGGAGCGTTGAAAATGAACCGTGTACGAAGGCAAGGTTTACTTGTCGTGAACCCATTTCGCGTTTGCGTGAGCAGCCAATAACAGGTGGGGCCACAATCGGCGATCTCCAGGGTAAGGCGCAGGATGAAGAGAGCGATGGACTTCATGATCACATTGGGATGGATACAGTTGCATTTCCTATTAGGCTTCAAGCGTCTAATGTGCATCTATTCAATGGCGTCCATTTTACTATATGATAAATAGAGGGATTTGCTTCTCGGCACAGATTGATTTCGGGAATTCATTCAAATGGTACATATTGACATGCTTGTGCCGTGTTACAGCAGCACATACTACAACTCAATGTGCTACTCATGCTTGCTTTCTGGCTTTCCGTGTCTTGTCGTGGTTGGAACAAAATTGTGACTTCTGGCTTCGCTCTGGGCATGTCAACTCCATCAAGAATCGGAGAACCAGTACACTTATTTATCTTATATACATTCATCCAAAAATAATGGCCTATACAATCTTGTGGGGGAGTTTACAACTCCTCGTCAGCCTCAGGCTTAGACCTAATAAAGTCAGGCTTGGTGATAACATCATTATCCGCATCCTTAATTCTATCCCAGAACTTGGCGGCGTTCTTGGGATCATCCGCAAACAAGGTATCAATGACCTGCTTCTTGGGTGTCTCACCCATCCACTTGAACAGCGAAATATCTCTAAACTCATCAGACCTAAAGATCTCCAGCATCTCAATGGGCTCATCTCCAATGTTCTCAACAAAGTGTCCCATGTTCTTGGGAACAATACCAACATCACCGGGGACGTAGTCAAAGGTTCGTGCGTTACCCTCAGAAGCAAAGATTGTCACGCGGGCGCGTCCCTTGATGAAGAATGACCATTCATCGGCAGAGGGATGCCAGTGCATCTCGCGAATGGCACCGGGCTCGATGATAGCGTGGGCTGCAGCCACGGTCTTAGAGATGGGGAAGTTCTTGGAGTCGGTGATGCGGACTTGGCCACCGCTTGTCTTGAGAGGCTCTTGGTCGAGCATGCGGTGGGTGAAGTTGTACTTGGACTTCTTGGCCTTCTTGCCCTTGGGAGCTTCATCCTTGATGGGGCCGGGGTTACGGCCTTTGAAGATGTACTTCTCGCTTTCGGGAAGACGAGCAAAAACCTCAGGATCCAAGTCAAAGTTCTTGGCGATTACTGACTTTGGCGTATGAGCTGCCCTTGTTAGCTACGTGTATCTTTAGAATCGCGTGATAACGTACCGAGCCAATCTGTGAGAACAAAGGTCGATTCCTCGGAAAAGTGACCATTGTCAAAGATGAGGAGGAATTCCGTGCCATTGGGGCTCAGACCCTGCAGGGAGTGAGGAACTCCGCTGGGGAAGTACTGCAGATTGTTAGATAACGATCAGCGAAGAACCAGCTTACTTACCCATAAATCACCCTTCTTCAAGTCATCGATGAAGTTTCCGCCTTCGTAGTCAAGAGCCGTAACTCGGACTTCTCCGTCCAGCACGTAGGCCCACTCGGCCTCCTGATGCCAGTGAAGTTCGCGATAAACGCCTTCACCAAGACGCATATTCACGCCCGCAAGCTCAACACTCGTTGGCAGCTCACGGATGGTGGTCTGACGGGTCCAGCCGCCCTCCTATTCTCAAATTAGCCAAAAGTTCTGCACATCTCATCGATCTGCACGCACCTCAATGCGAATATGCGAGTCCGCAAAACTCCAGCGCATGTTGGCCAGATTTCCGTGATCCGTGCTAGGTGGTCTAACGAGATCAGGATTCTGACGCGAGCGCGCCTCATTCCACGGTCCCAAAACAGAAGCTCCGAGGCCGTTGCGCCAGGGCAGAGGATCAAGCTCGTCGCCGACAGAGTCGACGGGCTTATCAATCGGGTCTCTGTGACCCGGCGTGAACGGCACTTTCTCGCCGCCCGTCACACCGCGATAGTTGGGTGGTAGTCCCAGACCTTTGAGGAGCCTCTGGCGAGGACTGTCCTCTACGGGGACGCCCGCGCAGATGTCCAAAAGGGCTGCGAGATAGGCAAGATGAGGGAGATGCATATTTGCGGGGCTGTCACAGACAGGTTACAATTGACTTGTGGGAAGAACAAAATGAGTGCTAATTTGGGCAAGATGAATATCTGGTTGACATTGATGAACGATGAATGGGGGGCACCAATTCCTCAATCGTCACTCACGTTAAGTAGCTTCTCAAAGTTGAGGGTAAACAATGCCAAGATTCAGCGCCAAACGAAGTTCATGACGCCGAGAAAGCGATCACCGGCGGATCACCGAGTTACGTCTAGTTAGGTATGCAATCCCGTCTGGGGTAACAGCGCATGATGGTGATGACTGCCGTTTGTCAACGCGGGGATCGGTTATCCGGCACATAGCCCCCTCCAAGTCAAACAAGTAACCCCCCCTGCCTACGTGGTATTACAGGGCAGTTCTCGATATGTGTGGACGCGGCGTAACACAGAGCAAATGCAAAAGAGCTCTCAGGGCGTTGCGAGCGCTTGCAGGCTTCGGCGTAGCCTGTTAGGGTATGATCACCTCGAGCCGTATACTCAACGTGGTAAAAAGGAGGGGAAGGAAAGATGGTGTGTAGAGATGACGCCTTGATAGCGTGCATCAAAAGAAGAATCCGGGATGTGGGGTACGTTATAAGCCGGAGATAAAACTAGACCCGGGATTTGGCGAGATTTCCCCGCTTATGCCAAGAATAGGTAGGTAGTGCACGATCGGGAGCGAGTAAGCCAAGCCTATCTCTTAAGGGCGGAGCTAAGCTTGGCTTTGTTTGAAACCTTGTCTTTAGCTCGGTGAAGACGCGGAGTCTGGGGGAGGAGACCAGGCCAGGTCCTGTTTCGTTGATCTTTTTTGCTTGGCTGGTGCTTCGACTTTAATCGTAAATTACACCTTGGCAATTTTCGTTTATTTATGCCCCTCTTCTAACCGACGTTACAAAGAAACGCATATCTCGAACCACTTTCACATCATCATCCCAACGCACTCACACAGCAGCAATCTCACTACCAATGTCTCAACCATACGGCGCAATCATCAACGGTGAGAGCAGAGCCGAAAACGGCATCTCCGCACAGAGCGATGAGACGCAGGCTCTGCTCGCTCCCAAACCAGGATCTAGATCTTGGTTGCGCAAGAGATTAGGTTCTGATGTCCGCCGAGATTGGGCTGATGTTATGCTTCTTGCGTGCTACATCATAACAGGCATTCTCGACAGTGCTTCCATATCAACATGGGGTGCCTTCGTATCTATGCAGACCGGTAAATCCTTCCCATTGCTTCAATCTGATCTGATCTGATCTGACGTCTGTAGGAAATACTGTTTATCTTGGTCTTGGACCTACAGCTGGGACTAATCGCTGGAAAAAGTCCGGATCATCAATTCTGGCTTTCTGTATCGGTTCATTCTTTTTTAGTCGTCTGCACAGGGTGTTTACACCTACGCCTAGACGGAAATGGGTGTTTTGCTTGTCCTTTGGCATCCAGACAGCTTTCATCGTTGCAGCTGCTTGTATCGTTACCTGGGGACCGAAAGGTGCAGGTCCAGATGATACGCCCTGGTACGTCATTGTGCCAATAGCTCTCGTGGCGTTTCAAAGCTGCGGACAAGCTGTTGCGAGTCGTGCACTCAAGTTCAACGCTTTGACTAGTGTTGTTCTCACGAGCATCTACTGCGACTTGTTCTCCGACGCGGAACTGTTTGAGAGCATTTTTGTCAATGCGGAGAGAAACAGGCGTGTTGCAGCACCAGTCCTGCTCCTCATCGGCGCTATAATTGGAGGACTCATTGCGAAGAGCGAGCTGGGGACTTCTGGTGCGCTGTGGGTAGCCGCTGCGCTCAAGATCACTGTCATGTTTGGTTGGGCTGCGTGGCCTGCAGAAGAGGGGTCTTGAGCGAGTTATCGGTCCTACTTGTCTGATTCGACGATCGCTATTTGACAGGGTCCTATCTTTAGAATCTAGACCTTTTAGCATTGCACCAGAGCACTTTAGGAAGCTCTGAAATTACAAAGCTGATGCACGCTATACGCCACGTTATGACTCGTGATATATACGCCTCTTTATTGGCATCCTAGTCATGCAGGCTTTCATCCCATGTGCAAATCCAGCCCCTGGGTTCCGTTTCAAGCGAAGTTGTATCAATGCAACTTCCACCACTGATCTTCACCCCCGGACTTGATTAGACGTCGATCTTGGTACCCCCATCATCATGTGGTCAGCGGACATGTTTGTCCCCCCTTGCACGCAACCCTCCCAATCCCGGCTAAGCGACTCCGGCAGAAGCCCAAGGTCAGCTTACTGGCTGCTAACACCGCCGTGTAAGCAACCTATGTGATACCTCGAGTCGAACTCAATTGAATTGATTTGTTCTCGGATTGAATGGATATCTGTCGGTGTTCGGTATCGAGGCACATCCTTCTGTCGATGATTCCTGCATGGGGATATACGCCCGTAAGACAGAGTGTCGCATTTATATACGTGCCCAATCCGCGATGCAGTGGTGATGAGGGGAGGGTGTACGGCGAATGGTCACCGGTAGAGGGGCTTGATGTGATGCCCTCTGAAGGTTCACGTCTGTCAGTGTAACTTACACATGACGACTAGTTGATCCTGAGGATAGAGCTGCCTCGATTCGGTAGCTTCAGATAGATAGACTTATTTTTAGCGTATGGCTATATTAATCCGCAAAACGTCAGCTCTGGACTCGATTTTCCAGACTCAAAATCACATTTTTACTGAATATTCTGCCATCTTGACCACACCAGTATGAAACTGCTCGACAAAGCCAAGTCAGACGTTCGCAACGATGTCACTTGGAATCGGGCGGCTCGACTAGGAGTCAAGGGAGCTAAAGCTTTGCCATCCGGAACCGTCCAGTACCTTAGCGATAAGGTGCCCATTGTCGGATGGTTGCCGAAGTACAATCCACGATGGATTGTTAATGATCTCATTGCTGGACTTACCCTTGGTCTCATGTTGATTCCTCAGGGTCTGTCCTATGCAAAGATTGCAGACATCCCCGTTGAGTATGGGTTGATGTCTAGTTGGCTTCCAGCTGTCATCTACGCCTTTATGGGATCTACTAAGGGTGAGTTACCTACGATCGCTTCTAGCATGAAATCTGTGTTTAACGATGGCTAGATGTCTCAACTGGTCCAACTTCACTTATCGGTCTCCTCACTTCCGAAAACGTGCACGCCCTCCAAGATCGATGGACTCCATCCGAGATCGCTTCCGCAACAGCCTTCATGATGGGAGTCTACGGCCTCATCCTTGGCTTTCTCAAACTCGGTTTCCTCCTCGAATTTATATCTCTCCCTGTTCTTAGCGGTTTCATCACTGCAATCGCTATCACCATCATCCTTAACCAGATGGATTCACTGCTTGGTGAAGACAACGTCCGTGATGGTGCAGCAAAGCAAATCCACGATATCTTCAATGAGCTTCCCAATGCCAATGGCTGGGCATGTCTCATTGGCTTCACTGGAATCTTGTTCCTCACTATTCTTGAGAAGTCTGGAAAGAGATGGAGCAAGGACAACAAAGTCATCTGGCTTCTCTCCACAACAAGAGCATTCTTGACTTTGGTGCTCTTCACTGGCGTCAGTTACGCTGTCAACAAGAACCGAGACCCAGATAACTTCCTTTTCGAAGTCGTCAAGGTTCAGTCCAAGGGTCAACAAGCCCCAACTATGCCCAAGGCCGACCTCATCCCTGAAGTAGCTGCGCGCAGTATTGCCGTCTTCATTGGTTCTGCTGTTGAACACTTGGCTATTGCACGAGCATTTGCTGTCAAGAACCACTACACCTCTGACCAGAGTCAAGAGCTTTGCTACCTCGGTGTCACCAACTTCTTCAACAGTTTCTTCCACGCTATGGGCGTTGGTGGTGCCATGTCTCGAACAGCTGTCAACTCATCGTGTAACGTCAAGTCACCCCTCTCTGGTGTCGTGACCATGGCTGTTGTCCTTGTCTGTGTCTACGAGCTTGTCGGAACTCTTTACTGGATCCCAAAAGCGACACTAGCAGCCATCATTATCACTGCTGTCTGGGGTCTCATCTCACCTCCTTCGACCTTCTATCGCTATTGGAAGACCTCCTTGGCAGACTTTGTCGCTTCTATGCTTGCACTCTGGGTCACCCTCTTCCACTCCAGTGAAGTCGGCATTGGATGCGCCGTTGGCTTTAACATCGTCTACATCCTGCTCCGCCAGGTCTTTACCAAGCTTTCGTCGACTGGAGCTGACGTTGAGTCCAGCCCGAGGTCGAACTGGCCTGGAAGCAACCATCTCTCATCAACCCATATCCCAGAAGACGCCAGGATCTTCACCTTCAACGAGTCCCTTATCTTCCCCAATGCCTTCGCCAACACCTCCAAGGTACTTGATGAGATCCAAACCTTCCATGCAGCCTTCTATAACGGCAGCCATGGACCTGAGACAGAGCGCAACTGGTCTGTTGTCGGAGAGAAGAGAGTCGCCCGTCTTCGCAAACAAGCCAACATCAGTGATCCGTCATCACTTCCGGGCATCGGTCTCGTTGTCTTGGACTTCTCCCGCGTCAACATGCTGGACACAACTGCCGTCACATACCTCAAGAATCTGGTCAAAAACATCAAGAGCTACGGTGGAGAAGAGACTGAGGTCAGGTTCGCTAACATGAACGCTGTTTGCCGTGAGCGCGTTAGTCGTGCGAAGTGGCGCATCATTGAAGTTGGCTCTGATGATGAGTTTGATGGTAATACTGATGCTATCTACCTTTACTGGGATGCGCAGGCTGCAGTGTCAGCACCGAGGAGAAGAGGTTCTGTGCTGAGTGATGATAAGGGCCATACCATGCATGAAGAGAAGGTTGAGGCTTGAGTTTATGAATCTGTATTACGTAACGATTGGGAAGTTTCATGAATCGGCGTTGGACATTTCCTTTATCATCTTTTAGTACAATACCATTCTTTCGCTGATGCCTCGCTCAATAACTCACTAGACACGTGATATTGGGCTTATCTGCTGCATACGTAGGTCATTCAGCATAAACGTGTAAGCAAGGTAGTCACCCGTACAGCAGTAAATGTCGTCTTACCATGGTGTTCGGTGGCGCCATAGAATGTCGCTCGGCCCTGTGAGGCCGCTCTGATTATGGCCTATCATCAATTAGCCAACCACATTGTGTACTCACTAGAAGCGATAGATTGTTGCCAGAATATGAAGACAAGGTCATTTAGCCACGTGGGAGGAGGCTCTCCCGTTAAGACCTGACCTAAAGATTGTGAGTATCGTTGTGACACATCAACTTTTACAAGACATGTTCCTTTGTACGATTGCCCCCGTCATGTCGCAATTGCAACGAAAGACTTGATGACTCTTTACTACGCTACTGACTGTCTGATGCTTGAACGGCTCATCGGCGTCTTATCTTCCAAGCATCGTGTATCCCGAGTCGATCGCAACGATGAAGTTGTATCGTCACTTTCAATACGAGTGCGAGTGGAATCCATCAGGCTACACGTGCTTTGGTTCAATGATGAATACGAGCACTGAATGGATAGTCCGTATTGAAGCGGAGATCGGTGCTGCAAGTTCATGGCGCAGGGATTGCTTTATCCTGAGTGCCGAGATCTCTTCAATGCAACGTCATGACTTCTGCTGTGGCATATTGAGCCGCTTTAGAACCTGCTAAACCCGGACCATCCGCTTCAAACGTAATAATCCTCGCCCATTCATTTACCACGATATTTGTTGCAATCTGCAGTGATTCGAAGGTTTGGGGTGGCTTCTGACGTCAGAAACCTCCAAACCTTGTTGGACCCTTTGATCCGGCCATCATCATCTGATAGCTTCCATCCCCAATCATCTGATGAATACGAGAGCGCTTCAATACGATCGCTCGGGACTCAATGCCCCGCCAACCAATTAAAACACGTGCAGCCCCTCCATTTCTTTCGAACACGATCATTTTGGGGAGGATTATGCTGCATTCGGTTAGTCACACTCAGCTGATTATCCTGGCGCAATCTCTAGACTTCTCTTCTTGAGCGTTGCGGACCGATCCGTTACATCCACATACCGTTTGAGGGATCAGAACATGGATGGGAAGATGCTGCGGGGAAGGCTTATGGTTTTTGAACACGAAGTTTATGATCGGATGGCTCGGTCTTCGGATGGGCAGACACAGTGAGAACACATATAAAGAGGAAGATGTGCACCTCGTTCTTATTTTGCTCCATCATCTACAACATCCTATTCATTGATCAATAATATTCTAATACAGCAATATCATTCACCATGCAGCTGACCAACCTCTTCTACCTCGCCGCAGCTCTGACTTCTGTCTCAGCCACCACTGGTCCGCCCACCTCCTCCATCTTCCTCTCACTATCCCCATCTAACACACTACAGTCTCCTACGACCCAGGCTACGGTGAATCCGGCCGCGCCCTCACTGCCGTCGCTTGTTCCGACGGCAAAAACGGTCTCATCACAAAATACAAGTGGAAGACTCAAGGCCAAATTCCCAAGTTCCCTTACATCGGCGGTGCGCAAGCCGTCGCGGGCTGGAACTCTCCCAACTGCGGTACTTGCTGGAAGCTCACCTACAAGGGAAAGAGCATTAATGTTCTCGCCATTGATCATACCGATGCGGGATTCAACATTTCGCCTGCTGCGATGAATGCGCTTACGAATAATCAGGCTGTTAAGCTTGGAAGGGTTGATGCGACTGCTACTCAGGTTGCTATTAAAAACTGTGGTCTTAAATAAGCACTGGGACTGATATTAACGATCTGTTTGTGTGGATCTATGACGATTGGTTGTGTAACGAGTTTTGATTTAATGATAATTCTACGACGACTTATGCTGCTATGTTCTATTCTATTCGCTCAAGTGCTCTCATTCACTGCCGTGGAACCTTGGCTATGACCTCAGCGGCAATAGAAAGCGTTTGGCTTGATAAAACTGCTTCTTTGCATAAACTTGACAACGCTGTGAAAATCATCTATGACGTGTTACTGACCATCGTAATAGAGTTTGGGCCAAACAACAGCTGCCAGTATTTATGCAGTATCTTATAGCGCAAGAAGCTTTCATCTTTTCAGCTTGACATGCCAATGTGACGCTGTGCAACAAGTTTATCAGCTTTGAGGCTTATGCGCTTTGATATATGTCCTCGAAGTATAGGCTCTTCGCGTGTTTCATGTGGATGTCATGCATATAAACACGTCAGAACAAAAGAAAAATGACCACGTCATTTCCAGTAGTCTAATGAGACTCCAGAGCGAAAAGCGATGAGCTGTAATAATCTTAGGTTAATTTCATCAACTATGGGCAAATTTGATGCTATGGGTGTAATAAGATAGTTTGTTTCGTCGTCTTAAACAAATGGCTCATAAACAGCCTCAGTTGCAATGACGCGAGGTTTCATTGGATGCATCATAAGAACGGTCAGCCTTGCATGTTTGAAACAGGTGATCCCTTGACTGTTATGTAATGTTGAATATTAGGTTGCAACGTGAAGCACCTGGTTTGGCTCGTATGGAGATGTTGAGACGCATGAGTCTATGACATGAGATCAACTCGAACACGGCAGTTGATATTTCCGAACAGTCGCTCAACAATCTTCAGCTCTATCCGGCTTTATTACACTATGATATCATACTTTCAAAATGTTCACCTAATACTAAGGTCGCAGCCCAGGAGTGCTGTTCCTTCACTGTAAAGCCATCTCACACCGAATATTTATGCATCCTCCCTGACAGCCATGATATTGCCAAGCCACATCCTTAGCTGAGACCGTTTCTTCTCATTGAACATCGGCTACATCGGACGAGATACTGCCACGTCAGGAAGCTGACATACAGAGCCATCACCTGAAACAACCAATAACCTCACCCCAATGACGTGTTGTTCATCCAACTACCGTCCATGCACTAATGAAAATATGCATACACAAGTCAGCATCCCCAACCGCCACATGTCCGCGTCACATGCTGAAACACCGGGAATAACACGGTACCTGCTCCCTCCACCAAAATCTAGGGGAGATGCAAGTCACGACCCCAGGCTTGGCGTGCAGGTTTGTTTTCCGATGTTACTATGCGCGCTTCCCTCTGACCAGTCGAGGCGCTGCCCTGACTCTCGCATAATTGCTTGCAAGGCTGACACTAGCGAGATGAGGATGGGTCATGCCTTTTTTTGTCTTGTCATGCGCTGGCACGACTCACATCCTTTCGGGGAGTGTCGGTTTGATGCCGATGATAATGCGTGTTGGCTATGCGGTAGATGGAAATGATTTTGATAAAAGGAGAAGATAATGCTGGAAGATTTTGTGAAGATCTGTTGATCTTATCTGTTCTTATTTCAGTGGAAATCAGCGGTTTTCTGATATATAACATCATGCGCTTCACTACGACTATTTGCCTGCTAGGCGTTGCCCTTTTGCCTTCTCTTGCAGGTGCACAACTTGCCCCAGCACCTGATGGCTGGCCAAACTTCTGGTACAAAGGGCATGTTACCAACAAAGCTACCTTTGAGTACAACCCAACGAATGAGTTCATCTTTCCTAGTATCTTCCATGCAGGAGAATATCTAGATGATCCTCTCGGAGAATGGTATCTGTACTATGCACCACATGAAAATCCAGGTGGCATCTCGCTGGTATACTCTGATAGTCTCGAGGGGCCATGGAAGGAGTATCCCAACAACCCAGTCATCGCCAACAAGTGGGACTCATATTACTCCGTCCCTCACGTCTCAAGTCCAGATGCAAGTTGGAACTCCGATGCTGGGAGAATGTTTCTTTACTTCCACGGCGATAACACACAAACGCGCTGGGCAGAATCAAGCAACGGCGTTGACTTTCGTTACGGTGGCGTAGCAGTCAACAACCAAATGAGCGGCTCCAACACCACAGAATCAAGCTACGCCCGCGTATTTGCGCATCCCAACTCAGCGTCCAAGTACAACTACGCAATGTTCTACATGGCCAATGAAAAAGATAACAGGCGCAAGATTCGTCTCGCTGAATCTGTCGACGGTCGCAAATGGACTGTTGATTCGGACTATGTTGTTCAGCCTGGCGGGCCTGAGGGCACAGATGTCTCGGGTGCGAATTACTGGACATGGAATGGGCAGGCATATGTGATTTATCATGGTTCTTCGGGAAAGATTTACGCGAGGACTATTGATCAGACATTACGGGATGTTGGGGCTGAGCCGATTTTGCTATATCAGTCGAGAGGGAAGGGGGAGGATGTTGGCCGGGTCGCGGCGCCGGATATTGCGAGTTCCGGAGGGAACACCTACTTATTTTATGAGTCTGGAGATCGGTTGGGTGCTACCATTGCTTGGGCTAAGATGCAGAAGCAGTGAGCTCATTCTGGTGACTGGCACAGTTGAGGCCCTGTTATTTGTATGTTCCCAGTGTCACTGATGTTAATCATAGTTTTTTAATTTTGTAATCAATATTGTTTAGTTTCGTCCATCATATCCCTCATGGCCTTTCACGATCTCGATTCAAGGACTCAGACTACCCTAGGCATAGGAATGCGCTTTCACAAGCTTGCATAAAACGATCTAATGAGTTGTGCATCAGAGCTTTTCTTCTGCAGATCTTGGCGGCCCACTTCCAAAGCTCCCCTGAAGCTATTCTTAGCTCCCTCAGCTCATGGCTACGACCCAGCTACCAGGCTCACATTACCGAGACAATCCACAAAGAGGGTCTGTCTAGCTCAAGCTCTTTCTCTCTATCGTGATCACTTGCGTCATTATTCTCGTCCCTGGGTTCAAGGCGATGACTGTTCTTTGTTATGATACGCGTCTCACGTTGGGCCGCAAGTTATCCACTTCACCAGCTGTCCATCTCCAATTGGCCACAACACGCTCGCTAAACCAATCACATTCGCCACATCGATAAGCCCGTATCCATCTTCAGTTACCGCCTTTTTCTACGGCCTCCTCCAAAGGCCATCCTACGGAGCTTCACTCTCTCGACACACTCTTTTTGAAACTAACCATGGGCCTCGACGAATTCTTCACCAAAGCAGTTCGCGACAGGAAATTCCAAGCAGCAGCCCTCGAAGTGGCAAGCACATGCGCCTCTGCAGCGCCCGTCATCAAGATCGTCCAGGCTGCGAATAAGATCTCCAAGGTCGGAGACGTTATCCAACATGCCAACGACTTTCTCTCCAGCGCGTCGCAGACCATCAAGGGCGCGCAGAGTATTCTGCCGCAGATGCACATCATGGGCCAGTCGTTAGTTGATAGTACGAGATTGTTTCATCAGTTCAGTATTGTCGCTACAACGTTGGGCATGGGCGCGAATGTGATCCAGACGTATCAGGGTGTTCAAGCCTTGAACCTCATCGCGACCAAGCTCGGCGAAATTTCGACGAGTCTTGAGGCTCAGGCGGCGCTTACGGCTCAACGCGACTTTCCGCAGTATGTTTTCGATATGATTCGAGAACGATTGAGTCAAACGAGTGTCGATACCGAACGCGATCACTGGTTCTTTCTCTATCATCCCGATACCGATTGGTATCCCAAGTTCTTCCATCTCGTCGAGGAGAAACCACTGAGTCCTCGATTCTGCGGATACACCAACCAGCTCGACACCGTCTTCATGTTCATGCTCGCAGCCCGAGAGCGCATCACGAAGCGAGAAATGTCAAAAGCCCGACGAAAACAGTTCTGCCGACCAGTCCAGCTTCATCTCATCGTACCCGCCTACCAAACCATTCTCATTCCCGAGCCAATATTAATCCCCGATGAGATTGGCGACTTTGTCATCGAAGGACGGATCAACAGCAACAGACCCTTCGTATGGCTAAACCTCCCCGACGAGCAACAACACTATACCTTTGATGTCGGAATGTGGAGTCCTCCGCCACCGGGAATATGGGAAAAGACGTTAGCCTGGATGGGTCTGTCAGAAAAGCCCAAGATCTCAGATACACCACGACTTCTCGGTGTCGGAGAGAAGATTGAGATGATTGAGGATGAGAAGAGAGAGATGACTATCCAGACTATCGAGGAAGATTGCTCAATGGAAGTCGTCAAGAGAGCTGCTACCGAGTCAACTCTCGATCTGGCGGCAGTGAATAAGCATCGATCTACGCCATTGCATGAAGGTCGACGACGTCGACGATCACGAAGAACAGAATCTGTTGCATGAATTTGAGAGGATAAGAACATTTACTTTGCATTCCAAAGGCGTTTTGGGCATGGCGTTAGACGGTTGGCACAGATACAATATCAAAGCGTAAACAACACATATGGATTATGACTACTAGATTGTCAAATGATAGAGCTCAGCACAGTTTGCATAGCGAGCCAGTTACGAATAGAGAACCTTCAATTTTTGCTGACAATCAGACATCGTGCTTTTTGTCGTTATGAAATTCGATCCGCAACCTCAGCCGCGGTCAATATGTGTCTCAGCAGCATGCGCAGCAATTACAAAATTTAAGCGCCCAACACTCGATTACGCTGCGCGATTGTGCCAATCAATGCACCCTGACGTCAAAAAACGCATTGTCGTTGGACTGTAAAAGCCACGTCGGGTTCAGCTGACACCACAGCCTCATTGGGCAGACAGGGTTGAAAATGATGGCCCTCACTGCGCGTTGATAAAGCGCGATGCTGCATCTCATCAACATCGAGAAAAAGTGACCGCAAAAAGGATAGTTCACCATGGCTGAGGCCGTAGGGCTTGTCGCGAGTATCATCGCCATCGTCGAGCTCTCCGCCAAAGTCGGCAAACTCTGCGTCCAGTATTCAACGGCTGCTGGAAATGCCAGGGCTGACATTACCCGACTCCAGGGTCGGCTGAAAGACCTGAACGTATGCCTTGAAGCGGCTCAGCGACTTCTCGATGACCCGAAGAATACGGCGTTTGCGACATCTCGGTCTCTGGTTAATTCGCTTAATGCATGCGAGACAGAACTAGCAGAAGTCTGGGATAGACTCGATCCCGGGAGTGCGCGGAAGGCCATGCGCCGATTTGGACTCCGCGCGCTTAAGTGGCCGTTCGAGAGCAAGGAGATAAGCACGGTTATATCAAATATTGAGCACTACAAGCAGACTATCACTCTATGTCTGCAAGTCGATCAAACGTGAGTATCCAAATTGACGCGCAAGTAGATATGCTCATTTCCATAGCACAATACTACTCGACGTGTCGCAGCGGGTAGAGAATTTGTCACTACAACAGCAGAGCACGCCGTCGGTAGCTCGCCCGCCATGTTTTAATGTTCCCTTCGATCGAGATCAAGACTTCGTCGCACGTCCCGATATGACGGCGTGGCTCAGAGACAAGTACAGCGGCTCTACTGGCCGCATGGCTCTTGTAGGCATGGGAGGGTTTGGGTATGTATCTCCGACCCTCTAACGATACTATGAATTGACAAAATGTAGCAAATCACAGGTTGCCATTAATTTCGCATATTCTGTCAACGATGAGGATTCTGATGTCAATATATTCTGGGTCCATGCAAGTTCAAGACCCAGATTCGAAGAAGCATACCGCGCTATAGCGGAGAGAATGAAACTGCCCAAGCGAGATGAGCCAAGCACGGACATCCTCGCTCTTGTTCGCGACTGGCTGCAAAACGATGAGTCGGGTCGTTGGCTTATGATTATAGACAATGCCGATGACATCAAACTCTTCTACCCCAAAGGCCCAGACGAGCGTGTTTTGGCATCGTTCCTACCGAAGTGCAACAATGGCACCATCTTGGTCACATCTCGCAGCCTAGATGCTGCAGAAAGACTGACCGGCAGTCACAGGAATATCTTTCAAGTGTCTACCATGGATGAGGCCCAAGGCCTACATCTTATCAGAAACAAACTCACGGCCAACTTCGGGAATGACGCTGCTGTCAAGCTTCTTGAGGCTTTGGATTACATTCCCCTGGCTATCACTCAAGCTGCAGCCTACATCAACCGACGGGCACCCCGAGAATCGGTCGAAAGCTACTTGAAAGCATTCCAAGAAAGTGATCAGAAGAGGAACAGCCTGTTGGAGATCGATCTTGGTGATCTTCGCAGAGACGAGACTGTTTCTAACTCTGTGATCACTACTTGGCAAGTTACATTTGAGAAGATTCGCCACGAAAGGCCGTCAGCAGCCGATCTCTTGTCATTCATGAGTCTTTTCGATCACAAAGGAATTCCAGAATTCGCCCTTCAATACTACAATGGCAAGCTGAAACATCGGAAAGACAAAGCAGTTGGTTTCGAAGATGATCTAGACTTGCTTCGCAGCTATTCGCTTGTTTCTGTGACTGCCAATCGAAACGTTTTCGAGTTGCACGCGACGGTGCAGGCTTGCACCAGAGCCTGGACCTCATCTTCGGACAAGTTGCCGCAATTGAAGAGCCTTTTCATATACTCCATGCGTGACAATTTCAGTCCTTACGAATTTGAAAACTGGCCTACATGCCAGATGCTGCTGCCGCACTTGGGGTCTGTGATACAGGAAGAGCCGCATATGGATGATGTCGAACCGTGGGCAAAGCTATTATGTCTATATACAAGATATTTGCTTAGTGCTGGCAAGTACAAAGCAGCAGAGGAGATCAGCAAGAAAGCGATTACAGCAGCTTTGCCAAGTCTTGGGGAAGACCATACGACTATGCAGAGATGCTTTAGAGAGTTGGCTTCGGCCTATAGGAGGCTAAAAAAGCTGAGTGAAGCTGAAAGTATCCAGCTTCAGCTAGTTGACACCAGCAAGAAGATTTGGGGAGAGGAGCATGAGCGGACCCTTAGCCGTATGAACGGTCTGGCGCTCATCTATCAATATCAGCATCGATATGCCGAGGCTGAAGGACTTCTCGTTCGGACATTGAAAATCGCACAAAGGATCCATGAAGATAAACATCGAGATGTCCTCATAGCAAAAGCTAATCTGGCATTAACATATTTGAACCAGTACCAATATGATAAGGCGAAAGAGGTAGTAATACAAGTGTTAGAGGAACAAAAGATAGTGTTGGGTCCAGAGCACCCAGATACGCTGGCGACCATGAGTAACCTGGCTCGGATATACTGGGAACAAGGAGAATTTGAAAAAGCAATTGAGCTCCAGCAACAAGTGCTGGTAATGAGAAGAAGGGTGCTGGGGGAACATCATCCGAGGACACTAAGTAGCATGAAGCAAGGCGCCGAAATTTTGAAGGATATGGGTCAACACAAAAATGCACTATCGCTGATGCAGACTTGTGTAGACCTTTATACGGAGGTACATGGTTCCGAGCATCCAGTGACAAGATCTGCAGTTAAGAGACTTGGGAGATGGGAGGCAGAGATAGGTGGCGTGTCAGAGCAGTGATTGTATGTAACTGATAGTAAATGATGCCCATTGACTGAGGTGCAGGATGTCCTGACTGATCTGTCAGATGATAACAGTTGGACTTTCTATGCCCATCATCTGCCGACTTAGGAACAAGCTTCTAGCTCTATTGACAACCCAAACAGACAAAGATATGCTCTGCGCGTAGACGGTGTGAAATCACGATTATAGTTTCGGCAAATCTCCCTGGTAATGAGTCAGGAACACTCACTCCCGCCATGGACAAGGACCCTGTTACAAAATCCTGGAGCATAGCCTCACAGGGCTGAGTAAAATCCCCGCTTCCTCCCCCGAACATCAAGGAGGCCTCTCAAAATAGATCAGCATGTCAATCGCCAACAAGTATTGGATGCAAATACCGAATTTAATTGAGCTGAGAAGGTCTCTGCGGAACGATGATATCATCATCTTTCGGAAGAACCAATCTCCCAGTTGATCGCGTACAAACGTCCAATGATCAGTTCCCTGTAGGGCTGGCTAGCTCGCCACTACTCCAACGCTTACACTGATTAGCGTAGGATCGCCAAGTGCTCTGTGCTGGCTTAATAGGATCGTCAACAGACAAGCCATCTCATCCCGCTAAGCAAAAGGACTAGCTCTAAGCCTTGGTAATGGGCTAGGTAAATCCTCCGATGACGAAAGGAGGTCTTGAATTATAAAGTCTCACGTTTCGGAACCATTCCTTCGAGATAAGTCCTCGCTTACATTGATTGAACGCAGGCATTGATCTTGCAACTATCTTTTTCTTAAAAAGCTCATTCGCGACATCTCGTCCATTTCCTCAGTTTATTCTTATTTCAACGGCAGAAACCTTGACAATATGTCGTTCTTAAACAAGTTCAAGAAAGAATTTGAAGGGCTCAATTTGGGTGATCGCCTGGGTCAACAGCAAGGAGGTGAAGCTCACCATCCATGATTTGGTTCACTGAGAGATCCGCTAACCAATCGATTATAGTGCATTCGGCGGCGCCTCAAACCACTGAACAGAGCCACCAGTCCTATAACAACAATCCGTACCAGAATCAACAGCAAGGATATGGACAACCTCCCTATCCTGGACAGAACCAACAGAGCTCAGGTTATCAATCTTACAACGGACAATCACAGCAGCCATATCCAGGCCAGCCGCACTCTCGACATCAAACTCACAGTCCGCAGCCACAACCACCGCCATACAATAATTACCAGTCTCCCCAGCAGCCTCAACATCAGCAATGGCCGTCATCACCTGCTCCTCCAAGCCAATCTGTGCAGTCGCCTCCTGAAACACATGCGCCTTACGGCGCTCCTGCAGGCCCGGACAATTATTCAATCCAATCCACTCCAACGATAGTGGGACCTGGCACTGCTGATCCTGGCCATCCATGCCCTGCGCCCCCTCGATGGGTGCCATACTGGTCTGAGCAGTCACAGCAATGGTGCTATGTAGAAACTTCTGGCAGAAGCTCTTGGCAAGCTCCCTCAGATCATCCGCCTATTCCAGGCATGCCAGCTTTCCCAGGAAGTTTAAACACTCAGAGCAGAGGTCATGATGGACAGATGGGACATCCATCTCAGCCACAGTACGCCAATCCGCAAGACTCCCGACCAAGTCTGCCTGAGAAAGAAAAGAAGTCGTCTACTTTTCTCGCTGCAGCTGGAGGGTTTGCTGCCGGTGGTGCAGCCGGATATTTTGTCAAAGAACGAATTGGTAACATGAACATCACAGACAATACCGTTTTCAAAGAATACTAACGTGTCACCAGATAAACGCAAAGCCAAGAAGCATGGTCGCACGGCAGAAGATTTCTCCGACTTCGCCCACTTTCCAGCCTGGGAAGTCAACCTGGAATGCAACATCTGCGACCAGGTAATCAGCGGACCCTACGCGCATTGCAAGAAGTGCGACGGCGGCGACTACGATATTTGTCGAGATTGCCTTGCTCAGGGAGAAGTCTGCAAAGGTAAGGGCAAGCATAACCTGGTCAAGGTGTATCCCAAGTACTACTGTGATGTGTGCAACCTCTTGATCCAGGGAGGGTTTTACTACTGCGGTATTTGCAACAATGGAGATTGGGATACGTGTCAGAAGTGCTTCGACGCAGGAAATACGTGTCGTGGAATGGAGAGAGGGGAGACGCACAATTTGACGCATCTTTACATGCCGGAGCCCAAGTTCGGAAAGGGAAGTGGGAAGTACGATTCGAGCAGCAGTTCTGACTCTGATTAATTGCTACCATAGAGATGCAAATAAGAAGAAATGATTATGGCTTGCACTTTTAGAACGAATATTCACTGCATCGGAAAAGAACATACCTGCGCAGCATTTATGAGGTCAATCACAACACTGCATCGCGCCACCAAAACACAACGTCGGCAAGTCTCGCGACAACGTCAAATAGTCAATCTGACAAAAATGAACATTCTCATTAATCCAAAAGCAATAAAAAACATTTTCGGAAGTAATATTTACTGTATCAAGAAGACCATAGCTGCGCTGAAACTGTAAGGTCAATCACAACACCGAATCGCGCTACCAAAACACAACATCGACAAGTCTCGCGATAACACCAGATTGTCGATCTGGCAAAAATGAACATTCTCCTTAATGCAAAAGCAATAAAAAACACATCGACAACGGCAGGATTCGAACCTACGCGTGCGAACACAATGCCTATGATGTCTCGGAAGAGATAGCAGGGCATCGCCTTAACCACTCGGCCACGTTGTCTGAACTTTCTGATTATGTCATACTTTCTCAACTTATGAATTATGTCCTACACGTGTAATCACTTTCACTTTCCTTTGACTTACACCCTGACAAATGTTTCAATGATATTGATTAGTTTTACTAACATTATGATTGAAGCAAAACAGTAAGTGGAGGAGTAATTGGGATTGTATTATTGCCAAGGTGTTGCCCATCAATACCATTTCGACCGACGTTCGCTTTTTTCCAACCCTGCAAACTTTGAACACTAATTGTGAGTATCGTACCGAGATTGATTAGGGATATGGCAGTGCAATAGTAAAAAAAGTTCCGTCAGATTGTTAAGCCAAGAATAGTATACATTAATTATTAAATAGAATAATCACACATTTATCATTAGCTAGTATTCAAAATCAGACACCTGAAAACGTATCTTAAATAAACATTCCATTGCGGGAGTTACCCTACAACCACTGCATTCCCCACCACAGCCCAGCTCCAGACTCTTATCTATATCTTATCTTATCACCTCTCCGGGAAACAGAAAAAGAGCCCAGTAATAGCCTATGTATAAACCTGCTTTCCACAGACCGGCAAACAATTTCTCATCCACCAAGCCTTGGCAGACCCATTCCCCGCTGTTGATTGTAACATCGTCGGAGCTAAATGAGCCAATTCTCATAGCTACCTACTATAAACGGTTTAAGCTTATCATCGGCTAACTTTGCTACTGATAAGCTATGCGGATCGGCGGGGAAGTTCGGTCATTATGCCCCCCATGTATGATGATCGTCACGGACTAGGAAGGTTGTTTGGGGAGGTTTAAAAGCTGAAATGCCCGCATCATCGGGTTCCAATGTCTCCTCTTTGCTGTTGGAATTTGTAGGTCCACTGGAAAAATGACGCTTCGCACTGCTTTCACTGGGCTTTTGTGCGCCGGCTTGGCCACCGCAATTCGGTATAACGATAATCAAGTTGCCCTTACGAAAGACGGTGAAGAAGCTGCCAAGAACTTCCCTGAGGTCAAGCAGATAGATCTCCAGTCGCCTGCTTTCATTGACCCCAAGAGCATCGCCGCTGGTTTCGACAATGGCACAAGCGGACCAACAAGCGACGCTACTTTGAGTATGTTCCCAACGCATCTTCAAGATCCATGCACTAACACTAGCAGACTATTTCCTCGAGAGTCTTGCATCTCGCAATGACTGGTTGACATACAACAACCCATCTTTTAAATCCGACGAAGGACGCTCAATTCCATATGTTTACTTGTCTACCTCGTCGCAGCCTGAGATCAAGGCCAATTCATCTTCATCCGAGAAGCTCCGTGTGTACCTTCAAGGTGGTGTCCATGGAAACGAACCCGGCGGCGACCAAGCCCTCCTCGCGCTGCTCGGCAAATTTGACGCCAACTCAACCTGGGCAGCGTCCATACTCGAGAAGATAGACATCATGATCTTGCCTCGTTACAACCCGGATGGCGTCGCTTTCTTCCAGCGATTCCTGGCAACGGGTTACGATCCCAACAGAGATCACATTCGTTTCGCAAGTCAACAAACCCGTGAGGTCAAGGCACTCATTGTCGATTTTGCTCCTCACGTCATGGTAGACGCTCATGAATATAGCGCCAATCGGGCTTATGGCCTCAAAGATCAGTGGGCGCAAGCCGTGGATGGTCAATTTGATCCTATGAAGAATCTCAACATCCACAAGGATATTCGAGAATACTCCGAGGAGGTTTTCGTGCCCAGAATTGCTGGGGCAATGGATAAGTTGAACCTGCGCTGGAGTCCTTATATCACTGGAAATGCTAGGGAGGAGCCACTGGTTTTTACTCAGCTTGATACTCAAGCGCGAGCTGGCGATGTTTCATTGGCACTGACGCAAGTCATGGTCTTCCTCACTGAAACTCGAGGCATCGGTCTTGGAAGTCAGCACTTTCAGCGCCGCGTTGCTTCAGGATTAACCATGATCGAAGCCATCGTCCAAACAGCTGCGGACAAGGCCGCGGAGGTATACAAGGTTGTTGAAGGTGCCCGCCAGAAGTTCATCGACGGCGTAGACGAAGTCGTCGTTACAGATTCTTTCCAACCCACTAACCGCACCTGGGACTTCATCGAACTCCCAACCGGCAAGCTTGTCGAAATTCCCGTACAATTCCTCAGCTCAACACCTGTCAAGTCCAACCTAACCCGCTCTCGCCCCGAAGCGTACATCTTCCCGCAAGCATGGAAAGAAGCCGCCGACCGACTTCGCCTCAACGGCGTTACCGTCGAGAACATTCGCTCTGAGTTCCGCGGCGAAGTTGAAGCTTATAACGTTACAAGCATTGAGTTGGCCAGCACCGTCTACCAGGGAACTGTGTTGAATAAGGTCACTACTAAGATCAACAAGAAAGAGATTACGATGCCGGCCGGAAGCTTTTGGGTGCCGACAAGGCAGGCTGCGGCGGGGTACGCGTTTACTGTTCTTGAGCCTGAGAATATCGATTCGTATGCTACATTCAATATCCTGCCGGTCAATGTCGGGGACGAGTACCCTGTGTATAGAGTCTTGGGTTAATTTGTGGTTGTCGCTGGGTAGAGAAACAGTAATTGGAAATGCTCATTTCTGTCCTCATTTCACATATTCATACTTCCGGCTACTTATATTAATGTCAAACATTTGATTCGAGTCTGTTGACCCAACTGAAACTACTTTTACATTTACTTAACAAGACTCGAAGTTCACTGGGAGGTCTTTTCAATGCTCATCATCCTTTGAACTCCTCCGACTCTTGGCATTTCCAAGAGTCCGAGATATACTCAGGAGGCGACTCAGTGACTGTCTCAAACAACGGCTCGACAGGCTTCTCATAGCATGCACTACTCATCTCACTTGCCTGGATAGCCCTCGCCATCGAATCAACATTCAGAGTCCCAAGCTGCTCGGCAATTCTTGACATGGAGCTCTCAGCTAGTCTCCTCAGCTGTTTCAGGTAAAAGCGCAGCTCACGCTCCAGTGTCTGGATGTGCCCCCAAGACTCACGAAGTTTGCAAAGTTGAGCCTGACGCTCTTCGCCTTGGATACCCGACTCTAGACGATTGACCACGTCTATAGCGAGCTCAGAATACTCTTCTTCTCGACGCTCGAGCCGAGACTTGAGTGAGCCGATAAGCTCTTCAAGATCCTTCCAGATTTCGCCGACCTCCGAGGGATCGGGTATAGTTGTGAAGCGGACACCCAAAGACATGATTTTCTGAGAGACTTATTTCTGGTGGATTTAAGAGTTCTGATAGAAAGATGACCTGGTTGGACTTAGTATGAGAAGTGGTTGGAACTTACCTTTAAAGCGCGAGTCCTAAATGAGAATGAGAGGAATTTCTATCATTCAGGAACGTCGTATGACTTTATAGCCATTATTTCTTGCTGGAGTAGATCTACTAATTGGCTGGTCACCCAAACCATATTGCGTGTCATGAGTTCCAGTGAAAGAGGACTACTGAACAAGTATATGCCCCGACATTTCTAGAACGTCAATCTTTGTCAACCAGAATCTCATCATAAGCAGAAGTGAACAATAGGCTACAGTGTCCTCTATATGTGGAATAAAGAAATTCGTACTGCGATGTTCATTTCTAGGGAGGGTTTGTGTTCGTTTAATGAAAGATAAGTGCTCTGAAAGAGATCTGGTGAAAAATGAACAACCCAGATGAGTCGATAGATGATTTCACAGGAGCCTATAGCACGGCTCAATTTTGAAACGAATTTCATCTTCATATTCAGCATTTTATAGGCAATCCATTGGTCAATGACAGTTCTATCTCATGGCAACTTGTTTGTTTGGTCATGAGATAGCCGCTATCCCCAAATTGGGAATCGCCGGATCGGCGGTTACTCCATCCGTATTGGGGCATGAAATCTGACAAAAACCGCGCCGTGAACGCGTGAGATAAGTTAATCCTTCTTTCAACACAAACAGATTGCTGCCTAAGCTCAAGCTGGACCTAAAAAGGTGCTCAAATAGGACGGCATACTCACCAAGTTTTGGTAAATCATAGCAGCCTCGCGAAAATGGGCAATCCTCCGTCGCCGAAGCCTTATCGGGATGACCCTGACGCCGTGTCACTGCACACGACTGCAGGGCAACCCTCATACGCCCACGTAGAGGACGACGTTCTCAACGGCGACGAAGCACCGCCGCCTGCATACCAGGACACACCGACTCTTGATCCAAGCACTCTAGCGGTGGCTGCTATCGATAGCACTGGGATTGAAGAAGAACTTCTTCAAACAGGCGTCACTCAGCCCGAGTCTCACATCGCCTTCGCCTCTAACCGCATCGGTCAAAAGCGCACTCGTATCGGCAACGAAGTCAACGCCGTGCGAGATCCCCGATCCGATGCCGATCCAGCATTTCTCGAGAGATGGGTCAGAACCATGGCAGCGTTTCCTCCTTCGCCGTATATCAACATAACAGGAACTCACAAGGAAACCAAGCGCGACAGCGATGGCAAGAGTAAGCGTGAAGAGGTGACTGATTTCCGGATCATGGTAAACTTGCAGAACTATCTGTATCCCAATTTCATCACAAATCCTCTGGGCAACTCGACGCTCAAGACTGTTGAGAGTGGCGAGAAGACATACCGTGGTACGGTGCTGAAGACACGTCAGGACGGCGTGAAAGGTGATATCGAAGTTGGTCACGCAAAGCCAACCCTGAAGGAATGGTGTCATCGATATTGTGCCAAAGCAGCCGGTACCAAAGTGTATGTTTCACGTCTTGTCCTGAGGTTCTTTCTAACGTGTTCCAGGTTTCGTCTGACTAGAACAGTCACTGGCATGGACGAGACCTTCTTCCGCGATAGTCTGACAAACTATGTGCGAAGCTCCAACTACAAAGGAAATCTCACGATTGAGTTCCCAGTCGCCGACCGAGCAGTTGACATCTACTCATCCAATCGCCTCAACACGTGGCGCCTGACGACCTGGATCTGCTGGATCTTCTACCTCACGTTTCTCTGGATCTTCTCATGGCCAATTCTCTTCTTTATCACAAAGCGATATCAAGTCGTCAGCGCCGAATGGCCATTCTCTAGGACCGACGCAAACGGGCAGAAGAGCTACACCACTGTCAGTGAGCAGCAGTGGGTGGACTTGTATGGACCCGCCATCAAGCAGCTTTGCCTGGACCGATATGAGGGCTTGGCGGGTGATGCGTTTTTGAATCAGGTTCTAGAGAGGGGGGATGCGAACTTGAGAAATGAGAATGTTGATACGAGAGCTGCGCTGGGAGTGGCCGCTGCTGCCTTTCAGGGTGGACGATTCAATGCAGCCAATGGTGCGAGGAGTCTGATGCGTTTTGCCGGGGCGTCGAGTGACCAGATCGGTTGGGGGTTTGACACGTAAACATGGGAGGATGTTGAGCCTAGACTGACGCGTAGCGGCAAGTTGGGAGGATGGCCGTAACTGCAAAATGGTTTAGTTATACGGACTTGCATCTGTTATTAGTTTGAGCAAACAATATCCAATACCACCTCTATAGTTACCGCCTGGTGGATCGAGACTTCAAAAAACAGCCAGAAGCGTTGCTTAGGTACATGGCCCGTCCTGGAAGATCTTCTGCTTCTTCAGTGGATAACCTAAATACAACTGTTTCCAAAGTTTTACGACATCATTCAATAGAAGACTTTTGCCCAAACCTTGTTTAAGATTTGATGTCAAATGCCAAGTTCACATGTTGCGTCGGGATTGGCTGGATGAAACGTACCAAACTATATATCACTAGCAATAACTATTCCAGGAACTAATAGTAGTCTTATCTAATCACCATCTTATTGTCGTGCACATCTAAAAGACAGTCGACGCAACTGGTGTACCTTTCCCGACCAAATTGGACACGCGACTGTTATCTAAACGGGATGTTCGCTCTATGGCTCATGTTGAGGAACCGTGTTTCACACGCTTGGCTCTGTGCTCACCTCCCCTGAAGGTGACGTGAAAAACCGACATGTTCTCAGAGGGCGCGGTTGGTATGGCCTACTTTCGTAATTCTCCATTACCAGTGCTCCCAGTCTCGGTAGGTTATGAACCACCGGTGGACGAAGAAGTTCGAAGTCGAATTCACCGCTGTGGTTTTTGAACAATACCCGGACTCCAGCCCGTTCGAATTGAGCCAGCATTTCCTCCGCGTTCCAAAGCTGACTAGGATCAGAGTTGGCTTCGACGGAGGAGCTGTTATCGACGAGTTGGGTAGATGCGTTGTCATGCCCGCAATGCAACTCGGGGCCTATACCCAGCCGGGTACCTTCATCCAATGATAGTAGGGAATGGTCTGTAGTGATTCGCAAGGACTCCTTGTGAAGCACTATGTGTTGGAAGATCCGGGAGCAGATGGGAGCAATAGGTTCCCCATCTAGAGTAAATGTGTAGGATCCATCGGGCATTCCGGCCTTGGGTAGAGAAAGGATCTCTGCTAGCAAATTCCCGATCTCAGAGAGCGATACAGATATGGCCTGTTGAAAGGCCACTTCTCCAATTTCATGCCTTGCGTATGTTTGCAAACGTTCAAAAGTGGTAGCGTGGCGAAGCAACGCCCGAGCGAAAATGACATTCAGCATACTGACCTGGTGGCTTATCCGCAAATGTGGATTCTCTTTGCAGAAAGGGACGAGGCCTGTAGCGTGGCATTCTTGACGACCTACAGATGGGTAATCTTCAATGATCACCAAACCACGAATGCAAATTCGTTTGCGGACTGGAAGCTTGTTGAGCCAGCCTATGGCTGCAGAAGCTGCGGATATGCGAAATTTCGCGTAATAATCTTCTATCTGGCGTTCAGTAGGCATCCATGTTTGGAGGGTACGCCAGAGGTGATCATCGCCAAACCTCGACCCTATTTCTGCAAGGACATCGGCGTCGGGTAGGTCCCAAGGCTTCAAGAACTTGTCGAGGAAGTTTAAAAGCCGATCCTTACCGCTGTATTCCCAGAATTCAAGCTCCGCGTTGACAAACCTATCAAAGTCCCCAATTGCTCCATGAACAATGGTACGTAGGGTGAAATCGAGGGCCTCACAAAGCGCGGATAATCCATAAGACCGCAGCTGGAAAGCCTCTGCTAGATAGGTGAAGGAATCTGAGAAAGTCCAACGACGAAGAGTTGATAGGGTGGCTAGATTGTATGCACCACGTTGTCGTTGGAATAGGGCATTCCTGAGTTGCGGCACAAACCACGGGAAGGTTTGTTCAATACAAACCCACGTAACGTAGACAAGAGAGATAGCCTAGCCGTAAGTCCAGGCGGGGGTGAAGAGGATGGGCGCCGAGCTTTATAATCAGGCCACGTCATACAAGTTGGCCACTGAGATTTTAGTGACACGAAGCCTGGAAGTTTGAGTTTGCGGCTGAACCTTAGGCAGCAGCCCCGCCCGCATCCTCACAGTCTCACTGAGTCAAGGTACGTGACAGGACGAATGAAGCCAGGTCAACATGTCACGGTAGAGGCAAGAGGAAAGTGTTTGGTGTATTCTGTTTTATTGAAAAGTCAAAATGTCCCTGTAGCAATACGCAAGGTATAGCCAATTGGGGTCTCAGATAAGAAGATAACACAATAAGATGCTTATTTTTCAGCACAACACAATATAAGGCGTTATACACCACGCCAAAAAACACAATAACCTTAATAATAAGTCTCAAGGTCATACAGCTGCTGCCACGAACCTTATAATCCAACTGAATAAGTGGCCTCACTCCACGAGCATAAAAAAGACTGCAATAATGGTGAGTTGGGACGTTCCAGAACAGACAGAGCGATTAGGTACTTACTGTTTCCCCCAGCCTTGGCAGGCCGAATGCCCTCTCCATCGTCACGCCATCAAGCGATCACCACCAAGGCTCCAACCTCAAAAGACCAAGTCATAACAACCAAGAAACCAAGAATCCAATCACACTGTAGCAAGCCTCAGTCAGTTGATTTGCGACGATGATGCAGATAGCAAGTAAGGGAACTCACAGATGCGCCGCTGCGCAATCGAAATCGACAACAGCCAACCCGGCCACAACCACCCGATCAGCGCAGTCGATGACTACGCAACCTGTGAAGCACATTAGATATCTCGTCATGATGTGTAAAAGAGTTCATTCAGAAGTTGCTTACCGGTCTTCCAACAGAGGTCCACAAGCTTGACTTTAAATATATCCTAATACTGCAATCCTTCCTAAGGCGTCATAAAATCACGAGAGAATACCTGCCGCATGTCGACAAGCTGTCAACAATACAGCAAGTCACTAGGGATCATCATCAGCATTAGCAGGGTAGCCTGGATATAGAAAGGACAAACATCTAGCAATCTTCGGCTGCCAAGTACAGCTGCTTCGAAAGGAGGTCGACATAACCAAGATCGACTATATCGCATGCCAGATGGAAGCCCTAGAAGACCTAGCAGGCCGCCTAGAGAAGGGCCGACGCCTATCAAAGCAGCAGCAGGCCTTCGTCGCCAGCATCACATCGGGCGGCGGCAACCTATCAACGGCTGTTAGTCACAGCTTGCTGGTGTCCGATTCTGACAAACTTACGGTCCATACTGGTCGTGGTTCTTCGAGTTGAAATGCGCGGTCGCAGTGGTCGAACAGGGGATGTGAATGCTGCGGGTGCTCAGGTCAGCAATGAATTGACGACGGCGAGGACAGGCCAACACCTACTTGTATCGTGGGAATCGAGGGCTATCGCGAAGTGAAGGAGGGGAAGTGAGGGGGGAAAGAGGGGGAAAAAGGCAAATTGGGAAATGAAGGCTGCGAGGAGAAGTTGTTAGTCAAGGCGCGATAGATCAATGACGCGGGACTCACTTTTGGCGTCGGGGGAAAAACTGTAAATGCTGGCGGGGAATGTTAGTCGGTACATAAAATACCAAAGGAATCAATGGCTTACTTAGCGGACCGAAGCTGGCTCGGCGGGTTAGTAATAGATTGGATCAGGTCGCAAGACAACGCAGTATGACTAGACGGAGTTAGTATGAGTGCGATAGCAATGAATGGCAGATGGATGGATGACTTACGGAACACAAGTTGAGGAAAAACACAGATAAGTAACACTTGGGACATGTAAATCATGTCGCTCTCCCGTAAATCCACGCTGTGAGTTCATCAAGTACGTTGGGTGGCTGGGAGGCAGAGGCAGAGGCAGATGACTCAACCGAATTGAATCTGGAGTCCTGCTTGGCGCACTCGAACTGGGGGATTTCGAAATGCGTTATCGCCCAGTCGGCAGCGACCTCGGGCTTCTCGGACAGCATCCGGTAGAAGTCTCGGTGTCCGAGTGCAGTGTACAGCTCTATTCGGGCTGTCGCTAGCATCTCGCACTGGATGAACGCGTGGAAGACGGTCTCGTCGGCGGCTCCGCAATCACAAAGCGGACTCTCGTAGGCCTGAACCATGGTCAGCAACGTTGACTCGTTGGGAGGGGGGGGGGGGAGGCTTACATTAATCCAGTGCAAGTACTTGTTGAGGGCGATGTAACCGGTTCGGCACTGTATCAGCATCGTGCTTTGTGCTCGAGACAGGCCGCGGTAGCGCTTGAGGTTGTGAGGTCCCCATCCAGCCTTGTCCATGTCGGCTGCGCTGCGAAATCGTGAAAGCCCATTATTGCGTTCTTCGACGTGCCGGTTCCAGATCTTGCATGACATCTCGTGCGAGTCCTGCTTGGCAATCTTGGCCATCGCCTTCCTCACATTGTTGGGTGAACTGTCCCTACACGACTCGTTAGCTCTCTCCAAAAGGTATCTGGCTGCGTGGTCCAGCGCGTGGTATGGATGGAGGTCAAACTCGGCTGGCTTCCTGCCCTGCCGTCGGATTCTGCGAAGCCTTTCGTGGTCTGGAGTGTCTAGAGCGCGCGCTCTCTGCACTGTCGCGACCCTATCCAGGTACACGAGGATGTCTTCAACATATACCTCCTTGTTGACTGCTCGCCCCTTGGTACGAGCGAGTGCTCCAGTGACTATCCTCAGGCATTGGTTTTGAATCCTGCCCAGATAGCGTCCGAGTTCCCTCGTGATCTGATACTTGACCTTGTCCTCCCCATATATGAACCAAGCGCCGCAGCCGTGTGATATGATCGGTCGAACGGTGGTGATGTAGAGCTGCCTCAAGGCTATCATGTCGGGACCTGCAGTTGTATTACAGATTCGAGCGATGTCGTTCATCTTAGCGTTGACCTTTGCACCCAGCTATGAAGACGAGTTAGTATCTGACAAACAGTCCATACGATGTTGTGATCTTACCCCAAAAACGTGTGCTTGCCAATTGAGCTTGTTGTCGACCTCAACACCCAGAATTCGTATTGAAGCTTCGGGCCTGTTTCCCTCAAGTCCGGGGATCTTCGGCATCAGGGTACAAGCCTTAACTTGGCCACGAGGAGGATAGAAGTGCATGACGTGGTATTTGTGAGGCGAGAAAGATACGCCGACCGAATCGGCCCATACCATGATCCTGTCATGGCATTCCTTCAGCGCCTTGCAGTTGTCTTCGAAATCATCGGACACGGCAAGCAGGGAGGTACCGTCGACGTAGGCGAAGGGGTAGATCTTGACCTTGGAGTTAGTGTACTCGGAGGCGGCACCAACAATGGGCATCGAGAAGAAAAGGAAGAGGATGGGAGACAAGGGACTGCCCTGAGGAATGCCCATGTTGACCCAGAAGCTGGATGAGGTGAAGCCCGGGAGCCTCATGTCGGTGATGCGATCGGTAAGAAAGGACCAGATGAAACTGAGCATCCATTCCGGTAGGCCAGTCTCCTGCAGAATCCTCATGAGCTTGACCCGGTCGACCCTGTCGTACGCGCCCGTGATGTCAAGTCCCATGATAGTAGCCAGTCGCCGGATCTTGTTAGTCCAGGCGTAGTAGACGTTGTTGAGCAGGTATTGCAGGGCCTTGGTGGTGCACTTGCCGGGAGTGCCAAACTGTACATCGGGGAGGAGGTTGTGCTCGACAGCAAGCTGTTTGAGCCGATGGGTGAAGATCTTCTCGAGAAGCTTGCCCATACAGGGAAGCAACGCGACCGGTCGCCAGCTCTTGGGCTGCTCGTAGTCATCCTTGCCTCCCTTTCGCAGCATTACCGTGCAAGCCTGTTTGAAGGCAGCGGGATGGTGACCGAGCTTGAGGCAGGCTGCAAACAGGTGGTGAAGGTAAGGCAAAAGTTCCTCGTGGGCCATCTTCATACCCTCGTAGGCCAACAGGTCTGGCCCTGCTGCCTTACCACTAGGCGCGTCAGTGATCAGACTCTTGACCTCGGACTTTTCCAAGTCCTGTGAAACAACGAAAGGAACTTTGTCGGAGTCGTCGGGCGGTGGTCGGTCGGGGGGCACTTGCTGTTCGTCACTGGTCCCGTCTGGCCACATGGCCTGTCTGAAGCAGCCAGCCATGCCATCAGGCGTACGATGGGTAACATTGTTGGCCTTGAGCTGTCGGATGGGCATGAGAGCCTTCTTGTTCCAGCTCGCTCCCCTTCGGGCCCAAAAGTAGAGTCTTCTGCGTTTCGCGATGTCTTGGGAGAGCATGCGATGGAAGGAAGCGGAGCGCTCTTTGCGAATGACGTTTTGAGCAAAGCGTTTGACCTTGTAATGCTGCTGACTTTCGGTAGAGACGCCAGCGTTGCGCTCTTTCTCGTCTGAAAGTCTCAGAAGATTCTGGGCTCGCTGAGTGACAAGGCTAGGCCGGGACTTGGGTCGCTTCGACCCTGGCGGGGCCGCTAGAGGTACCAGCGTCTCAATTGCCGGACCGAATGCCTGAACGACCTTACGGGCGTAGTTGTCGATCATGGCGGGGGTTGTAAGTGCCGGAAACCCAATGGGTTTCAGTGACCCACCAACACACGCACGGAACTTGTCGGGGTCTGCGCGCTTCCAGATGTAGTAGGTGCTGGGAACTCGGTTGACCTCGAGGTTCAATGTGGTCATGATGACACGGTGATCGGAATCGAAGCCTGGTACATCTGGCGATTGCCATTTGCGCACAAACGGGATGAGAGACGGGCTGGCGTAGGTAAGGTCAATGGTAGAGCTATATTCGCCAGTGAGATGTTTTCCTCTGGCGTAGGTGCGAAAACTACGGGTAGTCAAGAGCTCCATGCCGGCCTCGTCAAGGCCGTTGGCGAGCTCGATGGCTTGGGGCTCGATCGTGGTTACGTTGTCGCCACTCCATGACGGACGGTGAAGGTTGAAGTCGCCGACCAGAAAGTCTTCACCAGTTGCAGTGACCCTCCGCAGAAGATCCGGGATCTTGACATTCTTCTGCTGATTGTAGACATTGTGGATTGCAATGGTTTGATCATCACTAATCCGAAGCAGCAGTGTGGCAGCCAACCCAATGTTTACATCGTCATGGAAATCAACGTCCCAATCTGCTACTGGGATGGACTTGTGTATGAGGTAAGCAACTGCGTGTAGCTTCTCCTTCTCCAGATACTGGTTCGTGATGTGGATCGCCTGTCGTTTTCTGGTCTTCCCTTCATCGTTGGTCTTTGGAGGGAGAAGCTCGGGGTTATTGGGTCCAAAGGCAAGAATATGGTCAGGAAACTGAGTGGCTCTGATGTTGAGAGGGATATCTTGGAGGCAGAGAATGTCAACCCTGTGATCGCAATTGTAAACCCAATTTTTGAGCGCCTGGAATCTCTCTGGCGCAGCGTTGACGTTGATTTGGACAATGCTGAGGTCTGAAGGGTTGTCGATGAGACGTGTGAGTCTTTCTTGCCTCCGTTTCGATTTGAGCTTTTTCTTTTGGCCTCTTGAAAGCGGCCTATCCATTGAGACGGTACTTGTCATACCGCACTGAAAGAAAGCGTATAATAACGTGTATGAGGTGATGATTTAGTTGATCCATTGAGAAGAGAAATCTAGAATTTGGTGTGATTATAATGAATGCGTTCAAGACTTTGTGTGCACCAGTCTGGACATCATCGCACAGGATGCAACAGACAGTTAATCAACGAGAAGTGCATACCTGATCTCATTACAAACTATTTATTGTTTATAACAGGGCAAACATGGCATTCTCTCCAGCAAACTGCTGGTATCGAGATTAATGAGCCCACGATGCATGCGCTATTAGCTATTCCAATAACCCTTACCTAATAATCTGGACTCTTCCGAATTATTACAATGGTTACAGTACTACGTACTGCAGGGTCGAATATCTCAACCCTCACCGGAGGCGGCCTTTGGAGACTCGGGAATCATGATCGACAATCCTGCGCCTTTTCGTTTCATTTTGCCATGCTTGCAAACTACCACGGCAGGCATTGGCCGCTGCGCTGTTGCCAATATCATTGCCACCAAGTTAAATTTGATAGCGGGAAAGTAGGAATAATCGCTAAATTCGTTCCACTACGGCCGCCGGCGGTATCTGTATCTCACTTGGCCTAGTTTCAGCTGCTCCGGGGCTAAACGTTCCAGCGGAGCTAACCGACACTAGGTAAGGTGATTTAAAGAATGTGCCTAACTTAGTACGACAAGAGTCGTATACGAGAGAGCTTTGCTTTGTTGAAATCAAGGTTATCCACAACTTCTTTGCGAGCGTCTATACACTCATTACTTTTGGTGCCAGATATCCTCCGTCATCTGCATGAAAGTTTGCTCAAAACTCAGCCTGCGCTGTACGTGAAGCTACCGTTGGAGAAGACAAGCTGATACTGTGAGGACAGATGGCTCATCGTGAAAGGATGCTCCAGCGAGTGCAAGAAAACCAGACGCAGGAAATAGCGGTAAACCACCGAGACCTTTATGTTATACTGTTCAAGGCTCAACCCGATCTCTGCTTAAGCTTCTTTGGGGTATCTGGAAGAAGAAAAAGCAATACAAAGGAAATAAGCGACAAATACGGGAGCATAGGAGGTTTGTAGCTCGAGACAACACGGATGAATTAGCTGTATTTACTGTTAGTCAGCACAGAAGCATCCGTGAAACTACTAGTGGATAGGTCTAGTCATTTGCTTATTGAGTTGACTTACAGCAATCAAGCAGCCTTCTATCCATAGGAATAAGAGCGAAGTAGTAATCTGCTAAAACCATCTCAATGCCTCAACTTCGAACTCGTTTGCTAACTCAAGAAATACTCGTTACCATTGGGCAGCATCCTACCTTACATCGTTCTCGACAACATTTTCAGGCCACTGAGGAGATGGACGCCAGATTGTGAATTTGTTCTCACAGATCATATTATATAGAGTAGGAGCTCACAAAGCCATCAAGACTCAGCATCCAGCTAAATACATGCCCTTAAGATCTTCTCCAATATCCTTGTCTTACCACTATTCATCATCGCCGATATCCTTGTTGCGGGTAAACAAGTTACTCACATTATCGTGGCTGTGTTCATCAGACAACTCGTCCCAACAGTTTACTTTCAAAAACGCGTCTGTTATACCGGTCCTAGACAAGCTAGCTGGGCTATTCACATGAGAAACCCATGATAAGGTAAGCCGAATTCCATGGGCATCCCCAAGTGCTTGGTCTCCCTTCACTAATAGCTCGTACCTTTTGTTCTTCCATTGTCTTTACATGTTTGTCAAACTAAGCCGAGAGATGTCGACTCGACTTGTGATGTTTCGACATGTACGGCCAACAGTCCGGATCGCGGCACTATTGGGTGATAATCTGTCACGCTGACGCGGCCGGGCAAGGACTAGTCGCGTCAAAAAGGATGTGAAAGCTCTTCGTGCCACCAGCTGTATTCATCACTGCACGTGCCAACAAGTCGTGGTCTTTCGCGTCAGTGCAACGCAATGTGGGTAGCCTCGGCCTCAGTTAGCTAGTTGAGCTCGACGAGGAGTCAGCACTTCGATATGGAGCTTCCTCGTCGGACATAAATACTCCCTGCGTTACACGTCTTTTTTCAGAAGCCGTTAAATTCACCAACAAGCCCCCCCGTTTGCTAATCATATGGTCCGAAGGAGATCCCGAGACTCTAGATTCCAAGAAATTCGAAACTTGTTCTAACGTAGTTCATTACTCAGCCGCCGGCCACATCGCTGTTAAAGGCTAAGCCTCAACATTGTTCTGAGGGTAATCCATTTTTGCTCAATAGTCAGAAGCTTATTACATAGTTTATCCAGCAAGCGCCCTATCGTCTTTCCCGCGTTTTTAAACCAATTGTTACAAATACCACCCCATTCCAAAAGCCGCGTAGGGACCCTGTTGCGCCAACACAAAGTAAAAGGGGATAAGATGAGAAATCAGGTTTGATAAAAGACCCAATCCGATTTATCGAGGGTACAATCCATACCGACAGCAGTGCAAGAGAGAAAAACAGAGGCATGACAATGTACTGTCTAAACGACAAACCTTTATAAAATGAACCGGTGCGACTATGCGTGGCATTGACGTTGTGCGGCACTGTGGAAGGCTGCAGAGTCATGGTTTCCAGAGATTCAATTGCAGGATGTGCTGTATTCTCGTACCTGAACTGTGGGCGCAATTCGACATTGGACTCGTCTGCATCCTGTACGGCGGTAGTAGACGCAGTCGTGTCATCCAGGGGAATGAAGTCGTTTTCAATAGCTTCAAAGGCATGTCTTCGTCGGCTAATCTGGACGCCGACCAGGAGATAGATACCTATGATGATGAAAATCACCAACCTGTGCGGCACCGAAGACTTGGAGTTAGCGCCGTGAATCGAAGCGAATGATGGGACGAGACATGCCAGATAGGAGCATAATAAAGAATAATCCGGAAGAGCACCCACTTTGGTGCGATGGAACACCATAACTACCATGAACAATACGTCAGTCGTTGTCATGCGCTCACTGACCCACAGGCTCTCACTGTCACACTGCCGTACAGAGGCCCTTTTGCTTCGGTGCGGACGAAGAGGAGAACGATAGCAGGAACAAACGTGAGCGTGGTGATGATAGTCGCGTAAATTCCTTCTAGCCTTTTCAATGCCTTGACGTCATAGCGACAAAAAAACAACCAGGAATACGTCGATAGCCATAGCAAGCGTCCAAAGCACGTCGGCTAATGGAAACCTGCAGTCATGTTGTCAATACCACCGAACTGACAGCTGACTCCTTGCTTTGCACATACATCTGGTTGAGGAATGCTTGGAACTGACACAAAGCTGAGGTGTCACCAGCGGCGGGCCCGCTTATCGAGATCATGGTGCAAGTGATATCAAACGCGTTGTAAAAGGCGTTGATAAAGATAAGGCGATGCATAGGATTCCGGAACCTTGGCACCATGCAGAATACTGTTATGATCGTGACAACACCCAAGGCCGAGAGCGAAGAGGCTGTGCGCTCCACGATTTCCAGGACCTTCGACTGGCGATCTGTCAATTTCACCCCTGATCGAATTTGCACCATGTCCACCACGTTCATTCGTCCAGTTGTGCGATCTTCTGGTAACAGGCGGCGTCTCCGACTACAGCAATGAAGTTTCACTATGGAGCATTGGCAAAAAATGAAGAGATGAGAAGGGTCCTCAATCAAACAGCGGGAACAGACCATTAGTGCACAATTTCAATGGTACGATTTAGGGCGTCTATGATGTGCTCACATCCATGTCTCTGCCATCCCGTATTACGTTGGACTTGCGCGGTTAGTGCCAATTGAAAATCCAATTATAGAAGTGGAACATTCAAGGTGTCTATGACCGAGCAACTTACCTGTATTACATTAAGAAAATAATAAAAACTTAACGCTTATACACTTTGTAGCCTTAATCTTTATAAATGCATAAAAAGGTATTACAGGAGTTTCTTCCATTTGATGTAGGGTATTTATTTAAAGCTAATCGGTTAACCAAGGCTAGCTATGGCGTCAATCAGAACATCAACGCCGAAGGCAATATAAAGGTAACTTATTCCCCTTAGCCATGCAAATCGTGCCAGCTGAATTTTTTAGTCAGCTTTAAGATTCCCATAATTACAAGAGTATGATCGGGAAGCTAATGGCATTAATGCTGGATACGGTATCGTGCAGGCATATAACCCTTGCCCCATGATCGGACAGATAAATGTGATTCTTGAGCCTTGGCTTACTTAATAGAATCGGATATATAGCATAGCTTTGATGATTTAATTGATCAATTGATCTACAGATAATATATAATCGAACGTTCTATAATATTGCTACTGCATTTCCTGGACTGGCAACTCCGCCAGGTACCTTGAGTGGAATACTCGTCAAGAAGAATGTCCAGCGCTTTCTCTCCCTGCACTTCTCTGCTAGCTCCTCCAAGTCGAAGAGCTCACCGATTGGCAATCCCCATCCTGCCAGAGCCCATTGGTGTATACTCACGTCAGGATGATTATACGCTCCCGTCGCGGGGCCTCTTTCAAAGCCAGCCGCGTCCGAAGCAATAGCTGAGAAGCCGCTATCCCATAGCCATCTCAGGGACTCTTTAGTAGCTTCAAGACCCAAAAGACCTCCGGGCTGGCGGTTAGGAAAGTTCTCTTGTGCTTCGGGGGAGAGCGCGTTGTAGTGTGCCGTGAAACCGACGCGGATAAAGAGGATGTCGCCTTGGCAGAACTCGATTTTCTCTTCGGCGATGATAGCGTGGATGTGAGACATTTCTACGGCGTTGGTTTGAAATGGGGAGAGGGAGATGTTGTTGCGTTGGGACCACGAGTACCAGTCTATGAGAACACCACGGCCGATGATGCCGCCGTTGTTGGCATAAGCTGTGAACAGGTCGTAAGACAGAGACTAGAAGTGATTGATGTTCATGGACCTACCATCGATCCCAAGAAATTGTGACCCTGGAACAAATTCCTCCTGTTTGTGACCCATGTAGAACTGTCCAGTCCTTTGATATCCTATCAAACAGTCAGCAATGTAATGATCACAAGGCAGCGGTACTCACCATAGTGTCTGAACCCATCCCACTGTGTACTACTCTGCGTATTCAACGTAATAACATCGTCGTTCATCGTCATGGGAGCTTGGTTGAGTATTCGGTGCTCAAGAGCTTGTCTCCCGAATGGGGGATGTGAGAGCTTGTCAAGTGGCCAGTCCAAAGATATTCTGATCCCTTCTCTTATCTCACTAGCTGCAGCCCGTACGGTCTCTGTTGTAAGCAAGTTGAGCCTACCGAGTTGATCGTCCGGTCCCCAAAGACCCCATGCATTACCTGGAGGACCATTCTTGTCCAAAGGCAAGTCATCGAATGTAGGGAGCTTCTTTGGGGCCATGTTGATTTGAGAGCCGAAATGGATTCAGAATGTTTGGCCGACGGACATTGGAAGGGCGTTGCATAATGAATTAGAAGTTCGCCGACGTGACTCAGAGACGATTAACAACTAGCCCTGCCACTAAAGGATATAATCGCCAAAAACAATGAACGGCGTATCGGTTGGAAGATAATTTATCCAAATCATCGTAGTGATGCCAATCAGCGAGTTGATGCCGATCATGTACCCCAGCTTCCCCGCGTCCATCCCTTTCCGGGGTATGCCAAGACCTAAATTCCAGAAGACAACTACGCGCTATGCGGGGATAATGCAGGGGTGGATGAATGTTTGAATCAGATAACGGAAATAATCCGCAGGATATTATGTCGCGTGCCAGAGCCTCGGGTCGTGCATGGCCAAAGATGAGGACTCCGTTTATTCGCATTTAAGACGGGAAGGATTCCTGTATTGAGTGATCTTGTGTAAGAATATTCCACACGTCTCAAGCAATCATCATGCGCAATCCGTTGGCAGCAAGGGCTTCGTCACTCGAAGGTGAAGACATTCCGCCAGAGATCTATGGTTTCCGGCCTTATCTCCTTGCCATCTCGGCATCATGGGCTTGTAAGTATTTATAGTATAGACTCCATCTTCATCGTCATTACTAACATCATAAGCTGCCATGTACGGGTACGACAGCGCTTTCATTGGAGATACTCTCAGTCTACCCTCCTTTCAGCGAACCTACGGTCTAGATACAGCAAGCGACTCTGCGAAAGCAAATTTGTCGTCCAATATCGTATCAACCTTCCAAGGCGGTGCTTTCTTTGGATGTGCATCAAGTTTCCTTGTCGCTGAACGCTTCGGACGTCGCCCAACCCTTATTCTCGCCGCCATAGTCTTCTCCATCGGCGCAGCCCTTCAGATGATTGGCCGACTCGATTGTCTATATGTCGGTCGGGCACTTACAGGCTGGGGCGTTGGGTCAAGTGCAATGATACTCCCAATCTATGTTTCTGAATGCTCCCCCGCCCTGATTCGTGGACGACTTGTCGGGACGTTCGAAGTCATGCTTCAAGCTGCACTCGTCTGTGGATTCTGGGTTAACTACGGTGTCAATAAGAACATCAGCCCAGAAGGGAATATGCAATGGCATATTCCTGTCGCTGTTCAGTTCGTGCCAGCTGGATTGTTGGTCATCTTCATGATACCCATGATTGAGTCACCGCGATGGTTGGTCTCCAAGGGTAAGCTTCAAGACGCCAGGAAGAATCTGAGCTGGGTTCGCAACCTCCCCCAAGATCATTCCTACATCGACCGCGAGATGTCTATGATTGAGGTGGCTATTGAACATGAGATGTTATCAACCGGACAGAGAGGGAACTGGCGTCAGATATTCTCAGAGTTGTTCCAGCCGGGAGTTGGTGGTAGGATAGTCTTGTCTTGCGGACTTGTATCATTTCAAAACTTCACAGGGTGAGTCATGATGAGTGTAACACGAGGCACAGCTGACCAGAGCAGTATCAACGCCATCAACTACTACTCCCCGACCATCTTCAAGTCCATCGGCTTCACTGGTACCTCTGTAGGCCTGCTCGCCACTGGAATTTTCGGCATTGTGAAGATGGCTGCTACCATGCTCTATGCAGCATTCCTAGTCGACAAGCTAGGACGAAGACCGCTACTACTGATCGGTGGCGTTGGCTCTGGTATCGCAATGTTCTACCTGGCCGGCTACTCTAAGGTGTCAGGCTCGTTTGAACATATTCCACCGATGGATACTGGAGCAAAGACTGCCGTGGCGATGGTATACATATATGCTCTGTTCTACGGTATGAGTTGGAATGGAATCCCATGGCTCTTCACGTCGGAGATCATTCCAAACAGAGTCCGTACTCTTGGAATGGCGTTCTGCATCTGCGTGCAGTGGGTGACTCAGTTCATTGTAGTCTACAGCTTGCCGCACATGGTCATCGGGTAAGTCAAGACCTTGACACAGCATCGGCATATGCTAACTGCTAAGTATTACCTATGGAACCTTCTTGTTTTTCGGTGCATGTACTGTTCTCGCGATCATCTTTGCATGGCTGTTTATTCCAGAGACAAAGGGGGTACAGCTTGAGGACATGGATCTGCTCTTCGGACCTGACGTGCCCATCTTCGCGTCTCAGGCGAGGGATAACTATCTCCAGGGTATTGCTGCTCGGGCTTTGGATGAGAGGGATGGGGGAAAGATGAAGGCGACCGAGATTGAACATGTTTGACCAGTGAGCTAGGGCTTCAATCGTAATAGCTTCACATCGAAGGGATAACTTCTAGCGTTAGAAAGGGGACACGTGACTGGTGATAGAGGATAGCAACTGTAGTTGGACTTAGGGAACCTAGACTAGATCTGTATACTCATATAGTTCCCTGGCCCCAGAAGACACCACGGCCGTTGGTTCCAACATAGACCAATCCCGCTTCGTTTCCACTACCAGCAAGCTTAGCACTGTCAGCAGCACCAAAACCCATAGAGCCCTGAAGATCCGTCCACGTCTTGCCAAGGTCAGAGCTACCATACAATTTGCGTCCCGCAGACCCTGTTCCGAAAGCATACACATTCCAGTTGCTTCCAGAGCCCTTACCGAGAGCAATCTGCTCAGTCTTGCTAAGGCCGCTAATCTTTGAGAATGCGCTGCCGTAGTCTGTGCTGCGGAAGATACCAGCGTCAGTAGAGACCCAAACCTCGCCGGCTTTGGTAGGATGAGCGGCGATATCTTTGACAGAGTTAGCCCCGTCGAGAGATCCACCTGTGGAGAAGCTTGAAGCTGTGTTGTTGGAGACGTAGAACTTTGATCCTGATGCACCGTAGAAGTAGTCGTTATCTTGCTTATCGCTGGCAACCAGAGCACCAGTAGGTAGGCTGGAAACAGAAGCAAAGCTACCCTCGTTCTGAGATCTCAAGACATTTCTATTCTCAGGGGACCAGAGAATTGTATCTCCATTGGCAGAGTAGGAGATAGAACCTCCCTTGGGGCCCTGCTCAGCCGCGCCATGAAGCTTCCACGATTTACCTCCGTCGGATGATAGAGCGACTTGAGGGTTGCTGTCACTGTTTCCAGCTCGGACGATATTGCCAACCTTCTTTCCAGCGTAATCAGCACTAGTAGATGATGTGAACATGGGATTGTCCCAGGCTGATAGTGGAGATGTGCCAAGAGCGCTCTTGGAGGCAAAGGTAAAACCGCTATCATCGCCAACGGCGGCAAGAAGTTCACTGCCGCCGGGAGCAGACTTGACGTCGAGAACTGCGGTCTCCTCGATACCGTCGGCGAGAGACTCAATTGTGATGTTGTGGACGGTGTCCCACTTGGTAAGATCATGACCTCCGTACAGTGTCAGACCAGTACCATATAGCCAGTGGTTGCTGTCAAAGGGGTCAATAGCCAGAGCTTCAACCATCCAACCAAGTTTCTTAGTGTCAACTGAGATGAAGTTCTTGTAGATCCAGGGGGCCTTTGGTGTGGAGATGCTGTAGTGAAGATCAAGGTTGCCCTGAGCGTTGTAGTTCCATAGCGTAGACCATGTCTTCCCCGAGTCAGTGGATCGGAAGAATTGGGCATCAGGGTACCAAGAGTTGAGGGAGGCGACGACAAGAGTACCTGCTTTCTGGCTGTCGAGGGCAAGACCGCCGAAGCCAAAGTAGATATCTCCAGGCGGTGTGATGTCCTTCCAAGTGTTGGCGGCAACATCGTAACGGTAGACGGCACCGGCTGTACCATCATACGGCCCCCCACCATTGCTGTATGAGAGGTACAGAGCCTTCTCCTTGGGTGAAAACTGGCCTTTGTGGGGGAGATACTTCACAGGCTGACCGTCAACCGGCTTCCAGGTCTTGCCCGCATCAGTAGTAACATAAACAGAAGCAGTCTTGGTATCAGCAACACCAACGAAGATTCTCGACGTAGCGCCATTGACAAGAGATGAAGTAGAGTCAAATGTGACGAACGACAGGCCCTGGATATCGCTGTTGTATCCAGAGCTATCACTAGGATCGGCAACATAGGTGCCGACGTTGGTGAAAGAAGTGACTTTAGAGAAGGTCTTGCCACCATCTGTACTCTTCCAGAGGCCGTTGCCGCTTCGTGCCCCAAAGTAGATGATGTTGGAGTTCTTGGGGTCAACGGCGAGACGCTCGCCCATACCGCGGCCGGGCATGTTGCCGCCTACCTTGAAAGGGAGTTCCGTGAAGGACCACGTGGCGCCCTTGTCGTTGCTGATACCTATAGCGCCCTTGTTGGGGTCCCTAAGACAATGTGAGAATGACGGAACCAGAGTTATTTAGTTTAAGCGACATACCAGGAGTTGGTGTATAATCCAGCAGCGGTAAGGACCTTGTTAGGGTTGCTTGGATCAAGGGCCAGAGCATCAATACCCCAGCGGCTCCTATGAAAGTGTTAGTAAGTTCTACTGAGTATTGGGTCTCAACATACCATGTTGCATCAACACCAGTGCTATCAGTTAGCGGCGTCCAGGAATCATCCGCATCGAGACGGTAGAGTCCGCCGATATCAGTTCGCGCATACGCAACGCCCTTGGCAGTAGGATGGAACTCAATGCCAGGAACAAAGCCGCCTCCACCGCCGAAGCGAACATTCTGCCATTTGAGAGCAGCTTGCGCAACGCTTGCCGAAGCAGCAAGAAGAGAGAGCAACTTCATGATGAAGTCCAGTAAATAACGAATGACACTGTATTGACATAAGATCTGAACTTCATATTTGGCGAATTATAGGGGTCTTTTATACGAGCGCTTTGAGGTGACGTGATAGTCTGGTCCTGTTGTCATTTGCAGTGTTTCGGATATGAAGCCTCCGTGACGAAACAGGATGACGCAGGGGTATAAGGTTCACCAAGCCCCGAGAATGCTCAAAATTGAATGGATTGCGAGACTTTTTATCATCGCCGTATTTAATCTACGGCACTTGGAGATTTTCCACCTACCAGATGAGGCTTGTGCCTCACAGGAATGATTGGTGGTG